TATAACTTTTTATTTTTGCCCTCACTGGCCTCCAAGTTTTCTAGGATGATGCAATGTTCAGCCATCAACACATTTGTGAAGGAATTTTTACTCCCCAAAAGAGCGCCCCCCCATGGCAGGAGAAAAAAGTCCATTTTTTCTTGTCCCCTAAGGTGAAAATACACATTGTTGAGTGTCACGCCTATACGCTTTGTCAAAATGACACAAAAATTGACACACACATGTAACTCAATAAGATCTACAAAAAAGTCCATGCGCGCGTATCTGTCAAATGTACAGTTAAAGGGTTATTCCGCATTTTTTGCCGATACGCACACATTGGAATTTCGCTAACTCCTCCGAAGGCTTTCGTTCCACCGGCACCACATTTGCTCAGGCCAATCTACACCCCATGGCCATTAAAAGTTATTCAAATCATGATGCTGCACCCCATGGTTTAGGTTCTAGGGGGCGCCAAAAATAACCCAAAAATCCACATTCTTAAATGTTTTATAACTTTTTATTTTTGTCCTCACTGGCCTCCAAGTTTTCTAGGATGATGCAATGTCCAGCCATCAACACATTTGTGAAGGAATTTTTACTCCCCAAAAGAGCGCCCCCCCATGGTAGGAGAAAAAAGTCAATTTTTTCTTGTCCCCTTAAATAAAAATACACATTGTTGAGTGTCACGCCTGAACGCTTTGTCATATTGACACAAAAATTGACAATCATGTGTATCTCAATTAGATCTACGAAAAAGTCAAAGAGCGCGTATCTGTATAATGTACGGTTAAAGGGCTATTTTGCATTTTTTGCCGATTCGCACACATTGGAATGTGGCTATCTCCTCCTAAGGCTTTCGTCCCACCGATACCAAATTTGCTCAGGGCAATCTACACCCCATGCCCATTCAAAGTTGTAAAAATCATGACGCTGCACCCCACGGTTTACGTTCTAGGGGGCGCCAAAGATGACCCAAAAATCCACATTCTTAAAAGTCATTTTGGCCACTGCAGGAGTACAGAGTACTGCAGTTCTAGGGGGCGCCAAAGATGACCCAAAAATCCACATTCTTAAAAGTCTTTTTGGCCACTGCAGGAGTACAGAGTACTGCAGGATACACACACATATACACACACGCCAACATACACACACACACACACACACACACACACACACACACACACACACACACACACACACACTCAGAGTCTGTTTTTTAGCACCTGCAAAAACATGCTGTTTACATATTTGACAAGAATGCAGAGGCTTCCTTTTGCCCCTGAAAAAAATCAAATTTCAAACACAACTTGACTGTTCATTTCTCCAAAAGACAACCATGAAGCTCCATTTCAAACCTGAAGCAGATAGTTGGTGCATGTGTACAGTAACCTGAGGGGAGTGAGGTGACTATTTCTGAGGAGAACATGAGCAGTGAAGATTCACCTTGGAGCTAGAACAGGGACGTGCACATGATTATACAGGGGCAGGGGCTCAAGTTTTTTCCAGTCATTTATACAATATGGAAATTAATGTGAAATTAAACCACAAATATGTGTGATGAACTGTTTTTAAAACTTAAACTTCAAATAAAAATTGTAAACTTCAAAACATATGCAAATTTTTAACAAAGAACATAGTGATTTACCTCTATTTACATCAAAATGCAGGCAATGGCCCAGGCGTTCTTTGTAAAATTATTTACAAAACACTGTATAGTCTCACAAATGTCACTTTTTATTTATGCCACTACAAAAAAACATGATGTAAATGATGCATGATGTAAAACATGATGTAAAAAACTTGTGTAGATCCTCCTCTATGTCAGTCCATGTGTAATTTTTCCATAATTCTTTGTTTTTTGCAGCATTTTTGTTAGTGTAACTGCAGATTGTGCTGACAGTGTCTATGGCACAAAAAAAAATAAAAATTAAAATGCCTCAACATGAACCCCTGGTGGTCTCTGAGGGTGAAACCTGCTAACTGCTGCAGCTCTGTCAGCTTCAGTCTCCCATGCAGAGCTCGGAGCGCATGTGTGGCTCTGCACCCTTAGCAGCGTTGCTAACTCCTCAGTAAGGAAAGCCTGCTTCATGTCAGAGTCTCTAAACTCCAGAAGAAGTCGATAAAAGTCACTTTCTTTCTAAAAAAAGTCGTTAGGGGGTCTGAAAAGTCATTAAATCTAACAACAAAGTCGCTAGGTTTGCAACTACGTGTCCCAGACTGCATCCCTGCTGAGAGTCCCTCCCTCCCTTCTCATGTTGCAGGAAGAACGTAAGCGCACGCCCCTTGTCAATCAGTCACCATATAATTTTGGATTGGTTGTTGTGGTGAAGTTTTCCACCAATAGGAGAGATGTTGTGGTGTGTTTTTTTTTTCTTTTGGCAAGCCTTTTCCGCCTGTAAGACCTGTCGCTAATGTCTGCATGCTATGTTTTCCTGTCTCATACAGCGCGATCGAGCGCCGAACGTGATCAAAATAAGCAGAAAAAAAGTATCGCGGACATAATTTATCATAACTCTGGTTTTATTTGGCCTATCAACACAATTTAAAAACTGGTATATAGGTTGAGGTCCTCACTTTTGAGATAAGTTGAAACGGAGAGTCAACGAGGCTCCGTCTTGCAGCTACATCCGGTTAAATATGTCATGTGACTTGAACGCACACACAGACACACACACACACACACACACACACACACACACACACACACACACACACACACACACTCAGAGTCTGGTTTTTAGCACCTGCAAAAACATGCTATTTACATATTTGACAAGAATGCAGAGGCTCCTTTTGCCCCTGAAAAAAATCAAATTTCAAACACAACTTGACTGGTCATTTCTCCAAAAGACAACCATGAAGCTCCATCCAAACCTGAAGCAGGCAGTTGGTGCATGTGTACAGTAACCTGAGGGGAGTGAGGTGAGTGCTTCTGAGGAGAACATGAGCAGTGAAGATTCACCTTGGAGCTAGAACAGAGACATGCACATGATTATACAGGGGCAGGGGCTCAAGTTTTTTCCAGTCGTTTATACAATATGGAAATTAATGTGAAATTAAAACACAAAGTATTAATAGAAAGGTAATGACTGTCCTGTGTAGGTGACAGTGATATCCAATAGGCTAGGCACTCACGAGGCTGGCTGTGGCAAGTGTAAGTGAAAGCAACACGCACTGGCAGGAAGAACAGCAAACGCCGATGAAGGAAAAGGGTCTTTGCAGTGATGGGCGTTACCAGAGAGGGCGATGGCCAGAGGACACAAATGGGACGGGGAGGCAGCACGTTGGGGGGGGGGACGCGACACGGCTCGGGCCCGCCAGTGCCCCAACGGGGTCCTAGTTCTTTTTCCTCCCCTTTGAACTGGAAAATGGCCCACTTCCCACTGGCGAAAACTCATGAAATTTGGCAGGACGACCGGGCCTGGTGAAAAATTTGATATTCCGAAGTCGCCCAAACAAGAAAATGCAAAATGGCTCCATAGCGCCCCCTAAGGTGAAAATTCACACTATTGACTGTCACGCCTGTACGCTTTGTCAAAATGACACAAAAATTGACACACACATGTATCTCAATAAGATCTACAAAAAAGTCAGTGCGGGCGTATCTGTCAAATGTACGGTTAAAGGGCTATTTCGCATTTTTTGCCGATCCGCACACATTGGAATTTCGCTAACTCCTCCGAAGGCTTTCGTTCCACCGGCACCACATTTGCTCAGGCCAATCTACACCCCATGGCCATTAAAAGTTATTCAAATCATGACGCTGCACCCCACGGTTTAGGTTCTAGGGGGCGCCAAAGATAACCCTAAAATCCACATATTTAAAAGTCTTATAACTTTTTATTTTTGCCCTAACTGGCCTCCAAGTTTTCTAGGATGATGCAATGTCCAGCCATCAACACATTTGTGAAGGAATTTTTACTCCCCAAAAGAGCGCCCCCCCATGGCAGGAGAAAAAAGTCCATTTTTTCTTGTCCCCTAAGGTGAAAATACACATTGTTTAGTGTCACGCCTGTACGCTTTGGCAAAATGACACAAAAATTGACACACACATGTATCTCAATAAGATCTACAAAAAAGTCTGTACTCGCGTATCTGTCAAATGTACGGTTAAAGGGTTATTTCGCATTTTTTGCCGATACGCACACATTGGAATTTCGCTAACTCCTCCGAAGGCTGGCGTTCCACCGGCACCACATTTGCTCAGGCCAATCTACACCCCATGGCCATTAAAAGTTATTCAAATCATGACGCTGCACCCCACGGTTTAGGTTCTAGGGGGCGCCAAAGATAACCCTAAAATCCACATATTTAAAAGTCTTATAACTTTTTATTTTTGTCCTCACTGGCCTCCAAGTTTTCTAGGATGATGCAATGTCCAGCCATCAACACATTTGTGAAGGAATTTTTACTCCCCAAAAGAGCGCCCCCCCATGGCAGGAGAAAAAAGTCCATTTTTTCTTGTCCCATAAGGTGAAAAAACACATTGTTGACTGTCATACCTGTACGCTTTGTCATATTGACACAAAATTTGACAATCACGTGTATCTCAATAAGATCTACGAAAAAGTCAATGCGCGCGTATCTGTAAAATGTACGGTTAAAGGGCTATTTTGCATTTTTTGCCGATTCGCACACATTGGAATGTGGCTAACTCCTCCTAAGGCTTTCGTCCCACTGACACCAAATTTGCTCAGGCCAATCTACACCCCATGGCCATTCAAAGTTGTAAAAATCATGACGCTGCACCCCACGGTTTACGTTCTAGGGGGCGCCAAAGATGACCCAAATATCCACATTCTTAAAAGAATCCACATCCCCCCCATCCCCCATCCCCCATGGCAGGAGAAACAGTCAAGTTTTTCCTGCCCATCACTCAATGGCTCAATCGCATCACTCTCCCGGCAACACCGTAACGAGGAGCAACTTGCCGTTTGGATATATCCTAGCTGTGTTTGTGCCCTCACTCATGGTCCAGACTTTTTTCAAATAGGACATGTAGTTTGTCTGCAGCGAGTGTTTTGGTAGAAACTGCGCCTCCCATTCATTATAATGGGAAATGACCACAGACAAGTGCGCACACCATCTTTGGACCTTGAGTGTGACGCGATCGGGAGGGGGAGGCGGTCGCGCTGGGGGCGGCGCAACGCGGCTCGGGCCCGACAGTGCCCCACCGGGGTCCTAGTCTTAGTTTATTCCTCTGTTACATAGCCCGCGTCGATTTAGCTGAAGTGAGTAATTCGCTTGGGGACGTCGTTAAGGTACATGTACTTTGCTTTAAATGGGTATTAAAGGTATTTTGCTGATGTTACAGCACGGAAAGTGACTGTTAAGCTAAGCTGCTAATGTAAACACAGTATATACTCCAAATTTTCACTGCATATTTTTCTGTAGAAGTAGTTTTCCTTGAAGCTTTTGTAACTGCACCATCTTTGAATAACTAAATAATTGTTGGATACCAAAACGCATGCTTCTTTATCGAAGTAAATCTGTGCCATCTGATTTTGAATTTAAATTTCTAAAGCTGAATTTTTTCGCATCAAAATCAGACTTTGAATTTCAAAACTATTAAATTTCAAGCATGCATTTTTATTTCTGACGTTTTTTTTCACAATGATGATATGAATTCAGTGTAAAAAAAATCAGTCTCTCAAAAAAAAATGTTGAGTAAAAATTTGACTTAAAAAAACGTGTAAAAAAAATTCAGTGTCAAAAAATTTAGTGTAAAACAGACTGACTCAACATCCAGGTAACCAGGGAGAGCAATCGATTCCTGGCTCAATCATTCATCGTCCAGCCAATCAATTAAAGCTAGATTGGTCATGTGGCACCGACCCCAGTGGAAGATTGAGAAATCGATTGCTTCTCCCTGATTACGTGGCTGTTGAGTCAGTTTGTTTTACACAAAATTTTTTGACACTGAAAAATTTTTTATGTTGAATTTTTTTTTACACAGTTTTATTTTAGGTCGAATTTTTACTACACGAATAATTTGAGAGACTGATTTTTTTTTAAACCTGATTTATTATCATTGTGGAAAAAAAATAATGCGTGCTTTGAAATTCAAAGTCTGATTTTGATGCAAAAAAAATTCATTAGATAACTGTCAGCATTGTGAACTCATCCTCTTAACATTCTTTCTCCCTTTTTATGTTATAGTTCAGTTAAAAGAAAAACTGGCTCGACTTTGCTGTTTTATGAGTATAACCAAACATTTATGTTTTAGGGTTTTTCATCAATCTGCCCTCAGCCATGCCATATCTTAAAACAGCTGCAAAAAAACAGACACGATCATCATTGTTGGATATCAAGTCACAGAAGTGTGGACTACGGCACACTGTGTTCTTTGTGAATGGAAATGAATATACAGGAGAGTGGAAAGACAACCAGAAGCATGGTGAGAAGCTTCTTCCACCACAACTTCTTTGGTCACCTAGTTATAACATGTGAAGTACTTGCTATGTAATAGATGACATTTACACTTTTAATGTGTCTTTTAGGAAAGGGAACTCAGGTTTGGAAGGAGTCTGGAATGATTTATGATGGAGAGTGGAAATTCGGAAAACGTGATGGATATGGTACCTACAGTGTGCTTCTCCCTCAAAGGAAGGAGTACTTGAGAAAGTACTGTGGGGAATGGAAGAATGGAAAGAAGCATGTATTGAAATACTATTATTTATATACACTGTAACATGAATAATGCCTGTTGTCTGAGCTTACATTGCCTGTGTCATATATCTCTAATCATTACCTTTCTCTCTAGGGGTATGGGACATACTTCTTCAGTCACTCATCAGTTTATGAGGGGGAGTGGAGTGAGGACGAACGGAGTGGCTGGGGAAGAATGTTCTATGAGAATGGAGACATCTATGAGGGAGAGTGGATGAAGGATAAGAATCATGGAAAAGGCATCATTCGATTTTGTAAGCAGACTTAGCTCTCATACATTTACAGTTAAAACGGATTGAAAATTCAGTGTGACAATGTTTGTAGATGTAACATTTGACTTTTCTCCTTTCTTCAGTGAATGGAAACTGGTATGAAGGCACCTGGAAAAATGGCTTGAAAAATGGAAACGGGAAATTCTATCATTCTGACAAAGGTCAACTTTATGAAGGTTTTTGGGTGGATGGGGTTGCAAAATGTGGAACTCTGTCTGATTTTGGAAGAGATGACGCACCAGCACCGACAAGATACCCAATCCCACAGGTACAACATTTTCATTATGACACAGTCACAGATCCGTGTACAATTCAGCCCTTGTGTGACAAATCAAATAAACATGAGTAATAAAGCTCTTTCTCTTGGCATAACTGTGAAGAAATGAAGCTTTTCTTTGTTTTTCAAGGTTCAACTGGTCGACATGCAATTGGTTATAAGGGAAGCCCAGTCAGCCTACCTTGACCAGAGTTGAAGAGGGACAAGAGGAAGACCGATAACAAGTTTCCACTCTGCCGTACATTTACTGACAAATAATAAAATTGGCATAATTTCATTTTGTGTGTTCATATTTGAATATTTTCAGCTAAATCACTTGTTTGTTAGTAGTGAAAAAAAATTAGGGAAATACTTGAAATGGACTGAAAAACAAAGATAAGTGAAATAATACACTGATTTAGTTAACTGCCAAAAAGATGGTTAAATACAATACCTTCCATGACAATAAAAGGTTTATACTAAATTTCATTATCATTGAATAGTTTGCTACAGCTCTTAGTGAAGCTTCTTGAATATTAGATTATGTTTATAAGGAAAAACCTGATGATAATGACACTGCTTTGTTACATTACAAACAGAGCAAGGGTACAAAAGCTCATGTTACTCACCAGTACAAATGGATCATGCAACTAAGTTTTAAGTTCCTGTGATTCAATTTCAAGTATGTCTATTTCAACAGAACAAAATTTACAGCGATGCCTAAACCAAAACAAACGAGTTCATTCGCAAAAGGTCAGAAATTTTCTATAATTAAAATGCTGTAACTGCTTGGTAGGGGTCAGTAGGTGTAATTTACAGGATGGTATAGAAAAACCCTTCACAGTGAGTGCCATTCAGGGATGACTTTTTACACAAACCAGTAATGGTTACTCTTTTTGTTTCATTATGAAATCCAAGAGATTTAACCCTGTTTTTTTTAAATAGTTATAATGCCATATCTGCCCCACAACTTCCCATTACTTTGACTGAAAACCACTCCTGGACATCATCTACATACAGTCTACATGCACCTCCAGCACAGGCTACTAACCCAGACTGACTCGTCTCTCTAAATATGTGAGAACAAAACATCCTACTATGTAACGGTAATCTTGAAGAAATATCACTGTTACTTAAGTGCACTTCATGTGTCAAGAGTGACTGATAAAAACGACATGCTAACTTAGTGCTTGAAAAACAAAGGGGGTACCAAGGCTTTACAGAATAAAGCACGAGAGCACTGGTGTAGATTATTAACAAGTACAAGCAGTCTCATGTGCTCATGAGACAAAAAATTTCACATTTACTGAATATTCCAGGTGTGATTTGCCCAACCTGTGTCAAAAATTAAAAATATATAGCACAAATAGAGAATACATTTACATATTTCAGGATGCTTTACAAAATGAAAAGTGTTCATTCTTGGAACAAAGCTTGTGCTACAGATGTCAGCATGTATCCTTTAATAATACTGGAGTTTTGGCAATCAGTCTACACAAATGGCAGTCCTTACATTCATGAAGTGAACTTTACAATAAACCAGGTATATAGTCAACAAAAAGAGGTTAAATACTTTCTGTTTGCACAGCCAGGTAATTTATGTGTCAACAGAAAAACTATAGTAGACAAACAGGTTAATAAATAGCAGGCAACAGACAGGATTCAAGTTATTGTTCAGATGTTTTTTTTTGTGAGTGCTATAAATTAAGTGAGAAATCAAACAGCTGTCACAGTTAAGACTTCAAATTTAAGTTACATGCGTAATGGCAAATTTGTGAGTTCACAGTTTATCAAACGTGTTCTAAAAATACAACTCTTTACATAAAAGAACAATTTCACAACAAAAAGGTGATACATCTGTAAAAACAGAAGCCAAAATGCCGCTTCTAACTTGAGAGAAATCTCAGGAAATCAGAGTTCCACCATGAGTCCAACATACTTGTTGTCTAAGGGAAATTTGAGCTAGGAGACTGCAGGATAGAAGATTCGCCCCTGTTGTCCAGCTCATTCTGTAGCCTGGTGAGATTAGAAAGCTCCTCCAGCTCCTGAAACTGTCTGTCCGTCTTGTGGCTGACCAGTGAGCGGTAGAAATGCACAGCAAAGACTATGAAGACTAAACCAAAGGGAACCATGATGGAGGTGGACGTGATCGCAGCAGCCACACCGGACGAAACTGTGCTGTTGCTGGACTTGTTGGGCTTCACAGGCAGAAATTTGACCCAGCAGAGCAGGACAACCTCTGCTAAGAAGAGTAAAGTGCCAATAACTGTGGAGAAAGCCCACGCCAGTTCAATGTGTCTGTGCATTCGCTCATGCGGGGACTCCTTCACAGAGTTGAGGTTATGGACATTGCTGACAGCCTCTATATTTGGCAAAATACAGGTGCTGACCATGAGAGCAAACAGGTGAACCGCAACAAGCACAGTGGTGCAGGCACTGAAGGCGATGAGGAGGGCAGGTGGGTATGGATAGCTGTTGTCCAGCTGCACTTCCACCATGGCCACCTGGAGAGGACATGAAGGAGGCAGAAAACCACTTTCAACACGTGTCAATACTTGATGGTAAAATCAACCAAGCAACTGAAGAGGAAGACGATGACTTGTAAATGACCTTACCATAGCAAATCCAGAGAGCAGGGCTGATGTCCTACTAGAAGCCTTCAGCTTAGCTCGACTCAGGTACAGCTTTCTCCAGGACAGAGCCTGTAGTGAATGCTCGTTCAGGCTCATTTTGTTCCTGTTTCAGAGGACTGCAAGAGCAGCTTCGACGGAGTTGCCTTGTTATTCAAGCGGAGCAGGACAAAAACAGTCGTTCAACATGCTAACAGTGTACTCTTTGACAACATATAACCTCGCCAGCTGACGGAACTGCGGAAGCTGTTTTTCACCACCAGTCTCCGGCGTGTTATGCCGCCTGCCTGCACCTTACATTACCCATAAGTCTGCGCGCTCCGAGAGCAACATCCGCCTACTGTCGGCTGCCTGTGCTGAGTGAAGGGATTAACTAACCTTTAGTTAATAACATTAGCGCAGTCGAGTTATATGTGAAGAAAACCAAAAAGAGTGTGACAGTTAACTTAAAAGGTTGCACACACTCGTAAACAAGTCCGCTTGACGTGTCATGTTCAGAAAACCGGGGTTATTTTGATAAAAAATGAATGAAAGTGACAGAGAGCTGTTATATACGGTGGCCGAGAACCGCCACTGCTGCAACTAAAAAAAGAATGCAAAAAAAAAAGAAACCGAAGTCAGCTGCAAATAAAAAAAGAAACAGTGCAGATAAAAAAGCCACAACGGAAGTAAACGACGAAAAGAAAAAGAAAAAAAGAAAAGAAAGTGGTGATAAAGAAAAATAAAAGTTTCTTACTGCAAAACTAAAAGGATGCAAATAATTAAAAAAAAGCCACAGCGGAGGTGTAGTGTAGTGTTAGCTTCAGTTCAACTTTTTTCATTTGCATCAGTAACTTCTGATGTGACTTCTTTTTTTGGGCTTTTTTTTTAAATTTGCAGCAGTGGCGGTTCTCGGCCACCGTAATCAAGTTATATGTGAAGAATTGAAGCTAAAACTACACCGGCATCCTCCAGATCAACTTCATATCGACTCAGGCGCTACATGGCCCGACCAAATGACACATCGAAAGGTTTATGAAGCGAAATTAAACAATAACCTTTCCACTTATTTTTCTGCTCATCTTTTTGCCGTTGTCCTGTTTGCCTAGATCGTAAAACACCGGTGCATCATCATTATTGGTTTCCGGCAGCTCACTTCCGTTGTGTTTTTTTTATTTGCATCCTTTTATTTTCACAGTAAGTAACTTTAAAAAAAAAAAAATCTGCACTGCCTAAATTTATATTTGCAGCAGGCTTCGAATTCTTTTTTTTTTTTCATTAGTAACTTCTGACATGGCTTTTTTTATTTGCATTCTTTTATTTTCACATTTTTTTTGTGTCATTAACTTCCATTGTGGCTTTTTAAATTTGGATTCTTTTCTGCTGTAAGTAACTTTTTTTAATTTTTATTTTCTATCTGCACTGCCTCTTTTTTTATTTGCAGCAGGCTTCGGTTTCTTAATAATTTTTTTTCATTAGTAACTTCCAATGTGGCTTTTTTGATTTACATTCTTTTATTTTTGCAGTAAGTAACTATTTATTTATTTATTTTTTATTTTGCGTCACCACATTTTTTGCATCATTAACTTCAGTTGTGGCTTTTATATCTGCACCATTTCTTTTTTTTATTTGCAGCAGGCTTTGGTTTCTTTTTTTCATCAGTAACTTCCGTTGTGGCTTCTTTTTTTTGCATTCTTTTTCATTTGCAGCGGTGGCGGTTCTCGGCCACCGTAATTAATCGAGTTATATGTGAAAGAAACCAAAAAAATGTGTGACAGTTAACGAAAAAGGTTGCACACACTCATGCACAAGTCCGCTTGACGTGTCACGTTCATAAAACTGGAGTTATTTTAATAAAAAAAATGAATGAAAGTGACAGAGAGCTGTTCTTGAATGTCTGAGCAGGTTTCAAACCTCTAACATGAGCGGATAACCATTCAAAATCAGAGGCTTAGATAGTTTTTTACAGGCCTTCGTTGAGAAACAAAGAGCGGGCAGCTGGGTATGAATGATGCCTCTCCTTTGTAGTAGTAGCAGCGTGGAAAAGCGGAGCTCTAACACGCCGTGACGCTGTCCAACAATGTTTTGGTTCCTGACGATGACGTAACACACAAAAACATGGTTCCCTTGTTTTGAACCTGAAAAGCGTGCTAAGTGTTTCTCTAAGTTCGCCTCACACGGGGACGCCTATCGGAACCTGAATGAGCGGAAAACATTCATAAAAGACGATGGCTCAGGCCGTGGAAACGTGTGCTGAAACCGGACGCAGGCTGGTGTGTACCATCTGCCGTGTTCACTGTTAGCTTATGAAGTGAGATTGGCAGCGAGCTAATTAGTTAGCTAAGCTAACGTTTGCAGCTGCAAACGTGGGCGATATTTGTCAAGCCTCTGAAGCTGCTCAAGCCAGGGGCTACTCTAAAAAAAACCAAAGTATTTTACATTCTGTGATTTCTCATACATTTTTTTTAGCTGTGCTGTAGTGAAAAGCAAGATTAAACAACTATCAGTGAAATCTTAAAACACTTACATTGCTCGTCCAGTGATAGTTATTTAAAGGTTATTTCAACTGCCTCCTGATTTGATAACACTATCTCAGTTTTGCACACGAATGCAAGTTGTGTCAGTGTTATCTTATCCACGCGTGTTGCAGTTTGGGAATGTAAATAATGTCGTTTTCAATGGCAGCGCTCCATCTGCCGGAGGATGTACGACGAAAATGAGGATCTCTCTGATGTCGAAGAAATTGCAAACATCCGAGGTTTCAGTGTGGAGGAAAAGCTGATCAGTGACAGTTACAACGACAAATTTGTCCACTCCATGGAGGGTAAAGGTAAAGCAACACAACACAGCATATTTCTTTCTCAGGTGCAAGCTTGTCCAACTATGGTTTGTGTTTGCATTGACTTCTATATATTCTGCACCCTCCTCCACAGTCAATGTTTGATTCTCTTGATTCCATGCTGACTGTCTTGCAGACTTCTCTTATGAGTATGTGCAAAAGGAGGCTCTCAGGACCCCACTCATTTTTGAAGAGAAAGCTGGACTAGGGATCAGGTGAGAGGCCAATTCACCAGCATGAATAACAGCATGAATTACTTCAATTATACTCCTTTTTATTGCAATTATGTTATATGTGTATTCATGTCCAGACTCACATGGTAACTAATATCTATCTCACACAGAATGCCTGATCCTGAATTTACAGTTAGTGAGATTAAAGGCTTAGTTGGTAAGTACAGTGCTGCATACGCATGTATAGATCTTTACTAACAATCAAACTAAAAAAAGTTAACCAGCCACGTAGAGTTGCTATTTTACAGAATAGGGTGGAGGAAAAAGAACAGTGGTCAGTGAGTTTGAGTGCATAGGAAAATTTCAATTAATTTATCATAAAGAGGGAAAACACCTCTCAAAAACTAAAAAAACTAAGAGGTGAGAGCCTCTAGCATTATACCCTCTGAAAACAGCTCTCTAGTAAAGATTTGAAGTGTCACCAAAGTGTCATTCTCACTCAGGGGAATATTTACTTCCACAGTACAGCAATGGAAGACAACATATTATTGATACAAATCTGTAAATGTCTATCTATCTATCTATCTATCTATCTATCTATCTATCTATCTATCTATCTATCTATCTATCTATCTATCTATCTATCTATCTATCTTTATTTTCAATATTGTCTGTTAAGAATATGTTTTAATGCTTTTGGATAAAATTGTGTTAAGTTTGACAAAAGTAGGGTCAAGACCTAACTCGGGTGTAGTTGCTCCATCTAGTGGTGATGATGAGGATTTTTTTTTTCACTGGTATCTATTTGATTAAGATTAAATTTGTAGAGTCACTGATACACACGTTTTCTTTGTGTTGCTCCTACAGCTGAATTGAGTATATCTCTATATAAAATTACAGATATGTTAGTGACTATAGAAGTGCTAATAGGTCAATCTGAACGTCTGCTTTGAATATGGCTTGCAGGTAGTCGTCGGTCTGTGGATGTCATGGATGTGAGCACCCAGAAAGGCTCTGAAATGAGCATGGCTCAGTTTGTCCGCTATTATGAGTCACCAGAGGAAGAGAGGGACAAACTTTTCAATGTCATCAGCTTAGAGTTTAGCCACACCAAGCTGGAGAACCTCATCAAGCGGCCCACAGTGGTAAATTAGCCCAACAGTCTTTACACCAATATGATGGGCATAAATCTAGCCTTAAATGTAAAAAATAATGACTAAAACACTATGGCTAAAGGCTGAAAATGCATTTTTGTTCACTAACTGTCACAGGTGGATCAGGTGGACTGGGTGGACAACATGTGGCCTCCTGATCTCAAACACAGCCAAACAGAAGCCACCAATGTCATCTCAGAAATGAAGTACCCTAAAGTGCAAAGGTAGGGCGAAACTGCATTTTTCTTTTTGTTGAAATAAAAGCAAAACTCCTTTTAGAGTCCTGTGTCAGTTTGTGATTGAAAATAAAATTGAAATGTGTGAAGCATAATATAAAAACTACCTGGAAAAAATTACTGCATCCTTGGCAGCAAATTCAATTTCTCTTTTCATCTCAATCTCTCATCTAACGCTCAGCGGAGCAGAGTGCTGCACACTGGTGGTGTTATCCATCTCCTGAACGTGCTCCTGATTGTTGCTAGGCAGCAGAGTGTTCCATAGTGGAGGATGGGTTTATTACAGCTGTAGTCCAACTGCACTGACACCTCTCAGCCAATCAGTCGTCAGTATTTGCACATAGTGAATGAGTCAAATATTATTATGCCTTTTCTCTGCAGCCTTAGTTGGTTGTATTTCCTCTCATCAAATGAAAAATATTTCAGCCCCTGTATTTATTCGTTCACTAATTCATTTGAAATGATTTATTTATTCAATTACTGTATTAAATGAGACTCATAATTAGGTGAGATATGGTGGCAGGGATTGGACTGTAAACAGTGGAGCATATAAAAAGATCAGTCTTGGCAGCATTCATCGGCAAACAATTTCTAGTATTATTTCAGTGTATAAAAACATGATACAGAAACCTCCACCTTACAAGTGTTAGCAATAAATATTTTAACATGGAATCATTTAATACGTCGTTAGAGTTTGAACGACTTCATATCGAACGCAAATAATTTTCATTAGTTGTAGTGAGACTAATTTTCTCCATATAGTCTGAAAATCCTCCTTAATGTCTTTAAGATGATGTCATTAAATTGTTGTGCCTGAAAATATTTGGCATGACTTTGAATGAGTAAAGTATTTATGTTAATCTGTGATCATTTATTAGTCTTTATAAACATTAATTGATAACCAAGCAGGAAAAAGCTCCTTCCTAAATTACTGAATTGAAGGTAGAATAACTTTGAGCCAGATTTTCAGTCATTTATTTTTACAGACTTACTTGTCGAGCGAAAATAGAAAATTGTACGTGGCGTTGCATCTTAAATGAGAAGATTTGCTCAATTTTTTTAGCTTGATTTTATAGAGAAAAAAATATATTTTGGGGCCCCAGAGTGCTGAAGCAGTTTGAAAGTTCCCACTGAGCACTAAACATATAGTAGATAGCTGTTTTTCTCAGTCTTGGGCTAATCAGTTATATATGTATAAAAAAAATTGCATAATAGGATCACCAATCTAATTATTATCATTCTTTCAGCCATATTCTCCTCATGTATACCAAGTGACAGTTTGAATCTGAGATCTCTTGTGGTCACTTATTGCTCAGAAGAGTATGAACTAAAAAACCCTCAAAAATTACAATACTGAGGATTTTGAAACTACAAAATTTAACTCCTTTTTGCTTTCAAATTCATACATATTAGTCAAGTCAATCCAAACCTTTATCAATAAAGTACTTTTAAAAACAGCTGATGTCGACCAAAGTGCTGTTTGTATTGTCAGCTGATCAGTTGCTTTATTCCTACCTAATGTCTGATTCACGTGGCGCTGTTGTTTGTTGGTTTTCTGTTACACTGATTACTTAGAGAAAAAAAAATGTCAACATAAAACAATAAGTCAATTATCCATTTGTCTAGTTACTACATATAATGGAATAGGCAATAAAGTTAATTGAATACAAATTGGTCCGAGAGTAATAATTGATTCTCTACATTTCTACACTGACAGAAGAGTTATAATGTTTATTTTATGTTACTGTTTGTGTCCCTATTTTAATTGAATGAAAATGCCACATCATCTCACTGTGGGGCACAAGACACACGGCTTGATGCTGTGAAAAACATAAATAAATCTGCTTTCATTTGTCTAAATGACTGAACCATTTGTGTCTCTAATCATCCTCCCGTTAAACTCCTATTGTGAACAATTTACTCTTTGCTGTAGTGCTCTTGTGATTGATCTCTCGCAGTGCTTTCTAATGGTAGCTGTTGTTTTCAACAAAGCACAACAGAGATATCAGCAGCCTTGTAATTGATTCTGATTGTTTGGCTGTGTTTTTCCTTTAACTGGATGTCTTAAGTCTGTCTGCCTTTATGTCTTAATGTTTGCTTGTGATGTGATCCAATTTAAATGAGTCTGTTTTTCCTTTCCTGCTTTAGGTATTGTTTGATGAGTGTGAAGGGCTGCTACACAGACTTCCACATTGATTTTGGGGGGACGTCTGTTTGGTATCATGTATTTAAGGGACAAAAAGTAAGTCCATTTTCATATCTTTGAATTTCAGAAGAATGATTATGTCTTACAGTATTGATAGACTCAGAGTTAAGATTTTACCTCGCGCTGAATAACCTCTAAAATCTTAATCTAAACCCTCTTCAGGTGTTTTGGCTTGTGCCTCCAACCCCTCATAACCTCGCCCTTTACGAGGACTGGGTCCTGTCAGGCAAACAGAGTGATATCTTTCTGGGAGATCGAGCCGATGGATGCCAGAGAGTGGAGCTTAAGCAGGGCTACACCTTCTTCATCCCATCTGGTGTGTTGGCATGGTTGTTTCAAAATAGCCAGCGGGAAAAGATTAGCTGAAGCTCCAGTGGGCACAAATGCTAAGCTATACCTGTGTTTTGAACGGTATATTCAGCTATGTGCATGAATTTCTGACACCTCTTTAAAGTTATTTCTTATGTTTGCTTTTGTATGTAGGGTGGATTCATGCAGTCTACACTCCAGAGGACACACTGGTGTTCGGAGGAAACATCCTCCACAGCTTTAACATTCCTATGCAGCTTACTATCCATGAGATAGAGAATAGGACCAAGGTAGGAGTCCTACTGAATTATCAGATGGGAAATCTGATCAATGACTGCATATAAATATGAATATGTTGCATCCGTATTCTGCTGTTATTATAAAATGAAGGCAAAATAAGCTTTGATGGGCTTTGACATATGACACAATAATGTGATCTGGCTAATGAAAATTGTGGGATTGATGATGCACTTCTTGTACTTATGAAAATACACATTAACCTTAAAGATGAAATGTCAATGGTTCCTCTGTCGAGTACAGTCCACAGAAAAAAATAGATTCCTATGATGATTTAAAGCAGAAACACGTGTTCAAATTTCAGTGTTGCTTTTTTGTTACATTTTCTCTCGCTATTCCTCTGCAACATTTGTTAACAGGGCTGTCAGTCCTGACATCATATCCTGTCTTTATAACACTTTGAAACCTTTTTTAAGAAATACTAACCTGATATGTATTTTAGTTTTGTACAAGAAGTGTCCTGTCTGTGAACATAGAAGGTGAGCTCTGTACTGAAGCCCGTCACTAGGGGGAGCTCTCAGTGTTTTGACTTCACTTTCAGTTGCAAAGCTTTTAGATTCAACTCTAAACTTGTACTTCGGTTTACTTTATGATATTTAAGACTATTACTCTAAATAATCTCAAACTATAGCTGATATTTTCACAAAAGAAAACTTTGATCTCCTACTTGTAAGTATGATAGTTGTTTCATAAGGGAGCTCAGTAGCTTCTGTTGGTGTGTTTTTATAAAATTGCGTCAATTCTCCAGATTAAAAATCACAATATCTAGGAAACTATCTGGTGGAGTTGTGGAGTGTGTGTTTTTATTAGTGTGCATTAAATCAACAGAACACAACATTTTGCCTATAGCAGTAAGCTATTTGTCTCGTCTCTGTGATGATGTTGCTGCTTGCCAGAAAAATCTTAAAAACTGTTTATTTTTAAGAATGAACAATTAAGTGATGCAAGTAAATATAATGTGTTTTTCAGGTTAAAATTGAAGCTGGTTTTGTCTTTGATTTTAGGTTCATTCAAAGTTCCGTTTCCCTTTCTACTATGAGATATGTTGGTACGTTCTGGAGAGATACCTGCACTGCCTGACAAAACGCTCCTACCTATCACAGGAGGTCCGTAAAGAGCCTGTAATAATGGGTGAGTTTGTTTTTTTAATATCTTCTGTGAGTCCCCGGATACTCCTACTGTAGCTGTAATTATCTCTCTTAAGTTATTAAATCTCTTATTAAGTGTATTAATGAAAAACCTTTCGGCTGTCAACATACCGAGCTGTATTCCAACAGGCTTTGCAGCCACATTTAAGGCTCGTCAACCTTTGTCTAAAGCAGGACCTGCCTGATTCCATCTTTGATTACTATGGAAGAAAAGATCAAGAGTGTGGACAAACTCATTAAGTAATTTGTTCTCACTGTTTTTCTAATTTTATCCCATAGACAATGAGACAAAGGCAAACACAGAGAGCCCCTTCTCTGATTCCAGGAGCCAGGACCTGAATGAGGACTCGTGTGAGATTCAGGTCAGGGATGAGCAGAGTGACAAACTAGAGAGAGCCACTCAGGGTGGCCCCTGTTCTCCTGACAACCGGAGGGGCCAACACCTTAAAGCTGTTCTCTCTGTGGACTCTGAGGACAGCTGTAATCCCGGCTCCACCTCTATAGATTTCCCCCAAACCCCCTCTGACTCACCAGCTTCAGAATCTTTAAACAAATGGACGCATTTGACCGAGTTTGAACTGAGTGGACTGAGGGCGCTGGTTGAGAAGCTGGAGTCACTTCCTGAAAACAAAAAATGTATTCCAGATGGAATAGAAAACCCGCAAGGTCTGCTGGAAGACATGAAGGTAGATGAAAAAAAAAAAAAACCTGAACACAGTAAACAGTTCATACAGGTGTAAAGAAAAGTGAGAAACAGAGAATTCATTATCCATTTTTTTCTGTCAAGGCTTTATTAAAAGAGCACGCTGATGACGACCCCAGACTAGCGATCACTGGAGTGCCTGTGGTGTCCTGGCCGAAGAAAACCTTAAAGGTAAGACTGTAACAGCTGCGGTGTTAGACATTTTCCTGTCCTCTGTACTATTGTCCTCGTCCTACATGTACTTTAAACTGACTGACACACTTAATTTTTAGCTGATGAAGAAATTTTGGAATAATTGTTTTTTATTTAATTGGTTTGAGTTGTAGTGAAAGCTCCTGTGAGAAACTTAAAGTTTGTGTTTACTTTTGGCACCCTCGTCTGGACCGATTTCTTTGCTGCTCTGCATGTGTGCAGACATGTTTTTTGAAAGACAGATCTATATTTCTTTTCTGTTAATAACTGCATTTTAAAAGTGCACTTCATACCTTTTACCATTCATATTATCTTAGTTTAAACATCTTTGGAGCCAAACATGATGTTGGATAAAAGTCAAACACAAGTCTTTTAAATTTATCCAAGAAACTTGAGGAAAAAAATCCCACTGTCTGTTTCATTTGTTTATGAAAGTAACAAAGTATGTTTTCATTAAATAACACATTGATAAGTCTAGTTAAAGCTCCTGTGAGGTACTATCTGTTTACGTGAACTCTCTCGCCCCCACCTTTTTTCCCTTACATATTAAAGTCGTCTTTTTAACGAGGAGTACCATCCTGAATCTCACCAATATTAAACTTCTTTTCTACGCGATGATACAGATTGCATTCAGGACCGTAATCCAAACACATTTTATGTGCAGCTCTGTCTTTCTTTTCTCTGTTATTACAATTTGGAGTTTAGTATCCCACAAGCTACTGTAAGGCTTGTAATCATGGGTGTAGTGGCTGCACTGATGGTAATGAAGATGCACGGTCATGATGAAGGGATAGCAAGATTCTAGGTTAAATGCTGTGATGTAATAAAACACCTTTTCATGGATTTTGGACCTGTATACCGGTGACACCAGTATACAATATAAAAGGTGCTTTTTTTATACAAAATATTGCAGTAATCAATCTTGTCTTGTTTGCTTGTGTGGATCAAATAGTAGCATGAGCATCAATGTCAGTTTGTTCTGATAACCAGCTAAAACTTCTCAGTGGAGCTTTAATTCTTTTATTATATATGAAACATTATTGTATGAAATTGAAGGTAATTGAACACATGATTAGGGTTTAAAAAGACACAGTATCCGTCCAGTATCTGTGAAAATAATTTGTCCAGATGTAAAGTTTGTAATAAGTAGAGAAACCTTAACAGGAGCTGAAATCTATAGATTTGCCGTATATGAATGTATGGAGGTAATTTCTTTACATTTAAGAGCCTCTGGATCCCCCTTGCCGTCCCTCTAAAGGCCAGCTGCTAGTTTTTTGGGGGCCTCTTTGTGTTTGCCTTTTGTAATGAGATGCCATCTGGCTCCACTGGCTGTGTAGAGCCTGCTTTCATCTCCCTGTGATGCTCATCATGAATATGACAACACTTTTTCTGCATATTTCCTCCTCATTGGATAAAAGCTGACCCCCCCTCCTTGTTTCATATTCTAATCTGGAGCCGCCTCCCATTGGCCCTGTGCCCCTCAAAACCCCTCCTCTTTTCCAGGGAGTAGATCCATATTAATGAGACAGGCTCGTCTGTGTTTCCTACATCTGCTTGTGGTATTGTGGAGCTGTAGAGTAGGAGGGAGGGCTGTAGGCTAGACAGCGGTAGCAGGAGTACAAGGAGGAGGAGGAGGAGGAGACTGCAGCCATGTCAGTTTGCTGTGTGCTGGACGTTGTGTGAAAAACCAGCCATGGCCATGTCGCTGAGCGCTGATGATGAGGACTACGACTCAGACTCTGAGCAGGTTAGCACACCAAACCCCTGCAGGCAGAGCAAGGCCACCAGAGGAATGCATGTACCAGACAGAGCGGCGTGCAGCATCACAGGGCAGTGAGGAAATGGAGCTACCTGGAGAGAAATGCATTGATTTAGTCTTCCTCTTTGCTTCTTAGTCTTTCTTATGATTTTGCTGTTTGTGTTTGTGAGCCTGTGCGTCTCTTAGGCATGCTTGTGTGTTTTTGTCAGGTAAAACCAGCAATGGGAGAAGACTGTGTTTATATAGCTCAGAGCCTAAGGGCTGCTATTGGTTGTTTCAAAGCAGAGAGGCAGAGGTATGGGAATTCACGTAGATGCAGAGGATGAATTTTTCATGGCCTGATTGTAAAAGCATCGGAAAAAATTATAGAAGTCAAACAAATAAGATATGTGTGCTAGTTGAATGCTTTTGAGAAAATGTCGCCATTTTTAGATCTTATTTTCGAAGATGTGACCTGCTTCCACAGCGCGGTTTGTGTTTTTGTGAATTTAAATATTTCTCGGTCTTAACTCTGAACCACACCCCCCTTTAAATTTAATCTGTGGCTGCTTTTGAATTTGAGTGCTTTTTAGCTGTTTTTGACAGATAACATAAGACACACATAAATCTGCTTCCTCCAGTCAAGCGATTGTACACCATGTCTATCTCTTTGATATGTCAATATCAGGGAAAACATTAAACTTTCTAAATTGTGTTATACAAAATATTTAGTTATTAAGACTCTTTTTTTGCTGCGGCTTTCAATTCAAATGTTTAGAGAAAAACTCAGAATCAGGTTGTGGATGAATTTTAAACTTCAAAACATCTACTTGGATAGTTTGTTATTAATAATTGTAAAGCATTAAAAGCTGTGGATCAGCTGTGTTTTCACGCTGACCGGCTGTTTTCAATTCTCAGCTGTGGTGGAACTATTTTCTCCAGAGGGTTAATTTGTGCGCAACACGTGTTTCACTTCTTTGTCACATCAGGTCACCGAATAACACGTACGACAGAAATCTCGTGTCACTTTAAAAGCTTAACAGGAAAATAAACCCCCCAAGAAAATGTTAAACTGAAGTGAAAAGTTTGACTTATGTGAAGAGAAATCATCAATTTGGTCAAATATTTCCGAATATTCATGAACATGTGTTTGGTTTTTGTTAGTTTGGACCTCGGTTTGCTCTTTTCGTTGATAAACAGCAGGACCTGTCATTTTATCCTCAGAACACACTGTCTTGAATCTGTGTTTGAGGTGATGTTAAGTGTATCCAGAGTAATTGATTTTCAATGTTCTCCACAGTAGCTGAAGAGGCTCCAAGGCTGTGTCAGTGAGCATTAAGTGTCTGATTCTCATTATGTTCCCTGGCTCTGTGGGCTTTGAAGAGCCAAGAAATTACTGGTTGTTATCTGTACTCTCTATTTTTGACAGAGAGGAGAGGACACATGTACATACTATAAGCTTTTATGCAACTATTACTATTGAGGCTTGCAGGGCTGCTGATTTACTCAGGGTTGTGGTCAACCTCTCCTGTCATGTCTTAAGGAACTACTCACTTAGCAGACAGACTGGGGGGGTTAGAGGGGATTTAAGGAGCAATATGGACAAATATCTTCAGTATGTTTCCCTCCTAAACCTGCAGTTGAAGTGACAGGTGTGATCAGATGCTGATTAAGGTTTATGGATGTAACTCTGACCACTTGTCTCATGCAGAAGCTTAGTTTCAGGTGATGGTGCTTTAAAATGCAGAGAGATATTTTTCTTTTTCAGGGTTATTTAGACTGATTTTAGTGTTCTTGTGGAACAGACCCCCTGTCAATAATCCCCTGAATACCCCCAGACCAGTTCAGTGCAGATTGAAGAATCCCCACCCCCCTAATATCTGACTCTAATCCTGTCTGGTTAGCACATATCTGACTGCCTATGTCAGTCTATTTCATGGCTATTGTTGGAATAAATGACTGTAATGTGCCAAAGATTGAGCTTGCTTTCTTTTTCTATCAGAGAGTCTCATTACAGTTCTTATTGGTTACAAGTCTGTGTGTCATAGACTGTTCTGTTAGGGAATGGGACGTGGCTGTTGCTATGCTGACGCTAGGAAAATCTGCACTGCCGATGTAACTAAAGAAATCTTCATTTCTAAGAGCTGCAGTCTTGTGCACTCCTTGTTCTTTTGCATCCTCACACACTGCCACACATTTTCTCACATGGCTCTCCTCGCAGCATTTTGACACGGGGGGGCTTCATCTGAAAAATACATTGTTGTGGTTCTCATTTGGAGCCAGAGAGGAAGCAGAATACAGTATCACACAAGAAAAAAAAAATGAGGATGGAGATCAAAGGCCTGCTTTTATGAAATGGAGCACAATTGATGTGAACTGTTATGAATTAGTCTGCACGCCTTCTTGTACAGAATAAAGGGTGTGCTGGTGATACATGTGTGAAATGCAGCCATAAGTGCAGCTTCTCTTTGAAGGAAAAAAAAAAAACGCAGGCGAGTGGAGGGCTAAATTTGGAAGATGCCTTCAGGGACATTCTTGATGTGTTTGTTTTCTCCTGAATCCTACTGCTTTAATAGCCATGAAAAATATGTGTATGCACTCTGCACATCGTGTTTTAATCACATTTTTCTTTAAGGAAAGGGATTATACTAATACACGTTTTTTCTTTTTTTTCTCATAATAATAATAATACTGTGTGTGAGTTAACACAGAGCAAAGAGAAAATAAGCAGAACTGCCCACGTCCACCATAACACTGACCCATGTTAGGTTCAATAGCATGCTTTCGAATTACATAATATGAATATAAGGGTTCATTATCCCGTCATAACACCATCATTTAATGTAATGTAATATAATTATGAATACAGAACTGCTGGTTATGTATTAAGAAGCTTGACTTAAAGATATTATCACTATTAAGACTCAGCTGACTCACGCGTTATCTAATAAGACACTGTACATACCTAAAGTTCTACGCTAGTGTTATAATAAAATGTGCTTGTACTTGTAATATCCTACTTTGCTATATTGTACTGCCAACACAGTGATTTTTGCAGCATATATTAAAAAGAACACTTAACCAGATATCTAATCTTTTAATGCCTGTTTGTGAAATATTTGACTCAATCAAATATCCTCTTAATCCTTTTAGCCCAGGCCCCCCAACCGGCCGAAACCTAAGATGGCAGCGTCTCCTGCATCAGCAGTCAAGCTGTCAGCCAGTCGGGGAACATCTGGTGCCAGGAGGAGAAGGACGCGTTGCCGGAAGTGTGAGGCCTGCCTGCGGACCGAGTGTGGAGAGTGCCACTTCTGCAAAGACATGAAGAAGTTCGGTGGACCGGGCCGCATGAAACAGTCCTGCATCATGAGGCAGTGCATTGCAGTGAGTATATAGTAAATACTGAATTTTTAATGTGATGTACAAACAGAGTAAGAACATCTGCGCTACATTTGGGGCATAAGCAGGCACATTTGTTTTATTGTCAAGGGTTTGATTAGATTAAAGATCAGAATCAGTTTTATGCCTGCATGTGAAACAGGAGGCTAAGGTCAGTGGGCGGTTGGTCTAGCTTAAGACTGAAATCAGAGGGGCACAGCAAGCCAAAGGTGGGAAAAAATCCACCCACCAGCACCTCTTGCTCTTTAAAGAACATCTGGTTTGTTTGAGCTACACAAGAACATTTTAAAGTTTTGCACGAGCAGTTGATTTTCTCCAGCTGTGAATTATTCCATCTTCCACTTTGCATATTTTCACTTTACGCAGAAGATGACTTTCTGTTTGATTTTGTTTGTTTGTTTGTTTCTTCATTCACATAATCTTCCAAGTCAAGCCTAAGATCATTTTCTGACCCCTCTCTATCGTGTCCCTTTCTGTTTCACCCTTAAACGGGCTGAAATGATCTTTGACATACTCCATCCATCCATCCATTTCCTACACTGCTTATCCGTTTCGGGGTCACGGGTGGGCCGGAGCCAATTCCAGCTGGGTACACCCTGAATCGGTCGCCGGTCGGTTGCAGGGCCACATAGAGAGACAAACAACCAGTCACGCTTACACTCATACCTAAGGACAATTTAGAGTCGCCAGTTAACCCAATGAGCATGTTTTTGGTCTGTGGGAGGAAGCTGGAGTGCCGGAGAGAACCACACATGCATGGGAAGAACATGCAAATTTCACACAGCAAGGCCCTGCCCGAGCCGGGGATCAAACCGGTGACCTTTTTTCTGTGAGGCCACTTTGACATACTCTTAACTTAAAACTATTAGTTGTGATCTGACATAGTGCTGGACGATAATTCGATAACAATATATATCGATCGATAGACGTGTGGAGCGATAGAAAAAAAACGGGTCGATAAAAAGTTCGATAGAAAAACACAGTTTCCCTTTCTTTTTCATCATAGCCTATCATGTAGCTTTTACTACAGTCATTACTTCCTCCCAACCAATCACAAACGCAGACCCAGGTACGCTACGGCACCAAGCCCAGCCCCTATCAAACCACAACAGACAGCACGTGTATTAGAAATAATGTAACAGCAAGGAGAAGCGGAGGAAATTGTCCCGAAAAAAGGTTTCAGTAGTTCACCAACATGGCAATGTTTTGGTTTTTAGAAGTCTGACAAAAAGCAAACAGCGGTCGTTTGCAAAATTTGCAGAGAATTAGTAAAAACCAAGTCCGGTAACACAACCAACTTGTTTTACCATCTAAACCGGTCGCACCCGCAGGAGTACGAGCTGTGTCGGCCGCGCCGCGGCTCCACGTCGTCGTCGGAGGAATCCTCTGGAACCGCTGTTAGCACCAGCACAAAGCAAGTGAAGCAGACCAAACTGGACTTCGTTTCTTGCCAAAATACGACAAAGCGTCCAAGCGGCATAAGGACATCACCCATGCAGTAACATGCTCCATAGCGAGGGACATACTGCCAATAACTACCGTTGAAAAGCCTGGCTTCGACCAGCTTCTAGCCACTCTCGACCCGCGATATGAAGTGCCCGGCCGCAAGTATTTCTCAAACACAGCGCTTCAGGCATGAAAATGGGTCAGGGGTTGAAAAGGTGAGAAGGGTGCGGAGGAAATACGCTCCGGTGTAGCTTCTTAAAGTGGAAGAAAATGAGCTCATATTTTACAAAGACGCGAGTATTTGGATCATGGCTACTAGCAGGGGGGGCATTCGGCAGGGGTGCATTCTACGACACAACACCGGCGTGGATAAGTCCTGCTTCTCGTGCTTAGTTTGTTTAATAAGTCAATCACATGATAATTAAAAAAAATAAATCTCCCGACCCCAGGAGAAATATTTCAGTGTTCAGACACCAGGCTGTGGGCAGTTTCCCACACAGTTAAAACTGGTAGTATGCTATTCCCACCTAAAGCTATTCTGTTTATTTATATATTTGTTTGTTTTGTTTATTTTCATCAAAAGACTATTTAAATATTTATTTATCAGATTTTCTGGTCACTTTAGTCTTTATGTTTGTCAGTATTTACTGACGTCACTCAGGCCACTTAAGTTGATTTATTTTTTTTTTAAGTTCTTTTTAAAAAAAACTTTCAGTTGTGGTAAAAAAAAAAAGGTGGTTGAATAAAGGTTTGAATTTGAATTCAGTGCTTGTGTGTTCTTTATTAAAAGTAGGTCATTAAGCAATAGCATAAAACATCCAGGGCTGCAATTAAAATATATGTTAAATAATTATAATAATTATATCGATAATTATCGATATCGATCAATATGATTTATTTTTTATCGATATGCTTTTTTTCTATATCGTCCAGGCCTAATCTGACAGAGAGTTGACATGTCTGGGTGTTCGATACAGCAGATATCAATATCTAGGTTAAGACATCCTCTTCCAGGAGCTGTATTTTGTTTACATTTTCATTAATAACTATGATCCCAAGTGTGAAGTTAGAGAGAAGAGAAGGCATCTACAACTTAATTTCTGCGTTCAAGTTCTGACGTGTTTGCAAAGATTATTTCAAAGCTAAGAGAAGAAAACAGAACACTTACGATGCTCAAATCTTCTCCCTCGCCTACAGATTCTGCATTTAGATGCAGATGCCTGTTTATAAAAACTCAACAAGGACTAAATGCACTTGACAGCCTGCTAAAAATAGTTTCAGTAATGCTGTCTGTGTGTTGATAGCTATAGAAGACATTGGCTGACCACTGTGCACAGATTAACAATTCTTTCCTTGCAAGAAAAAAAGGTTAATTTTTTTTTTTTTTTAATTAACAAACCACAAACATCCTCAATGACTCATTCAGTTCATCTTGTGCCCCGTGAAATGCTGCTCTTCTTATGGCGCTCTTATAAAACAGTCCGACTTAACAGGTTTCATATTGTGCTCACCGTTTTTATTAAAAATACAAAAACATTTCGACACCCTTCTGAGCAGTCATATTTTCATTTTGTTCCAGGACTAAGTTTCTCACAGCAGCGCTCAAGAGTCGACTCTGTTTGTCCTTAAGCGCACTAATGGATCCTTCACTACATCAATAAGATTCAGCCTTCTCTACAAGTTTGTTTTCATAGCACTGTTTACTATACAATGGCTACACAGAACATAGAAATCAATGTACACTTACAGTATGATTCACCATAAACTGAGCTTGAATGTTTCAGCACCATGGACAGAGACACGTAAAAGACTTTGAAAAGTCCCGTTTGGTTAAAAAGGTTCCTATATGACCGCGAGTCTTTCAGTGTCAGCCATGATGAGAGAAGAAGGTGAAGGAGCTCCTTTATTATCTGCTTAAGCTCAGGATACACTTGACCATCCTTTACGAAAGGAGTGGACCTATTTTTCTTTGCATCAACTACATTCAAAGCTACACCCCTCTCTCATGCTGACAACAACAGATTAGCATGACAGCAGGTGATTTGAAGCTACATCAGCAGATTAAACAACTATTTTTATTGAAGCAAACATGATTTGTAGTCCATACAACAAAACTGGATTCATTTCACTGCATTAAAACAGTAAAATAAGGGTTAGAATATATATATTTTTATGGCTTGATGAGGTTCACAGTGAGAAATAGGCTTTGAGACCTTACAGATGTTTTCTCAGCAGCTGGAGGCTGTCTCTTCCTGAGCGGACGTTTAGCCTCATTAGCGCTGATTGATGTCACACTTGTTTCCACGGTCTACAGTATGTCTCTGCATGAATCAACGCTGTGCTAACCGCAGTTTATTTGTAGTAAATTGTAGTTGTAACAGATTCTTGTGAAATCAGTAACAAATGCTGCTTCTCTTTTCGTAACTCTAATATACACTTTAGTTTAATCCTGTGATGTTTAGAGAATAGGAGGGAAAGGACTCCGAGAGTAATTTGGTAAAGATGTCTGGATGTACCCTTGGTTTTACTTTTTCTGTGTGAGAGAGTGAAAGAGAACCACAATCTTTTCCATTTTCTCACACATGAGATATTTTGCTATTTAGCTGCTGTGCCCCAATTTGAAGATATGGCTGCGTGCTTTGATCGCAGGGCTGTGCCATGTATTTAACTCAGCGGGGATGATCTACTACAAATCAAATTAAAGTTTCACTTTGAATTGTTGAGTGTGTTGACTCAACGTTGAGTGGATTAAAAAAGTCCTGATTTGCTCATATTATCAAGTCCTTCTGTTTTTTTTCTCTGCAGCCCGTCCTGCCCCACACAGCGGTGTGCCTGGTCTGTGGAGAAGCAGGGAAAGAGGACACGGTGGAGGATGAGGAGGAGAAGTTCAACCTGATGCTCATGGAGTGCTCCATCTGCAATGAGATTGTCCATCCACACTGTCTGAAGGTAACAAATACTCCAAAATCAATGTGTGAAAGGCGACACCATAACTCACTCTCACTCTGTGTTTCATTGTTGTTTTGTGCTTTAACAGTCCTTGGACATGATTTAACAAATCCTCACAAAAAGGTGTATTTCTGTCTAATTTGTGGCTGCGATGTAAGCATATTCAGCATCTGATAAACCTTTACAGCAGCTTATTACACCATTAGCTTTTGGACTCGGCTTGATCCTAAACTTGAGACATTCAGTCAGTGAAGGAGAGACCAGTTTGTAAGTGGGCGTTATGGGACATCACAGCCAGGCAGAGGAAAAGGTGGAGCTGTTGATGGTGTTGATAAAGGTGTTTACTAAGAATAAAGCAGCATAATGCACAGTAAACAGCTGAAAAAAAATGTGTTTTTGCAGCTTGTAGCAGTTTTACAGTTCATAGGTGTTGAAGTTGTATTCAAGTTTGATCTACACAAACAACAACATCTGTTAACCATCACTTGGTGATCAGACTGGATAATTCATAAAGAATGCCTTGACTTTATACATGTATATATATTTATTTTTTTATACTGTATTTTTATAGAAACACTCAACTGAACATGTTGAAGCAAACAATTGGTCACCTATACATTCATACTGTTGTTGTTATCACTAATAGAAATACATGTCAGATACATCAGGTTGTGAGTTCACAAACACAATCCATTTTTCCCACTATTGCAGAAGTTTATCCACTTAGTGAGAAGGTCATTCTCTTCATATTCTGTACAGTATTCACTATATCTGTCCAGTCGCCAGTAGAATCTTTAACAAATACCTGTCTTGCACCGATAAGCAAGCTACAATCTTTCCCAAATAGATTGCTGTAAAGGAGCAGTCAACTTCAACACCGAAAGCCCTCTGTATTGCCTGTGTCACCCCCTGCCAATATGACTGAATGACTGGACATCCCCAAAATACATGAAAATGACCTGCCAGCTGTTCCTCCGGCATAGACCCCCTTCCATATCCCCCATCTTGATTTTATGTTTTTCTGATGTTCTCTTATATTTTAGCTAAAATGTCTTCTCCTATCATCGTGTGATGTTTCCTATAAATGCATTTGCAATAAAAAGATAAATATTGGGTCAGAATTCAGCAAAATTTACCCCTTTGAAAAAGCTTTGAAGCCTCAGTAAATCTGGACCTCGTGTGATGTTTGTGTTCAGGTGAAAGATTCAAACGGAGTCGTCAACGATGAGCTGCCAAACTGCTGGGAGTGTCCAAAGTGCAACCACGCTGGGAAAACAGGGAAAGTAAGCATCTGTAGGACTTCATTGTGTGTGTGTCTGAATCATCGCATGATTGAAACTGTCCACTTTGTCTCTGAAGTTCAGGATAAGAGCAATAAAGTTCTGTTCTTTTTCTTTAACCTTTTGGCCTCAAAGCAAAAAAGAGGGCCAGGGTTCAAGTACGCATCAAACCTCCCCGGCTCTTTATTGAAAGAACCGCGGCTGAACCGGGACCCAAAAGAGGAACCGGATCCACCAATGTTAGCTACAGCGACTGTTACAGCTCTGACTCCCTCGTCTGCTGTGAAGAGAAAGGCAGAGCGGGAAGAATGCCCGAAGAGGAAAGAGGACGAGCCTCCAAAGAAACGACCCCCTCTGCTGTCTCTGGATGGTACGCCCCGACCTCGGCTGGAGGACAACCCACTGAGGAAAAAGAGGAAACTTTTCGACACCAGTGATGAACCTGTTATTGTAAAAAAGAAGGTATGAGCACTATCTATTGGTAAGAGATGATCATATATGCTGATAAAGTAGAGGCATAACAACTCTTTTATGTATGAACTTGATGGTTTGGACGGTTAACTTGATAATCTTGAGCTATTCAAAATAACTGGTTTAGTAAAGTTGCATTTTTGTGAGAAAACAAAAGGCCAAGACAACTTGACCCGCTCTACTTGTGAAGCCTGTTAATTCCCTCAAGGGTTTATTCAACCACACCAGGAAATGGTCAAACTGAATAATTTGACGGCTTTGAAATAAATGATTGTTTTTATTTTGTTTTTCGTAGAAGAAGCTTCCAAAACCAGAGGATCCTTTGACCCCAAAGCTGTTGCGACAAATCAAGACAGAGAATGATCACGTTGAGGACGATGATGACCAGGATGATGAGGATGGATTTTCTTTGGACAGGATTCGTTTTAAGCCGAAACATGAGCGAGATGACGAGGACCCAGAAGAAGATGAGGACAGAGAGGAGAAAGAGATAGTAAAGAGGGAAAGAGACAGTAGTGTCGAGGAGAAAACGAAGTTCCTGTTAAATCCTCTGCTGAGAACAACAGGCGGTAGAGAAAGTGATTTGTCCACCAGAGCCGGACCAAGTGGTGAAGCAGTAGACGCTCCAGAGAAGAGCTCAGCTCAGCAAAAGAACCGCCATCAGCGCCGCCACCTCTCCAACAAAGAGCTGAGCAAAGAGGTCAAGCAGGAGATTCCTAAAAGAGAGGACTGTCTGTCCAACCAGAAAAGCGTCTTAGTGAAGACAGAGGACAGCACGGCCAATCACAATCGACGACCGCTGAAGAGCGAGGACTCTGTGACCAATCAGAACCGTAAACCACTGAAAACAGAGGACTCGGGCACCAATCAGAGCCGAAGGACCATTAAAACTGAGGAAGGCTTGTCCAATCAAAACAGACGGCCGCTGAAAACTGAAGACAGTCTGGCCAATCAGAACCACAGACCGGTAAAAGTGGAGCCCGAGAATGATGTCGACGACCAAAAGCCGAGATGGCCTCTCAACAATGGCAGTGGCGATCTTGGCGACTGGCTGAGACACAGAGGGAGGGAGGTGACTGAGACTCAGCGTGGTTACTCACCCCTCAGCTGGAACAGAAACCCACCCATCACACCAATTTGTCCCCGCCCACTTCCCTGCCGCTCACCGCCAAAATGCATCCAAATGGAACGTCACGTGATCCGTCCGCCTCCCATCAGCCCCCCGCCTGACAGACTACCTCTGAATGACGGCGAGGCACATTTGATGCGAAGAGAGATGTGGATGAAGGTGTTCGGTCACCTGACGCACAGAGATCTGTGTGTGTGCATGCGTGTGTGTAGGACGTGGAACAGATGGTGAGTACAGGATGCACCACAGAGCTGAAAAGACACCGTCCACACTTCAAACCGGTCTGTTCATGCCTGCTGCGTGTCTCACCAGGTGCTGCGACAAGAGGCTCTGGAAGCAGATCAATCTGAACCGCTGTAAATCCATCACTCCTCTCATGCTGAGTGGAATCATCCGGAGACAGCCGGCAGCTCTGGACCTTAGCTGGACCAACATCTCCAAGAAACAGCTCAGCTGGCTTATTAACAGACTACCAGGTAAATGTCTTTAATCTCACTGCAGAATCATTTCAATTAGTCCTCGGAGGAAGAATAAATAAACACAACAGAAGTAACAAAACTGGAATAAATTAACTAAGACAGAAGGGAAAAGACACAAAGTTTAAATCTCATTTTTTTAAATGATGGTTTACTATATGATATAGGAAACAATATGATATGATGGGATAAAATAAGACAGAAAATGATACAAAGCAATAAGATAAGAAACAACAAGAAAGGATTTAATGCAATAAGATATGATACGATGGGATACAATGTTATATAACATGAAACAATGGTGTGGCTCAACAAAATACAGTACAATAAAATGATCAAGTACGATACAGTACGATGCGATGCGGTATAATTTGTTATGATAGGATACAGTTTGTTTTGTTTTGATACGATGCGATACGATTTGTTACGATACAATATGACGTGATATGATACTGCTGATGCAGTACTACATTTTATGGTCTCCCGATGAGTATTTGTTTTGGACTTATGATGTGACGCGATATGATTTGTTACAATACCATACGATTCCTCATGATATGATATGATACGTTCGGATTTGATACAATACAATACGATTAGTTATGACATAATACGATACACTATAATGCAATACTGCTGGTACAACACTACATTTTATAGTCACCCGGTGGAAATTTGTTTTGGACTCAAGAGTTGCATGTATTCATTAATCTCTACAGTTTTATAAAATGATACACCTTTTATTATTATTATTATTATTATTATTATTATTTTTAAATTATTATTATTATTATTATTATTATTATATTTCTAACATTTATATTTTATATAAACACAGTATATATAAAAACAGTAAAACAAATATTATGTAAGTGGAGAAGCACAAATTAAAAGCCACAATGTGTGTTACACTTTACCTGTATTTTACATGTCTTACATTCGCTCAGTTTATAGGTAGCTCTGGTAATTTCATGACAACTTCTACTTCTAGCCCTCCCGTTTTAACAGAAACATTCACACTTTTTACTTCTTACTTCTTCTTTACTGTAGCGTTAATGCATTTTGGAGTTGTGTTTTGTGTTCCACTTTCCTCACATTAAGTCCTGTTACACAGGCGATTCCCTCGAGTGTCCGTCAGCTCTCTATCTCATGCAGCATGACCTTAACAACCAAGATGATGATTCCAGACAAAACAAGTGAGAGAGGTTTGATCGGCTGCAGACAAAAGGCTTCTAGCAAGTGTGCTGTGTTTGACTAACAGCAAGAAATTATCGCCTCATAACTTAAAGTGAACCAGCCAGCATTTGTAACAGTGTTGGAGTCGACTCAGATCTGCACATTGAAGCAAAACTAAGCTCATCGTTCTTGTGGTCGTGAAAACAAGTACTTTGCAAGTTATTTGCAGCAGTAAAAAGTAGGTCTTCGATTAAATAAAGAACATATTTTACCCAATGCTGTAAAATCAAGTGCAGTTCAAGTCATTTAATGAATCTCTTTTATCAACATATTTGCTTGACAATGACTCCAAATCTGCATAAACTCAAGGCAGTTGGCTAAGGCAGTTTCAGGTATTGATAAAAGTGTGTTTATCCAGCATGTTGTTTTCACTCCCATATGTTTCCATATTGCTCATCCATCTGGATAATTGTGTCCCCAGAGGTTTGCAGATTTAGATGCTTTACTTTTGAAGCTTTTCTTTGTTCCTTCTAAACGTCTCTGCTTGATCATTCGGCTAATTAGATTCTGCTTTGGTTTATTTTGTAACCTCAGATTAACTCAAACTCTGTAGACGGAAAAAGGGAAAAAATAGGGCACATTAAAACTGAGTCTGGAGTAGGTTTAGCTTCTGTGTTGGTGCTTGTGGCTGCACAGAAAACAAACCTTTTCAAGATTTACAGATGATCAAGTGTATCGTAGCATCATGCAAACTCATGAGGACCAGCGTGTGATCGTTATTTTTTTTTTTACTGCAGGTTTGCGGGTGCTGCTGCTGTCGGGATGCTCCTGGGTGGCTGTCTCTGCTCTTTGCACGTCCAGCTGTCCGCTCTTGAGAACTCTGGATGTTCAGTGGGTGGAGGGGCTGAAAGATGCTCAGATGAGGGACCTACTGTCACCTCCTACAGATAACAGACCAGGTACTCAACGTTTTACTCAACGCTTTGTGGTCCCTCACCTCTTTCGTTGTTAATTTAAAGAAAAATGTAAATGTCTCATGTTGAAAACTTAATGTAAATATTTAAAGAAGAGGTCTAAAAAATAAAGGCTGACTCTTAAAAACACGGTTACGTTATATCTTAATGTTATCGTGACATAGAGGGGCACAAATAGTGCATTCATTTGGGACTATTTTCAGACAAGGATTAATACTCAGTTAGGCCTCTAGTGGTTGTTTCCAGCCGTAAGAGTGTGAACGTGGGATTAACTCAAAATAAACTACAGACCCATTTTTACCCTAATGGATTAAGGAACATCAATGCAGCAGTGCGGCTCATCAAAGACTTTTTAATCATTTTTTAACAACAGTGGAGCTCTGCGGCGCTGAGGTATAAGCTGTGTGAGGCTTTGAGACCGATTAAACTTGTTAGAGGAGTCCTTTATATTAATCTTTATTGAATTCATGGGAAAAATTAAACACAAGAAGAACCTAAAATATCACAAGACCCATCTTTAGGCATCATACACGGTAAAATAACTAAAAAACAGGACCATGAAACTAAATTAATTCGTATGCTCAGACATTATTAGCCGCGCATGTTTTCTTCTCCACACCTCTGATAATCCTGTTTCTGTCTCTCTGTAGGTCAGTTGGACAACAGGAGTAAACTACGAAACGTGGAGGACCTGCGTCTGGCAGGTTTGGACATTACAGACACGTCTTTGCGTCTCATTATTCGCTACATGCCATTGTTGTCCAAACTGGACCTCAGCTACTGCAACCACGTCACCGACCAATCCGTCAACATCCTCACCGCAGCGGGGACGACCACCAGAGACTCGCTCACGGACATCAACCTGTCAGGTATGAGGAAGCCTGTATTTGCACACTGCAACCCAAAAAGCTGTAATATTGGCTTCCCTGTCTATTATTACATATATAATAATAATAATGATAATAATAATAATAATAACAGAAAGTAAACAGAAGTTTACAAAGTGCTTTGACAAACAGTCGTAAAGCACAGAACATCAGCACATGGAAATAAAAACAAAAGCTCAGTTAAAAATAAGCCCTCTGAATTGAAGGCCAGTTTCATTTGTCATTAGGAACCCAGACAATACAAGAACCCTACAACATAAAATGAGATCATGAGGACCAAAATAAAAACATAAAAAGGTAAGAAAAAGAAATGTCATAAAAAAAGGAGGGTAGAAAGCAGGAAACCGGATAGTAAATATAAAAAGACGATATTAATAATGATAATAAAATCATAGTAAAATAATAATGACGGCAATATTCATGATTAAATGGAATAACAAAAATGAGCAGGAAAATCAATAAAAGGCCTAAAAGGTTAAATAGGAAAAGATAATAAGTAAAACAGGCCAAAAAGACAGTAAGTCGAAATAAGATAGAGGTAAAAGAGATAAATGAAAAAAGAGAAAAGACAGCATCACATAAACAAGTCTGTAAAAGTTAGTTTTTAAATTGGACTTAGAAGAAGCGACTGTCTCTGCACGCCGTATCTCCTCTGGCAGGTCGTTCCAAAGTCGAGGAGCTCTGATGGAGAAAGATCTATCACCTTTAGTTTTCAGCCTCGACTTTGGAACGACCAGGAGGCCTTCGCCAGAGGATCTGAGGCTGCGAGTTGGTTCATAAGGTGTTAAAAGCTCTGAAATGTAGCTTGAAGCAAGTCCTTCGAGCGCTTTCAGTAGTAATCTACACATTTACATGACAAAGGTGAAAGGGGCACGACTTGTCAACATCCACATACACACACTCAGACATGCATGTACAGCGGTGTCCTGCCCTGCCAGCTCTGACACAACACATTACCATCTTCTTTATTGGGCCTCTGTTACCCTCTCTGTGAAGCAGAGTGACTCCTGAGCAGGTGTGATAGGGGCATAAATATCACACCTTGATATGGCAGTATGTAAGCACCTTATGTCATCTGGAAGTCCATGTTCATTTGACCTGCTCCTTCTTTAGGCTGAATAAGAAATTTACAAGGTACGGGAATTGATCCCTGAGGATTCCCACTCAACATCTGAATCTACAGATGAATTAAGGTGATTTTCTTTAATTGAAGGAAAGTCCTGACTCTTGCTGATTACTACACTCTCCTAAAACTATAACATAACATACGGATAACACCTTCTAAAGTCGATTTCTTTCAGACGGGGACTGTTTACTCAATTTCGGAGCATCACGAGGCTGCAGTCAAACAGATAAAACTCACAAAAGATGGAACTCCTCTTGTAACTGAATTTCCCAGACTGCATCACCTACATTTTACTAAGACAGCCTTTTTATTTCACCCAACTAAAGCAATCCATCAAAACTATCTTGAGATAAATCTGAGCTTCCTGAGCGCTTTAATGGTTATTTTTATTGAATAGTTTTTAGAGAAGCTCCTGGTGTTATTTCTTGTTGCGCTGTCGGAGGCGTGACAATCAAATAAAGATTGTAAAAATCATTTTTTATCAGATTCCGTGCCATTTGTTGCAGAGTGCACCAATGCTTAAAATAATCAGATCTTACACTCGTCATCCCTCTGGAAAACCATTAAAACCCTAAAGCGATGAATCATAAGGCCATTGTGGAAACAGCTATAAGGCAAATGCATTTTCTGTTGGGGGGAACTTCCTTGTCATTATCCTGCTGCACCTCTCACCATCATGTTGTTATGCCCCAGAGTGTCCTGAAAGGCTGATTATTCTAACCCTGTGTGTAACAGCATATGTCTGATCCGGTGACCTGTTAGGCTTCATTTGCTTTTCCTCTCTCTGCAGTCTGTAACAGGGTCACAGACCAGTCGCTGACCTATTTCAAGCGCTGCGGGAGCATTTGTCACATCGACCTACGGTACTGCAAGCAGGTGACCAAGGAAGGCTGCGACCAGTTCATCGCAGAAATGTCCGTCAGTGTGCAGTTTGAGCTCATCGAGGAGAAACTGCTGCAGAAGATCAGCTAAGATGAGGAACACAACCACACGTGGTGAAGACACTGTCCACACGGAGGCAGCAGATGACTGAGGACTGTGTTTCATGGACGTCTGCAAACTACTAAATAGACACAATGACGGTGTCGGTGTCTGTGAGACTGGTGTTCCTGTTTCTGTAAATGGAAGCTGAGCTGCTCAGCCAGAATGTAAAAACAGAAATCTTGTCCTGTGAAGGCAAAAATGCAAAAATGATTTTGTTGTCGTTTGCACTTGTTTCTAAGTTATTTATTTCTTTATATTGATTGTATTGTATCATGTTTATCTTTTGGTGTTGATAGATTATTTTTTCGTTCAATGCAAAGTTTATTGCATTATAGAGTAATATTTTTGTATCAGAAAGTGTTTCATACATTTAAGTGCAGTATTGATTGCACCATTTACCATTGAAATTGATAATCAATCGGCATTACTGTTAAGCTCTTTATTGTCAAGAGGCAAAGGTCTATTGATTTGTTGCCAAACTGTAGGATGTAGCTTGTGTTTGTGCGAGTGTTTTTATATTTTTTATCATGTTTCTGACATTTTTATTTCCAAATCCTGACTTCATGTTCTTTTTGGTGAGATATGTCCAAGAGAAGTTATTTGCACTGACACAGAAATCACGAATACATGAATGTATTCACACGTACACTACACACTATACGGTGTATAAAGCTTATTTTTTCAACACTAAGATGTTCAGCTTATTCTACTAACAGCTTCTAGTTAACCAGGTTGTAATTAAACAAAGTCACCAGCCTGCATCAGCTTTGAGCAGTAATGGTGCTTTGTGACAGCAAGCGTTCCAGCTCTGCATGCTGCAAAGAAGTTCACGCCACAAACACTAGGTTTAGTGACTGTTAAACAATATGCCATCTGTTTATTCCTGTCTTTAGCTTGTGTGTCCACATGAAAATTAGTTTAAGAGTTTAATCTGGCCAAAAATAAAGAAATGACAAAGTCAGAGTTTCTGAATTCAGGAGGGAAAAGGAAAGTTTTAGACCTTTAGACGGGGTCTGTAGGGTGCAAAAAAAAACCTCATGATCTCAAAATGTATTCTTTTATTTTAAAAACATATCCAACCAGTGTGAGTATATCAGTCATTTATCTGCGCCAATCTTGACTAATAACCCCAAAGCTTAAATCATAACAGTAGATCTGCAGAGTGTTTCAGTACAGTATAAGCAGGATCTTTTATTGTTTATACCGTGCTATTAGAAGATGAAAAACACACCTTTCCTGAGAGATTTGTGCATATATAGAATTTATAAAATAATTTTCTTTTAATTTCTTTTTTTTGTTAGCAGTTCTACTGAAAGATGTTTATTCTACACTGGCTGTTTTAGTTAAAGCTCCTGTGAGGACTTTTTTAACCGCTCATAAAACTGACTGACATTAACAGTGATGCCTCTTTATGGCTGTCAAAAGCAAATAAGAGAACCAGCTAAAAGATTTGCTATGCATAGAGTGTAACTCTTCATGCCTGTAACTGCTGCACAGGGGTAGGTGTCAGAGGAGAAGATTAACATTTTTTTTACAGCAAATTTTCACAGTGAACGAGTGCGACATTTGACTGTTGAAACTCTGATCAGTCTGAAAACACAACCTACATATGCACATAGGAACAAGACTGGTAAAGAGAACAAATACAGCTGTCTATAGTAGAGAGGAATAACATTTTTTCACCAGAGGGGGCGCCAGAGTCGACACAGAACAAAGTCACTCACAGGAGCTTTAAAGTAATGTTTTAATTTTTTTGACTTTTTAGTTAAAATGTTGATTGATGATGTTTGCTGCAAACTTTTGCATTTATAAGTATTGTTCTAACGCATTAGTTCATCATTGTGAGTTAAAAAATATTACAGATTTTTCTATCGGAACATTTGAACTCATTTTTTTCCCCCTTAAGTCCTTAAAAGTATTTGTGTACCTTTTGAGCAGCACTTGACACAGTGGATAGGTTTACATTTCATTTTTTATTCTTTATATTTTCTTTTTCATTTTTTTAAACGACCATTTCTCTATTGTATATTTTTTACATTACTGCAAATGTCCAGTCTGTACATAATGTACATGTAAAGCCTCTAGGAAAAGTTAAGTCAACTTTTTGGTTTATTAAATTCATTTGAAATACTGAGCTGTGTGTGCACATGATCCTTTAGATTTATGAGCATTATTATTATTATTATTATTACTAGAAAATATGTTCAAAGTTCATTGTTGCTGTTGTTACATCTGAGTTAAGATTGATAAAGAGCTACATAACCTGTAAGAGAAGAAAATCAAGCTGAATGTATAAATAATGAGCAGGGTTTTACTTTCTGGTTTGTAATACTGCATTTTATTGAATCTAATAAATCATTTTCTCTGGTTTACCAAAATAAAAAGGTTCAACATTCCAAAATATAAAGATCCAGGATTATGAGTGCTCACGATGACCTCCTACTCTGGTAAAACTGTAGCTGCCCGTGAATGACATCTTGGAGAAACAGCAGCATCAACACACAGACTTACAGAGTTACAGGGTTTGTTACAGTGCATGATGTCGGTGTCACGTTGGGATCTCAAGCAGACGATGACAAAAAAAACGTGCTGGAAACCAAAAAACTATGACTTGCAATTTTAATGATGAGAGAGGGACACGATAAGAGAAACTCACCCGACCCGAACAAGCAGTAGTACATTCTGAAAAATGTCATATTTATTTCTAAACCTCCATAATAATTATTAGAATTTCAAATCATGTTGTTGCTGAAGTAAATGGAAAAATATACATTTAATATCTTTTAAATAAACAACAATATAAGCTATCTATGCAATTCACTTAACAGCTTCTTTTTTTTTTAGCACAGGCATACTGTACACAGATATTTGAGTGAGTTACCTGGATGTCAAGACGAGAAAACAAAAGTGTTAAGTTTGCATAACAGGTTAAAGTAAACCAGGCTTCCTCTACCTCTCAATGCATGATGGAAGGTCGCCGTGACATTTACAGGTATGTCGACGTTACACTCAGAACAGAGGAAGTAGCACCCGTTACCTACCTAAGATTCAACACATTAGTGGACAACACAACCAAAGAAAGACACTTGGTAGACGTGGAAACTCGATGGTATTGCTTGGTGGAAGTTTTTTCGAGAGGAAGGAAGAATTACTGTTGAAAAAAAATAAATGAAAAACTGTCAAAAAATCAAAAAATAAAAGTCCTCTTTCGGGTTTTCTCTGGAGTTTTTGGCTGCAAATCACGGTCTGCCCCTTGAAAAAGAGATGAAATATGTGACCCTTCTTTGCTGACCTGTCTCTATGACGTCTGAAGCTCATGACATGCGGTTTAAAGTCCAGCCTTGACTTAGGAGGTTCCTTTTATTTTTTTTAGTTATACTGCTGATGGGCCACGTTAAAACAAAACATATGAATAATAAAAGGAAAAAAACTGTAAAATCAATCAAATAAAGTTGTAATTTTATGAGACAAAAGCTTTGACATCACAAGTCTGCACCCTGCAGGACCCACAAATTTCAGCGTCCTGACACTTTGGATGATGTGGTGCTGATGTGCCAAAGGTGAGAGTATTTGGTTATTTGTGAAACATATACCTTAGTTTTACTTCAGGGGTGCCAGTTTAGCTCAGTGGTTAAAGCGTGTGCCTCACGCTCAGAGGCTCTGGTGCTCATTGCATTGGTCGCGTGTTCAACACCTGACCTTGACCCTTTGCTACATCCTCTACTCTTTAGATAAACAAATAAAGAAAAATGTAGAAGGGGGGCAGTTAGTTTAGCAGTTCATCCCGCACTTCACATACAGACGGCCCAGTTCCTTGAACCATATAAGTTATTCTCGTAAAGATTTGTTTCTCAAAATCGGACTATTCCTCTAATACAAGTTTGTTTCCACACAAAACTACGTTTATTTTGTTGTTATAATATCACATTATTCTCAAAATATTACAACTTCATCATCATTGCATTGCAACTTTTTCTCAGTTTTGTATTTTTTCCCATGTGGTCCTAATACCCCACCATACATGGAACAGAGCCGACCTGTGAACTGTCACTCTTCTTAAATGTTACAGGAATGTATTTCAGCTCTTCCACTGGTCACTTCCTCTTCAGAAATTCAATCTGTGCGCTTCATTTGAAGGAAATGCCAGAACAGTCACATCCTTCACAAAGAAAGTGCCCAAATATGTAACTTGTTCACACTCTGTTCCCCTAAAATGTAAGTAACGAGTTAACTATCACACCAAGCTTGCTGGTAAATGGATACACAAACTGTGAAATCTTAATCAAATATGGGTCAAAGGCATGACGTTTGGCACCTCACATCCTCTGTGGCTTAGACGAGATGGCTATAGGTGCATGGTAGTCAGATTTACAGATAGATATTTTTCTTAAAAACACGTGTAAGTCTCTTTTTTTCTGGTATTGCACATCCTAAAGAACACTGAGGGAGATAACACGGTGTCATGTGACATGACTGTGTAAACCATATTGACTCTAACCCTGGGATCTTATATTTTTTTATCATACTGCTTCTCTCTGCCACACAGAGAAATCTGATCCTCTTTAGGTGTCCACGGGACTGCCTCCACTCTCCTTTCCCCTCCTCTCCTCTCCTCTCTCCTCCTTTCCTCTCCTGTGAGTCAAACTAAACAGAGAACAGAGAGCTGAAAGTGATGGCAGGCGGTCTCTCCTGTGTTTTCATCATACCGATGAGGAAGAGGGTCCTGGTGCAGCAGGAGGAGGAGGAAAAGTGGGTCGGACACATGAGTTAGTAAAGGAGAACAAACCGTGGTAGGCAAGAGGCAACAGTCTGGTTCCAGAGACCTCGTGCCCGCTGCAGCATCAGACCCCGCAAGACGTCATGCACAGCAGTTCATCCTCAGTGAGAAGTTCCCCTCTGACGCACACACACAGACACACACATACAGAGTTTTAAGACTTGAAGACGTGCACGGCCCGCACCACATACTGCCTGCAGATCGGGCACTCGCTCATCCTCTTTCCACACTTGGTGCAGGTGACCATGTGACCACATTCCAGCAGCACACAGTCGATGATGGCGTCCATGCAGATACGACACAGGTTTTCATCAGCCGCAAGCTGAGCTTTGACACCATCTGAGGACAGAAACACACAACGGTTCTCTGCAGACTCAGTAAACTGTAGAGGGCTCAGATATTTATGTGCAGACAAAGATTACAGATTCGTCTAAAACTTCACGTGTTCAGAAAAGAACTGCAGTGGAAATATTACTGGCATTGATGAAAAAGTCAAAAAGATGAAGGTAAGGCGGGAAAAAAGAAACTTAGCAGACAGGTGATGATACACTGATGAAATCCACATAAACACATTATTTAGTGTACTTTTAGCAGGTTCTTTTGCCTATTTGGCTTAAAATTTTCTTTAAAAATTAAGATTTGTTTTCAGTTTGGTGGTTGATCTTTTTTATATCATTTCAAAAAAGGAAAAAAATATTTTGAAATGATTGCAAATGGTTTTAAATATTTCTGATGACCTAAATTACAAAAATAAATAGGATTTAAAAATGTTTTTAAGTAGGACTGAGTTGTTTTTTTCCATTCTTGTCCTTTAAGTAAAACAGTATGAGTTAATGTTTTATTAAGATTAAATTAACAGAGCCTTTTGAGGTTCTCAAACGTGATATAAGTCATCTGCTGTTATTTGTTGTTGTTGTTAAATACCTTCATTTTACAGTAATTTGCTGTTTTGATTACGGGAATACTGTTCAAAATATATTCTTACGAGCTTTAACGCAGGACTGTCTCTTTTTCTCTCACTCTTTCTGCATCTTCCTCTGCCCCCTCTCTAAACCCAATGCAATAATGGCAGATGACTGTCTAACATGAGTCCGGTTCTGCTCGAGGTCTCTGCCTGTTGAGATGAAGTGATTCCTCTCCACTGTAACTCTCTAAATTCTGCAAATTTTTACGCTTTATTGCTAACAAAGATGGGATCAGAGTTGGTCTGATCTAACAAGATGGGACTTGTACCCTATCATGATGTTGGGTCTTCCTGTAAATATCAAAAAGAGTACCGTTTAGACCAAATCCTTTGTAAAGCCTTTTGAGATAAAATTTGTTGTGAATTGGTGCAATATAAATAAAGATTACAGTTGGTTAAATTACAAGGGCAGCTGTAATAGACCAAGTAGGGGAGACCGGGCTTGTTGTCACATGGGTAAGTTGTCACATTGCAATTATCTTTGCCACCAGAGGGCGCAACTAAAAAGTGGAATATTAGTTTTCTTCCTTTACATAGTCAGGGGTCGTGTCCTGTCTGAGAAGAGACGAGCACATTGAGAGCTGAGATGAGCGCCAATTAACCATTTCGCACAACCCAAAGTAAAACAAACCTCCAAAACTTTATATATTTTAAAATAAACTTCTTCCAGATAAAAATCCTAGCAGTGATACATGTGGACATTCAATGACTTTTTCAAGCTCAATGATAAACATTTTTTGTGTCTGATGTTCACTTTCAAGTAAAAAAATGAGAACAATAGTTTTGTCCTTGTTTTATTCCAAAATCCACTGTGACATTTTACCCGATGGTGGGGCAACATGTCACATGTTCACACTCTCTATTTGATTGTTTATAACTCTGCACTGACACAAGGTATGAAAATGACATGAATACGAAATATATACCTGAGACTTTGGTCTTTCATCTGGTACACATTTTGTTTATATATGATGTATTGATTTCAAGAAATATACAAGAGTGTAAAAAGTGTGACAACAATCCCCGGTCTCCCCTATATTCTGCTTTTAAGAGAATCACAGACAGTCTGTAGTCAAATGTGGGTGTTTAAACCTGTTTCATCACACATGATGAGTGATTGACAGCTCAGAGGACAGCAGACAGGATACGAATCCATATGCATCCTGTCTGCTGTCCCTGCATGTACCGTATATGTCTAACTAGTATATGATCTAATGGGCTAATATGATCCTTCAGCCCTTCATGTCAACAAGAGATTCTTGAGGAAGCTTCATAATTTAATTACACCTGATGGAGACATGCTGCCAATAAAATAATGCCACAGCTCGTCAAAAGGTAAAAGCTCTCAGAGAGTGCATTATGGCAGGATGTGGGGATGCCCTTCAAAATAAGATGAAATGATACGCCAGACTGGAAAAGGGAGCGACAGAATGCAAACACAGTGAATCAGTCAGGAGGTAATGACTTGAGTGACCATAATATGATCATGTGTAGGATGAGATAAATGACTAAGTGGATGAAGATGCTTCAGCATGCCTCTACTGATGGTTTATGTCAGTGTTTATGAAGGAGATGGAGCTGCGAGGTGTTTTTTTGTTAAAGAAATCTTACCTCCAACTCCACTGTTGCAGAGAGGTGGAGGATATGCAACCACTTTATAGATAAAAATGGGCAATAATAAAGACAATCTATTAGTTTAGGAATAAAGTGTACTCTTGGATGTAAAGTAGCAGCATTGAAATCACATACATGTTAATTTCATATGTTAAATTGTAAGATAATGACATAATTTCAACACATAATGGTGAAAAACAGTAGTTACCTGCTGTTATGCTGACATTTTCCACTAAAGAAAAGAGAAAAAGTGTTGTTTTCATCAAAAAGAATATTAAGGTTGTCGATATTTTGATGCAATAATGTAAAAAGTTCAAGAAGAAGGTCTTACTGGACTTCCTGTTCTGCTTGTCTTCTCTGTAGAGTCGATGCACTCGCTCCAGCAGCTCCCACTTCTCACAGCAGCCCGAGTAATTGACAAAGTTCCTGGCGAGGATCTCTTTGAGCTGGCGGACGGAGAGGTTTTCTATGGCCTCTTCATTATCCAGATCAGACAGCGAGGCCCGAATCCTCCTCTGTGTCGCCGGACTGACCTGCGACCCGCACAGAAAAGAAGAGCTGCTGTCACCGACACATACCGTGCCCCTAAATGCCTCATCAGAGTCTCATTAAAAAGGCTTGTACCTCCATCATGTTTTCAGAGGGCTCCAGGTTTAAGAGAGACGCTGTTGGAGTGTCCTCATGCTCCTGTGGAGGACGGAAAAAAATATGTTTTTGTAAAAAAAATCAGCCAATCTAAACATTTAACTCTTCATACGGATAGAGAACAAGGTCGAACTATAATTTAAAGGGATATTCCAACGTAAAATTAATTTAGGGTCAAACACCGAGTTAGACACCCCCTCAAGAGATGAATGTTGCCGACCTTGCTTCTCTAGTTATACAAACTTTAGTAACGACCGCACGATAGCAATACACAGAGCCATGCGCTCAACCAAAATGCCACTCTATAGCCACAAATAATGCTCAGAACAGCACCGAACTTCATCAATAGTACATATAGGGTCCCAGCCACAGCACTAGCCACCAAACATCTTTTTAACTTTGCCTGATTTCTTTAGCAAAGAGACTAAACACAACTCACCTACTCTCTTCCAGCAGCCGCTTCAGGCCAGTCCATTACGGACTGCTGCGGGGTGACGCAGCTCAAAGAAGAACATTTATAATCATTTCTTCATGAAAATGCAATCAGACCGAGACGCTAAGGCAGAAGAACTACAGCATCTGCAGTGCAAAATTATTATTATGGTGACTATTACTTCAAGAGAATAATAAAGTAATGATCACAAATGTTCTTCCTTGAGTTGTGTCACCCCGCTGTAGTCCGTAATGAACTGGCCCGAGGTCTCGCTACAAACAGGCGGCTGCTGGAAGAGAGTAGGTGATTTGCTTTTAGTCCCATTGCTAAAGAAATAAGGCAAAGTTAAAAAGATGTTTGGTGGCTAATGCTATGGCTGGGACCCTATATGTACTGTTGATGAAGTTAGGTGCTGTTCTGAGCATTATTTGTGGCTATAGAGTGGCTTTTTGGTTGAAGTGTGCGCCTTTGGAGTCTCCTCAGACCGCTGTGTTTTGCTATCCTGCAAGTTGGTATAACTAGAGAAGCAAGCAGTCGGCAACATTAATCTCTCGAGGGGGTGTCTAACTCAGTGCTACGGTGTGTTTGACCCTAAATTTATTTTACGCCAGAATATCCCTTTAAGAATGTAACCTTGACGGCAGGTTTGAGGTCATCTTTCTACACCCTTTTACTCCATCACATATTCATAGTGCCTGATAAACATGTATAATTTCCTCCATCTCCATATTACTATCAGTGCCACGATAAAATACAACTTCCACAGCTCCCACTGATCTCGTTCTTTAAACTGCAGTGGTTCAGATATCTAATAAAAGAACAGAGACTTTGTTGTTGCTCTTAACTCAGCGGTTAATTATTCTCTTTGAAGGTGGGGGCCAGGATTTTGCCGGATGAAAAGAGGGGAAATGAAGCTGCAGAAAAGAGCAGACGCTGTTTGGTGCACAGCTGTTTTATCTCAACAATTTATATGCTTTGAAGAGACGACATGGCCCCCTTTATTCTTTAATCTGCTCGACAAAAGAGCTGAACTAAGTCAAAAATGGGTGATATCATGCTGTTCTACACTGTAAAAAGAGAAATCCTCGCCTGTTTCTGAAATCATGTTAATAATGTATTTTTTTCAGCGCTGAGGTGCTCGATGCCTCCTCTCACACAGACTTCAGGCTTTTGCTCCTCGGAGACAAAAACAAAAGACGTTCTGTTATGTGCAAAGTGCCAAACCTCTCTGGGGCACAAAGTTTCTTTGACTACATCAACATGTGAGAGTAAAAAACCCACTTGGAGATAAAATAATCAATCAAAACTGAACAAGCAGCTGAAATCATGAATATTTACACAGAAAATATTCAAGCACGTTAAATTTGTGTTCATAGTTTTTTACACTGATTGATAATAAAGTGTCTATGTAATAGTAAGAGAAAATATTGACATTGTTGAAGAGAAAGGACGGACGGACTGCTGTGAATGTTAAATAATATTTGGCTCAGTTAAATATCGTCACTTTTGGATTTCTGTCGAGCAACTTGAAATTACTAAGACAGACAAGTAAAACAGAATAAATACCGGGATTGAAATATTAAGAGAGAGAAGTGCAGATTCATTTTTCCATATACAGTAAATTAAAATCTAATGTTGTCTTAATCAGTAATATGTTTTAAAAGGATTTGTATCCAATAATGGAAATACACAGATATTGAGTTAAGATATAAAGACGTTGTTAAACATGGCTTATATTGATGTCAATACTTAAGTTACAATACAATATTTAAACACGAGTCAATGACTGTCTTGAATTTAATATGCTGTTAAAGGGGGGTATCTAAGAGCTGTGGTATCATACACAAAAGATGCCAGTGTAGTGTTGATACATCAGAGTAGCATCTGTTCATCTGTTTGCTGTGAGTCTCAGTTTTACTGTAAATAGTAACAAAGACACTTCACTCTGGCTCACTTGAGCAGACGAGTATAAAAAAAAAAAAAAGATTTTATTGTGTTGATAGCTTTGAGTATTTAGGTCGATTAAGATACAACAAAATAAAGTGATGCAGACTTGTAAATAATAATACCAGCAAACCTGTCCTTCAGTATAAGTGGAGGACAGGGGTGATCATTTCTGATGCGTTTCAGGTCGTCAAGAAATCTCACCACTGACTCAACTTTTTACAATACGACACCAATCACATTTGATACTGAAAGTGAACATTTTTGATCCTCCGCAGGTTGTTAACTGCATGTGTGTACAGATTTTTTGTCAATCAGATTATTGCTGATGGATTCTCATACTAAAAAGTGCAATATTAATACAACTCAGGGTCAGCTACAGTCGAATAAACTGCCTATTTATGACACTATGAGCAGCATAAGACCACTGCATGTGTTTATTGAAAATCCAGTTAAAATGATACTTTTGCAGCTGAAATTAGACTCTAAATAAAGTAGCAGGATGGGTTTCAGGCGTTCTATTGGGCTAGGTTTAAGATAGACCGTTTCCCCATGGTTCACAAATTTCAAACATCTTCAATGTGACACATTTTTTTTGTGCTGTTAACAAAAATAGATACCCCCCCAAAACTCTTCAAGCTTTCAAATGCCAGAAACTCAAAGGTGGGAAAAGGGGATTATGTGTGAGGGGGTGAGATCAGGGCTGTTCTGTAGCATCTCTGTCGTTTGGCTGCAGCTGTGACGCTGAGGGGAGTTCTCAACCTGTGGGCCTCTTACATAACGGACTCAGCCATGTAACCGACCTAAAAAAGGCAAAGAGCTTAAGCTGCGTTGCTGGCTAGTCTAAGGGCTCTGAGCACACACAGACACACATATGCGCACACTCACAAACACAAACACACACACACACATGGCTAACACAGCTGTCTCCAGCTGTCACGTTTGCATGCTGCTGATCGCTGGGGCTGCAAACCTGAGCTTTTCCAACGTGAACGGAGGGAAATAATACGGTCAAATGTGGTCGATTTTCAGGGAGAGATGTCAAAAATCATAGCAACACAACAAAAAGAGCACAAAATACAACAAATGAAATAATGTGCAAAGACATACAGGAGAGGGTGTTAGTCACTCCGCAGGAACACACTGAAACTTGTAAATAAGCAGATTTGCAAATGAGTTATTTTTGATGGAATGAGGACAGATGTGAAGGAAGTATGGCATATGTAAATGAGACTGTAACACACAGACACACACAGACCTGGCTGGTGGTCCCTGAGCTGTCACTGGGGCTGAGCACGTCTCCCTGAGAGGCGGAGAGTACCGACTGTTCAGAGGTGGAGCGTGTGGCAGAGGGAGGCGAAGCCGCCTGCGAGTTGGGGAGAGAGTGCAGACTGTCTGTGTCGTCATCACCCCCTTCATCCTCCCTCTCCTCCTCCTCCTCCTCTTCCTCATCCTCCTCATGTGCATTATCATCCTCCTCCTCATCCTCCTCCTCCTCCTCTTCTTCATCCTCTTCCTCGTCGTCCTCCATCACAGGTCCCGGAGTTTCCCTCGTCCCCTGATGACACAACACCAGGTCCACCAGGTCCTCTTTCTCCCTGCACGTGTCTGTAGAGATGTTGCGCAGCAGCAGGTACTGGCGCAGGTCTTTGACTCGGAGCTGCATGAGCCGCGGCCTCTGGAAGGCGGTGCCGCGCAGCAGGTGGCAGGTGGTGCAGCAGCGCAGGTTCTCCTGCAGCACCGAGCACAGGGCGCAGAAACTCTTCTTACAGTCACAGCAGATGTGCTGAAAGAGAAATAAGAAGTGATCAGGAACTTTTGCTTTTCTGACGGAGGAAACCAAAGATTTCCAACAACCTCGTTTTGAAAAGATGATCTTTTCTAAACAGGCCTCTGTTAACACATTTAACTATTTATTCTCCTACAATTTCATGAATAAATTAACTGTCTACTGAGAGTGATTTCAAAGATTTAAAGATTAAAAAATGGGCCAAATTGATGGAAGCAAAGTCAGTGAAGCTCCTGTTTGAATTAATGATAGAGACACTCTCATTTGCATCAGAATGAGCAATCAGTATCTTCAGTACATGACTAGTTGTATCTACTCACAGTGTATTATTAAGACAGACTGGTGATAAGAGAAGACTATAATTTATGAACTTCCAGCAGAATCAGGATGTGATTAATCTCTCATTTATTCATTTCATTAAAATCTTTTTTTTTAAGAGACATAATTTATTAACAAACGGATGAAAAACACTTTGAAGAGTTTTGATATAATGCCACAGGGGACAAAGTGGATAGTGCTGTTATCAGTGGGATTATTTTGCATGCAGTCGTATCTTTTCTGCATATTTTTGCTGTATGTTTAGACAAGTACTGAGACATTGTTCATTATTTATGAAGCCAAGCTGATCTGTAGAAAGTTACTCATCAATGATAGACTGTTTAGAGCTCCTGTGAGGAGTTTCTCTGTAAATGAAACAGACTGAAATTAATACTGATGCTTCAGCATGACCTAAAAAGCAAAACGACGATTTCTAATGAGTTATTTTTAGCAGCTGTAAACCAGGTAGGTGTCAGATGAGGCAAACAGAGTAGACTGTCAAAAGAGCATTTAACAATTTTTCCACACAAAAGATCTATTATGAGTTAGACTCCAGATATGTCAAACAAAAAATGTGATTTTTTTTCTTACAAAGCTGTACTGAACAAACAAACAAATGAGATTCTTTAAATGAACTCAATAAAAAAATATAAGAATAATAAATAAGCTTGTTGCTATGAATCCTCTAATCCAAGACCCACTTTTATAAAATGCAAAACAAGCTAATTTAGTTTTTGTAAAGAAACCTTTAAAGACACAAATCTTTAACATAAATACACCTATTTTATTGAGTAAAGTGCATTTCAAAGCACATGAACTGAGGATGAAAACAACTAAAGCTGCATATACAGAAAATATCAAATATGAAATTGCAGGAAATGGAGACCAGCAATATGAAAAATGTGACTTATATGCATCTCTGCATTCAGAGCATATTCAGAAGAACCTGAGGTGTGTGTTTTGTAAGTTGCACATTCAACTCAAACGGTGGACTTTCATTCCTCTGAGAGGAATCACCAACATGAATAAATATAACCTAATATTACAAACATGTTCAGGACAAGATCAGCAATGTGAGGGGTTGCTCCACCTGGTAGTTGTTGATAACACGACTCTAAGCATGCTGCTAGCTAATGTTAGCTGCCAAAGCTAGTTAAAATTCTGATAAGTAGCAAGTGAATTGCAGCTGTGTGTGTCTCCCTGTTAAAAAAGGTGCAGTACACATTAATGAACAACCTGGAGTGCTGTAACTTGAGCAATGATTTAACTCTCCAGACTTGTTGTCGGAATCAGTCAGTACTTGAAATGTGTTTTTTTACACATCATAAAGATCCCACGTGTTCAGCTGAGGTTCATACAGTGAGTTTGCAGTAAACAGCAATCTTCTTTATCAATCTTCAGGTGATGGGAACTCAGCTCAGACTTGAACCCTGAGAACTTGACTCAGACTTGAGGTTTGCTTACTTGACTACAACACTTGTCTTATAATTCTACAATATCATGGTACTCTAATAAATGCAGTATGATATGCATGTTTAGATTTTCCAAACTGTCACATTTCTAAATCATGTTTTTCCCCAAAGTCAGTCTCCTCAAGGTCAGTCCTCCTGTTGAAGAGAAACACTTGAAACCACAAACACTTGAGAAACAGCCGCCTGTATCCTGTGTGCTTTGTCATTTTCTTGGAAAGACTAAAGCAAAGAGAAAAAAGCCATGTGGAGCTCCTGGTGATGTCTGACATTTCACTGCCTTCACACTGTCTCCTGATAGAGAGCAGGGAGTGGATTGACACTTTAAATGTGCAGAAAGCAGGTCAGCGCAGCTCTGAACACTTTCTTATCACTCTGCACAAATGTGCCTTGGTCCACCAGAGGCAGATTTCACACCACAACACATACTTTTCTTCAGTCGTTTGTTGATAATCCCACCAGCTTGTCTTTTTTTTTTTTCACACTATGAAAAATTTCACGCAGACATACCAACGTGTGTGTGTGTTTATGTGTCTGGGGAGTCGGAAGCAGTGTGTTTGTGTGGGTGTGGATGTGGATAAAGTGATCTAAGTGGAACTGCAGCGTTTCATCTGTGTCTCTGAGCGTCTGACTGCCAGACAGAAACTCTCTGCTGTTAAACTCTGACATGTTTAAATGCCACAGTGAATATGCATGGTGTGTTTATTTTATTTTATTTTAAACTAATTTATTTACTTTTAAATTTCTGGTATAAAACATCAAACAAACAGTTTTATGGGTCAACACTAAACATGGAGCAGGATTGAAAAAACACCTTAAGGGTGTTCAAATGTAAAAATACCTGCACAAGGACATGCATGTCCATAAAAAGAACATAAACAATGTTATAAAAGAGCACTTGAAGAACATCTGTCACTAATTTTATTGTCAAATAGGAGAAATTTTTAACAACTTCATATGTAGACGTTTTGTAGTTTGGCTAAGACGTCCCTAAATCATACAAATACAACATTTCATGAGAAAATTAAAGCTCCCATGTGAAGTTTTTAACTAGTTTTGAAAAATAATTGAATAAAAAAATAATTTTATGAGCTGCAAAAGCAAACAAGATCATCAGCAAGAAGTCTGAAAATTCCTATATCATCATTTTTATGCCTATACCTGCTGCAAGGGGGGAATGCCGCTAAAAACGAGACAAATCCTTGATAACTGAGCACTACGTTTCAGAAACTAAAGTTTAGCCATGATATAAAGTGGCATTGACTGATAAGGTCTCTGGATTTAGTTGAGCATGTAAATTCACTTACAGTGTCTTTTACTTGTTTCCCATTAAAGGACCCATCAGCTATCATCTAGCAATTATACACGTCTCGGATCAATAGCGATAAAGGGCTTCGAGCCAAGGCCTCTTTGCCAATGTGCAGCTTTTGTTTACAGTCTAATATGAAACCTGAGGATTGACTGTGTGTCAGAGTTGTCTAGTGCCATTACTTTCATTAAAATAAAAAATAAAAAAGTCATTAAAATTCCCTGAAAAATTCCTGTCCACCTATGACTGATGAGTCCCAGTTTCACTGTAAATAGTAAATTAAATAGAAGCTCTTCTCTTGCTTGATTTAGCAGTAAAAGCCTGTACAATTAAGTGTTTTCTTAATGATCTGCCTGCGGTTCACAAATCTAAAGTTAGCTGAAATTACAACATGGTGATTCAGATTTGTAATAAGTTAAAATTCATGGTCTATTTTTGACAGTTAAAGGAAACAACTTGATTGTTGGTCAAACAGAGGCCAGACTGCATTCTCTGTGTTATCTTCTGTATTTTTGCACTGTGGGCTGAAGGGAAACATCTTTTTTCAATTCCTGTGTATGTACTCACATAATGCAGTACGTGACGATGAAAAGCTTGAAACTTGAACCTCGAAATTCCAGGAAGTTGGGAAATCTTAACGCTGAGTGTCACTCACAATATCAAGCAACTTTGTCGCTGAAGTTGACATTTTTTGATTTAGAGCCGTATTTGTTTGTAGAGATGAATGAAATGTCAACAGATTACCGCCCGATTTCTCTCTATATGGACTGTTTTTCTGCCATATGACAAGAGCCCAGCCAATAGACGCTTTATTCTTTTTAACGTTCAATCTGGAAATGACTTACCTCAAACGATACGTCTTATCTTTTCTTTCTTTAAATTCAGGAAATCAAACATGATCACCCAAGAGCTGCCTTAGGTGGCTTTGTGTTGGCTTCTGTTTACTAGCCTCTATTTTTTTATATTTCTGCTATTTTATCCTCATTAAATGTTAACAGGATGGTGGTGTAGATATTTGTAGAGACAAAACAAAACGATATACAAATATTTTTATCGTATCATTCTTTAGCACGATCATTATCATTTGGAGGTCTCTGCCCAACAAGCGACTGTAAATATGAGTGCTGGTATTTCCTTGAATGCACCGCGGAGTCCCTGCTCACAAGTGCACGCGATGGTTACATAATTCAGACAGAGAAAACAGCTGACTAAACCTTGGCTGTGAGGGATTACTGAGGCAGGTTTCCTCTCTGCATGATGGTTTTTAAAGCGCTGACAGAAAGTGAAACCTGGCAGCTGGTTTTTAGTCCAAACAAACACTTGACAGAGAAAAGAGCTCAGCAGTGACGGACAGAGGGTGAGGTTTGGGCGTCAAATTACTGTGGTTTACCTTGCGTCTGAAGACAGAGAAGGCCAGTCCGCAGGCCTTGCACAGCTGTCCGGCGCTCCCTGAGCTGGTGGGGGGGTAGGTGGAGTACCCAGCGCTGGGGGCGAAGCGGAAGGGCCCGGCCCCCGCTCCGAACCCCGGCTGCTGCGCCCGCACCGTGCCCGTGCCCATCACCTCGTTCAGCAACCCACAGCATGACGCCCACATGGAGGAGGCCCCTGCCTAAAGAAGACAGACAGAGAGAGGGAAAATGGTTACAGACCATCACACATCTGACATACACGATTTTAACTTTCCAACTCTATAAAACACATGCTTCAGGGTCCGAGAGGTTAAAGATGAGCTTCTAAATATTTCCGATAACAACACATCTGTAAACACCTACACTTTAATCTCATTATGTTACAGAGGCATACATATGACAATGCAAAACACGCCTGTTTTTCACTGGATCCTCATGGATTTATCCTGTTCCAAGTTTTACTGGAGTATTTGGTCACACTTGATGTGGACCCACCTCTTATAATGCAACATAAGCACATTTATAAAGCCTTATAAATAGTGGTGTCCCGATATGATATTGATATTGGATATCGATCTGATATCAGCAAAATTTCAAATATCAAACTGATATCGGCCTGCATCTAAAATGTCCGATATCAGCACTCTGTTACAGGCAGTCAATCCAGACTCCACTCTGGCCCCTCTAGCTAGCAGCGCCTGGATCCAGCATGTAATCACAACAACAGTGTGTACTAAGATACCAAGGAGTAGGAATGATGTCGGCCCTGTGGTAGTATTTTTCGTTTAAGTCCGAAAAGACGTTGCAGCTGAGAGAAAAACTTGTCATGTAAAAGTTTGTGCTAATATCCGATCAATCTCGGTATCGGACAATACTGAAGGCTACAATATCGGTATTGTACCGGAGGTTAAAAAAAAGCTGTATCAGGACACCCGTACTTGTAAACGCATCAATAAGGCTTTATAACCACCCTTATGAGTGATTATAAGCATTCAGAACAGCATATAGCAATGTTAATAAAGTGTTATAAACAGTGAGCATAAAGCCCTTAAAAGGTTTTATCTATGATGCACTAGACCTCAATGCAGTGTCTCTTAAATTCTAGGTTTCCTATCAGCTGACACTTTACTTTCAGGCACAGAATACTGCTCATAAATTAACTTGACGTCTATCTCTATAACACATTATAAATATATGTATAATGCGTTAAAATCATGTTAAAGCGCTGTATAACGATAGTTATAAACACTCATAAATGATAAAATGCTTTATGCAATAATCATAACATATAATAAAGCATTTTATCATGACTTACAAGGTCAGGTATTATAATGTGTTATGCTTATTGTTATAAAGCCTTATGATAATTAATGAGTGTTTAAAATGATAGTTATACAAGTTTATAAGCAAATTATAACACATCATAAATGTATGTATAATGCATTACCTACGTGGTCATTGTAAGTGGTTAACAGTTATAACACATTATAATACCTGACCTTGTAAGTCACGATAAAATGCTTTATAATGTGTTATAATTATTGCTATAAAGCATCATGATCATTCATGAGTCTTTATAACTACAGTAATACAGTGCTATAATGTGATTCTGACGCATTGTACATATACAGTATTTATAATGCATTATAGAGATAGGCGTCGAGTCAAGTGTTGCCTAAAAAACATACAACTATCGGTAATCTCGTACAGTCCTGTCACTTAACTCCAAGCGCTCTCAGTCATATTTAAGGCTATTTGTGACTTCTCTTTATGGGATTTCCGTTTCTGTGTCGACTGACTGATAAAGATGTAATACAACACAGTCCTTTGCCTAATGACACTTAAAAAAAAAGCTGAAGCAGAGTTCCCCTCATTGAAAGAAAATGGAGATAGACAATGAATGAGTTAGAGAGAGAGAGAGGGAGAGAAAAGGGCGGCGAGATATCAGGCAGCACATTATTGAGAGTGCTCTTTACCAGTCTATGAGGTTAGAGATAATTGGGCTGAAGTAGACTCTAAAAGCTCCTATTAATGACAATCTACAACCAGGGCTCCAGCTGAATTCCTCAGTAAGTCAGTGTATTATTTTGAACCATTTAATAAACAAACCAGCCAGAAAGAAGCTGAGGCACTTCTACGGGACTCAACCGCACAACTAACACCTTGTGCTTGATGTGATGTTGCGTTTAAGTCCTCAGGAAAAAAAAAAGAAAAAGGTCACTACTTAGTTCAGTTAAAGTGAACGTTCAGAGATGTGTTTGCTGACCACAAGAGTGGCCGGACGCAGGGAGCAAAGATGGCGTGATGGGAGCCATGACTCCTTGAAGCATACTGATGAGGAGGGAGGGAGGAAGGGGGAAAACAGGGAGAAGAGAATATGTCTTCTGTTGTGTGTGTCCCCCCCCTCCCCTCTTTCTGCTCCTCCTCCTCCTCCTCTTCTTCCTCCGGTCCGCAGAATCAATAGCTGACATGAGCATAATGTTTGCCCTCTGTGCTTCCCGGCTCTGTGCAGTGGGAGAAACAAAGGAATTCACAGGACAGTGCCACATCTCTTCTTTGCTCTGACTTGTCACAAACACCCTGTGATCTGACCTCACCCATCTGCTTAGGGAGTGCTTATGTAAGCACAGGAATGAGGCACTATATGTGGAGTCATGGCGAGGAGGAAGAGGAGAAGGAGGAGGAGGAGGAGGAGGGGGGAGGAGGAGAGGCTTTCCCTTTGCTGCACCGAGGCAGCCAGGGTGGATTTTTAAAGGTTAAATCTGTCATTCTGCTGGAACTGTTGGGTGGTTTGGTGGATGTATTAACTTCAGTCCTAAGTATATCTTTAAAATAGCTCATCCTGTCAAAATAAAAGCCTAAACCAAAGAACTATTTAACGTATTAAACAATAAAACATCAAATTAGAAAAGCTGAAAGCAGTAAATGTTTGAATAATTGCCACAGCGACGACTTTAAAAATAATTTTCAGCAACTTTGTAAATGATTCAGCGCTAATATTTCACATTAAAGGCCTATCATATGGCTTGTTTTCAGTTAAATTTACCACAAACAGCTCACTTTATCATGTCACGCTGTACGCTTTATGCCCACAATAAAAGTATCTTCAGAAGCGACTTGAATTATTCGCCCTAGGCATAAACTTGACCTGATGTTGAGCTGCTTAAAAAGTTAGACACTGCCTCCCTGGTTCGGCAGTAAAAAGCCACTAAAAGGAATATTTACTGCATCCTCCAGGATGATGGTCTGCTGCAGTCTGCCCATGAAACCAGACTTCTGTGGCCGAGAGCCAGCAGCACGAGTTCCCTCTGTCACTTCAATTAGCACACTGTAAGCTCTACAGGCAGGGAGTCCCCCCAAAAAAACAAGCGACACCAGCGAACATCACTGACAACATTGTTGTTTTGTCCCTTGTGGCATTTATTTCTCCTCTAGGGCTTCATCAGTTAAGCTGCTCCTCTAAGGGGGAAACGATTTCACATTTATGTATTTGTCCTTCCAGTCACCTTTGGACGCTCAGAGTGACGGAAGAATTGAGATATTTCTCACGTTGCTGCTGGATTTTAACATCAAACAGGAGCTGCCAGCAGCCCTCAGAGTGCACATAAACAAACATGGAGAGGGGAGGGGAAACAGAGGCAGAGATTTAAATAGAAAAAGTCTTCAAGCAGCTCTCATGCGGACAAACAGCGTTCTGACCTCATAAAATCAGCTTTTGAGGATCAAATCTCAAAAATTGCATCGGAACAGAGACACGGTGTAACCATATGGTACAGGGATGGAGCCTAAATGGGTCATGTTGGGACTGCATGTTTAACTTGAGCTGAATTAAGTCTAGCATGAAAGAAAGACTTTAACCCTCGTTTAAACAAAACGGTGGAGGATTTTTCTGGTATCTGTGGATTGTGGATGAGCTGATTGATGGCTCAGAAGGAGCTTTCTGATGGGATAAGGGTTATTTAGCTGAAGAAGCTCTTTTTGGGTAGGTCTGAGATGTTAAAGAAAAGACTTTAGCTGCATTCCTGTGCTCCTCTGATGGTTTTAGTCTCTAATTTGTCCTTTCGTCTAAGGTATAGGGCCGGGCAATATGGGAGAAAGCTCATCACAATATATTTTTTTCATATCAGTCGATATCGATATATATCACAATATACTAAAATGAAATATAACAGTGCTTATTGGTAGCATGTTTTCTGCAGTACAGTAAACTTCTGCATCTGTGAGGTCTTTGTGTCTCTTCGACGTTTCGTCTCACCAGCAGTGCTGTCGGCTTCACCTGTTAAAGCACTATGATTGCGTGTAGCTTCAGCCTGCTACTAACTCCCCTTTTCATCGGCTGTTCGTATAGTCTACCGAAACATTTTATTATTGAAATGGTCAATATTGAAAGCATATTGAAAGTTGAAAACGCTTTTCTGGTCCGAGTTTGATTCATGATAAATACGTGGAATATTACTGAGATGATCAGTCAGTCTTCCTGTCGGTGTGAAGAGCAGTAGCCTACAGTATATCAAATGTTCCTCCTTTTTTATGACGTATGTGAGTTAGCTTTATTTTTGTTTATTTATCGGCTATTTATTTTAGAGGATGACGAGTGTGTGAGTTCGACAAGATGGAGGTTGACAAAATAATCAGACTCACACCTGCTACAGTCTGAATAATAAGCTGAAAAGAATATGTTTATCATCTTTATTACAGTTAAAATACATAGCCAGGGGTGTAGTGTAAGTCATATTATGTAAACACAACTGAGAAAAATGCTTAATGTTTAGCAATAAAAAGGAATGAAGTGAGTTTTCTCCCTTTAAGTCTTTGAAGAAGTGTCTGAAAGGCTCAAAAGAAGCAATTTGTTAAAAAAAAGAGTAAATATGTAGATATATTACTTAAATAAACAACATTTTAAAAACTTTATAAAAAATTGGCAGATTAATTGGTAATTGGATTTTTTCCCTCCTAATAATCCATATCGGTCGGGCCCTAATATTGTTATCGTTTTATTGCCCAGTCCTACTTAGGTATGTATATTTCTGAGAGTTGATTTAAAGTTACCTGACTTTTTAATCAATACTGGATGCAAATAAATACGACAATATTACTTTATTTTATGTACCTGACTTGTTATTGAGAGTTGTGTACCAAACTAATGTCAAAAAATAACTTCTCTAGTAATGAGTCTAGACGTTCTTGTAAATTCTTGCCTGAGTTTCTGGGTTCTTGTTCCGACTACAGCAGGCGTTCACAGACATTTTCCAGCTTGGAAACTCGTTTCACCGATGTGTTCAACACTACACGAATGCAGCATTGGGTACAACGACTGGGTGAGTTAACCTGGTCACCACTCCAGATTTTTACACCTCAGCAGTCTCATTATCCGGCTGAGCTCCTTCAATAACTGATATTGGAGACAAAAAGCTGGATTATTCTGACCCCTGTTTGCCTTAATCATCTGTTTTACAGCTCTTGTTGGTAGTTTTTGACTTTTAATGATATAAACTCAAATTAAAAGAGCACCTATTTCATTTTCACAGTTCATGATCACATGGTGAGAGATAATGTCTGTGTCTCTGAGTGGCGCCAAAATCATCACAACACAAAAATTCGTCAGAGGAGCTTTAAAATTTCTCTCTTTCCAAACGTAGAGATAAATTACATTACAGCTGCTAGTTCAAGCTAACATGGACAGAATATCTGTCATGGTGTGCTGTATGTAGATAAATTAAAGATGCACTCAGTAAAGGAATATTCAGATGTTTTTTTCGAATGATCCTGCCCCATTAAAAAATTAACGTTTTCATCACACCCCCGCTCACTATCTCATTTGCTCAGAAATCAAACTTGGGAATCTGCATCTGTACGATGGAGGAAAATCTTTCATCATCTTACAGTGCACGTTGTTGATATGCAACCTCAGGCATTGTGTAGTGATCACTGCAGATACCAAACAGACAGCTTTATGATAGTTTGTTCACTCTCATATATTTTTACAAGCTTCTTCACTTCCTCTCCATCATCCACCATCTCCCTCTCTCTTGCATTTCCTTTCCTCTTTCCTTCTTCTCTGGCATCATACTGTCACTCACGCTGCGAGAGAGGGGAATTCAGCTGCATCACTGCCGAGTCCAGGAGCAATATTGACACTAGAAACAGACTAATTCACTGCTTCCTTCTTCTGGCCCTTAAAATAGAAACAATAAATGCATTATTTTCTCTAGATTTGACCTATGCAACTACTTCAGCGATGTCTGCTCGACGAGATGTGCACATATAACTTGGGCGGCCACCAGCTAAGTTTGAATTTGTGTCTGCAAAAAGGACAGATTTGCACAGTTTACTGCAAAGACAGGAGAGGATTTAGCCTGGAGAGTTCTTTTGGTGCATTAATAAACAGAGAGATTTCTGCTGCACAGACTGTCCTGCAATATCAAAACAAGGATGGACTAATTTACAACAACAACAAGAATCAGCTGTGACCCTTCCCAAAGCTTCTGATGTGATCATCTACTTTGGGATCATGAATACACTTCATCACTCCAACAGTCATCTGAGGTTCGAGAGTATTTGCGTCCACTATGTACAGAATGTGTGGGAAATTAAAAGGTAAGAGGATTTTGAATGCATCGTATGCAACAACAGAATATTTCAATCTAATCGGTCTATCCCTGATTAAAATGGCATTGATGATATACTGTACAGCAGGTCTCTCCTGTTTCATATGTATGCATGTACCCACTTTAGCCAACCCTGTCCCACAGGGGCCGAAAAGCTGCTTTTCATTTTAAACCAGATTAGTCAATAAAACATCTCGTCCATTTTGTTTCCCCAGGACACAGTGAGTGATGATGATGGGCCTCAGAGAAATGAACCACGGTGCCCTCCCACAGTGACAAATGCTTGACCTTACTGCATTCAAATGATATTACACAAGTGCAAGGACATCTGCAGAAAACACACATTTGTCTAGCTTTGATGTGATTGAAGAGTCTTCTTGTTTTTCTAGGAAATTTACCATAATAATTCTGACCTCAACTTAAAGGTGACTCGAAAGGTTTCCTATAGTGCTGCTGCCATGTTTGTTGTCTTCTATTAATCTCCATGTCGGAGAAACAAGTGAAACCCTGTTAGGTTGAAGCCACAGCAGCTTCAGATATCATTTTCTGCACTCCAGTAATGGAAGTAGTATGTCTGGGACAGACTGATCATGACCTACCTCTGTATTTTCTGACTTTCTTATCATGTTGATGTGTTACGGATGTTTCTTTGTTTCAGTCACAGTGCAGAGGTTGTGTTTAAAATGTAGAGGGAATATACTAGAAATGCACCGATCCAGTTTTTTTCAATCCAATCCGATACCGATCCAATACTAATGTTGAATGAATAAACTGTATACCTTGCCCTGTGAGTGAAGGCAATCAGGTTTGACATTAGCCTTGTTAAAAAAAGGTAACAAATTGACACAGATATAAATTTACTTAATATTATTCATTAACAAATTGCACATTAGCACACAGCAAGAAGAAGAAAGACTTCTTTGTAAACGTTTAGTGCAAAAGGACAGACAGACATAGTGTGTAAGAGCTGCAGACAGAATAAACGGAACCACTGTGCTGCTGTGTATGATATTAATTAAAAGAGACAAAAGACTGGATCGGGATGCTGGATCGGCATCATTCATCAGATATCCGATCCAGTTAATTTGTCAATATCGGAGCCGATATCCGATCCAAATATCGGATCGGTGCAACCCTGGAATATACAGTTCTGACATGGGTATAAATGAGAGGTTGATTTACCCAAAATTGTTAGTTGCGTATTTCTTTAAGGAGGATTCAGCCAGACCTGGATAGTCCCTTTCTTTTATAGCTCCTCGTGTTGGGTAGTATTCAGGTTTTAAAATATCTGACCGGGCTGAGCAGAGCAGCCAGCTACTTAGCTTGCAGCTGCTGCTCTGGGGAAACCCTCTGTACTTGCACAGAAATTACAAAGTTTCACAGTGAAGAGTGGCAGACCTTTGAGTCTCAGAGAAGTACAGGACTAAGGTTATGGACAACAGAGAACATCTGCTTTAATGTGATGCATGATGGGGGGGTCACATTGATGTATGAAGCTCTTTAAACCATGATGATGGTGCAGGTGAAGTTGGAGTGACGGACCTGCTTCTACCTGACCTTTCACCATGAGTGTCTCCACAAACCTGCCACCACCACAGCACCGATGACATCATCGCCATCATCTTCATCGTTATCAGTCCTCAGAGCTCGAGCTGTGAGACAGCACCATCACCTGCTCTCCCAACCCCCCCATCCTCCTTGTGCTGCAGCATAAACATACACACAAACATACACACTCCTCCTCCTCCTCCTCACAGAGCAGGAGACTCCTGACACTGCTCAGTTTGGACCTGAGAGGTGAATCTCTCTTCATCACACCGAGACATCCCCCAAACATCTCCCTCACCCTCTCTCTCATTTCTCTCTCTCTCTCTCTCTCTTTCTGTCTGGATCTCATTAGAGCGGATTAGAGCCTGACGATGAATGGACGTCGCTGCAGCGGCTTTAGTCCACTGAACTACCACAGTGGGGTCAGAGTAGGCTCATTAAAAGGCTACACACTGTACCTACTGTTTATCGGGACGGCTAGAGACGCAGGGGAAGCCTTGCCAGGGTTGCACGCTTGCCAGGAAATTAAAAAAATCTGACTGACAGGGTTGCAAGGGCAGCAAGGAGCTGTGAAGATGACAAGTCCAAATCAGGGGGGGGGGGTGCTGAATAAAAACGCAAGCCTGTTGATTTAATCCCTTGTAAACGCAAACAAACACGTTTAATTGATATTATGATGGAGGCAAATGTCTGTCGGTGCAGGATCGGGTGCTAAACACCTGCATCTCCAATCAACCACGAAGAAACCAGAGATGATTCACCTACCTTCATTGCACCTCCCGCGTGAGGAATCTGCCGAGTAATGTCAAGACGACGACCATTGCAAGTGCACAGGGAATCAAACCATTACGTCTTCCCTCTCTCTCCAGCTGCCTGCCGCCTGTGTGTGTGGAGTAAGCATAACGTAATGGCCAGCAGAGCCGCAGCCAACCAGGGTGCGCGCACACAGCCTGGTATCTTTAGCAGCCAATCCGCCCGAGCACACAGCGCCAGAGTGGGCGGTCGGCACGCGTGCGTAAATACGCATGTGTCAGACTGACAGACGCATCATGCTATTTTCACAGTTTGGGGTTATTCTGTGGTGAATTAGCATTTTTATCACCAGTAACTATGAATATTTGGCTTTGCAGGAAATCAGCTCGACTTGACATAATTTATTTTTTCTTTTTTTGTTTCGAAATTAAAACAGTTAATTTGTGCCAAAGGCGAAGATTAGTGTTTGAATCACATTATTATCTTCTTCTTTTTAATCTAAAGTTCAATCAGCGTCCACACATGCAATGTTTGGTTTTGTGTCAAAAATAAATGCGTCCTCAATCTTATTTACCGCCATATTTAGCCCACAGTACGTGTTTATATCTGTGCATGCCCGTGTCCATGCGCGCCGTGTGCAGTAAGAAGATTAAAGGGGTTTTCTTTCTGTACATTATCAGTACCGTCGTGGGCCCGCAGGGGGGCAGCAGAGAGCGCTCCAGCCACATTAGTATTATCATAGAGACATAATGGAGCCGCAGGGGAGGAAGGCAGCTCCTGCTCTTCATTAAACTCTCACTGTGTAATGCAGCTGATATCAAACAGAGTATTTAAGTCATGCAGCTGTTGCAGCAGATCGGCACGAGGCAAAAAAAAAGTGCTTTCAAGGTGCTGAGGAATCACAATGATGCAAATGGATTTATATGCTGCCGCACCAGACGCTTTAAATTCACAACCATTTGCACAACATCAAACAGGAAGCCTACTATGTTGATTTTATTTCACACAAGCGTATAAAAAGCTGTGCCGAGGCCTGCAGGCCAACAGTGACACACTTTATAACTTTAGATTTGGCCTGAATATTCAGTCCCGGGGTGAAAACATCAAAGTTGTCTTAAACTATGGATGTGTGAAAACTTCTTTTCATTTGGAAAATGCAGACAAATCACAAACACAGGTAGCTGTAACTTTTTACAGCACCAAGCTCTTTAGTTACACATCAGTTTTTGATATCTTCTCCTCCACCTGTTTCAGAGTAATACGATTATTTTTGTGGGGCCAACAGCACTCAAAAAATTCATTTAAATCCACAGCAGTATCTCTCATTTCCACATACAGCGTCCTCATTTCTGTAAATACTCCACATTGTCACTGCCAAGAGTTTTCAGAGGGACTTCTTCTTCCGGAAAAAGAAGATACAAAGAAATCTGTCAGCAGATAATCTAAAGTAACTGGGACACTGTTCCTGAAAAAGAAACTCCTGCTGGTTCTTTTTAATGTAATTATTATTATGAACACGTTGAATTTTTAGGGTTTGGGTGAACCAACACTTAACCTAAACCTAACTTAGAAAACATGTGAGTTTTTAGCGGGTTATGGAACAGACAGAGTTGTACAGTATATTGACGCTCTTCAATGATGACGTATTAGAGCCATATTAAAGAAGGAGAAACAGGTTTTCTATGTCATTTTCTGATGAGAATAAAGTCAGGGTAGAATCATATTCACTGTCCTTAATTTAGTCAACATTAGCCACATACTGTAATGCTGTCTTAGAGACGGATACCACACATCCTGATCATAATAATTATGAGTCCTGATTATAATCAGCAGTGACACTACAATCTGCTGTGTAATGCTAAGTTTGCATTATGTGTAAAACTGAATATAACCAGTTTTAAACATACAAAATCAGTGTATAATAGGTGCTTGTGTACAACACCTGTAAATCCCAGAAAAACAAGAATGATTGTTTAGCTGAGCTGAGCTGTGCTCAGGCCGCGCCCCTCTGACTGAGTGCTGCAGGCCTGGATGTCACTCTCAGCCTGGTGGCACTGGGTCACTACACCAGGTGGGAGTGATCTGGTAATCAAGCAGTTTGGAGGCATTCACTCACAGTGTGGCAGTGGAGAGGACTGTGTGGAGTGTCTTGAGACACCATGCTGGGCTTACAACAAACAAATGGACTTGCTCAAAGAAAGAGGAAGGAGCCGGTGAGCTTCTGATGTATTCTGTTTATGGAAATGTGTGGATTAAAATCATGTGGTTAAAATTTAAGTCAAAATGTCATGTTAGAGGATCATGTGGTTAAAACCTGAAGAAAATGTCATGTTTAATGTCATGTGGATTTAAAATTACTAATGATAAAAAGACTACTCACTTTGAGTTAAAGCAGGAAATTTAAAAGGCGGTACAAAAACATGGTTCTCAACAGGTGCAAGGAGGAAATTTAATCATCGGGTGTTTTCATAAATGATTTATGAACTTATTTATTCTATTTATGTTTAATTTTTTGTTAATATAATGTAAATATGTTGGAGACTGACTGTTTATTGACTAGCGGAGAAGGGGTAGGTTTAAAGAAAACCATTATGCTTCATCCTACTTCTTTTCAGACATGTTGGGTTCACGTTATTATCCCTCAGGGGCTCTTAGGATGTTGTTTTTGTCCATTTTTGGTGACTCTTTACCTTTTTATTTGTTTTGGCTGTGTTAATGCAAGTGGGATGATTTTTTTTCAGGGTTATTTTTTTTTTCCAAATTTTAAAACCTGACCACCCATCATTATATCAGGTCAATATTCACTGTGTGACAAAAACACCATACATTTAGGTCCTTAGATGGACAAAATGTCCATCTCCTAAAAGTACCAAAAACTATTATACATGAATATTTTTTTTCCACTTTTAGTGCCTAAATCTTTAATCAACTTCATTGCTGATCATATCGATCAAATATTGATTCATTTTCAGTTTTAACCCTTTAAATGCCAGTTTGACTGTATGATGTCACTGTTATTTTTCATGGGAAAAAAAGAGAGTTATTTTCCATATTTAAGATGCTGGGCAGGAATTTCTTTCTTTATTTTTTATCAAGGTCTATGATGTGCCAATAATTAACAACATTAATTTAGATGCATTATGTTTGATATATTGTCCGATTTCTAAAAAAGTTACACTTAGATCTAACTAAAAAAATCTTTTGGTTCGAGTGTTTAAGAGAAATCAGACAATACATCAAACAAAATAATGCATCATAATTAATGTTGTTGTTAATAATTGGCATATCATAGGCTGCCAGAGGTGGGAAAAAAAATCAGCATCTAATATATGGAAAATAACTCCAAATTCTTTTTTTTTTTCACATTAAAAATAACAGTGACATGATATATTCAAACTGGCATTGAAAGGGTTAAAATTCTGAACATGAATTAATATTTGATAGATATGATCAGGAATGAAGTTGATTAAAAGATTTAAGCAAAAAAGTGGAAAAAATATTAATGTATGATAATTTTATATCATTTTTAGGAGATGGACATTATTGTCCATCGAAAGACCTAAGTGTAACTATTTTTCAAGGACCCCAGAGGGTTATTCATATCACTCTGTATCTCTCTTTTGCTTTGTCCATCTCCTCCTGCTTCTATTGTCACCAGGTTTTGACAGAACCTCCATCTATCTGCTGCCTCATTGTTGATGGCTCTGACCTTGTGCCACTTGGGTCACCTCCATCCTTATCAGTACTACGACTCTCTTGCTTCACCTCCACCGCCATTATCCAGCAGCCATCCTCATAGCTTTGTCAGATATGAAGACATCACAGTGCGGTGAAATGAACAAAGACACTGTAGATTGTGCAGCACTGTAAGCAATCCCATCTCTCGTGGCCATGTCTCCTATTTGGCAGTGAATGACCTTGAAAACCTTTCACAATATTAAGGAGAAGCAGCATGGAAGTCTTGATGCTTCACAGGAAATAGAAAATAGTGTGTATGCTAATTCTGGACTGTTTTATTGAGACTTGTATCTCCTCTTCTGGATGTTGGTGGTTTGTTGGTGGTGATGAAACAGAGACTATTCTTAGCACCACCTTTGACCCTTTCAAGTTGCATTGATATAAATTTATGCATTTATTCATCCTTGACCTTAACAGTAAATTTTTTGAGTGAATGCTGGAGGCTGTTGGGGGGGATTTTTCTTACCCTCAAACTGAATCATATGAGAAACATCTGTAACATCTGGTGAGAGTGTTTGAACATCCCCGTCACTTCCAGCTATAAGGGGAAAAAAAAGTTGAGAATTGGCGTCATCTTCTCAGAATCGATGAGTAAACTTCACAGCTGCCAAAGTTTATCGTGAGTGTTTTAAAAAGAGCGATTTGTTGATGCCAGATGTTTAGAGATCATATCAACAGAGGGGTGAGCCAACAGATCATTGATGCAAACGGTACAGCATGATTGAACATAAAAGGCCAGTAGGTGAAGCCAAATGGTAAGAAAATGCTAATATATGATGCCTGAGTAAACCTCAAATCAAAAGTTTCTCTGTTTTCTCTTTTTACTTTTTAATTCAAATAGTGTGCAAATAGTTTCAGTTTCTTTACAGGACTTTACAAAAGGTGAAATCTTCTTTTACAAGTGACAGTTTTTTTTAGTGACAAAAGTGGCCTGACAAAATAAACAAACTGTTAAAGAGAGTTTTGAGGTTAATCTTACAAAAAGTCTGATTATATTCAAAAACTATGTGTTTACAAATAGATTGGGGCAATTCAAAAAGACTAATATCCACTTTACTTTAAACTAAAATTTAAATTCTGACCAACACGGTTGTGTAAAAGTCAGAAACATTCAAGCACCATTTATCAAACATGACTTAACACCGGATCAGAGGCTGCAGCGGAACCATGTCAAACGCAGTGAAACAATAATATTAATATTATTATTAATAATAATGATGCAACAGATTTCATATAGCGCTTTATCAGAGACCCTCAAAGTGCTTTACACTTGATACATCATTCATTCACTCAAACAGTTACACCTTGGTGGTGGTTAACTACCTCAGTAGTCACAGCTGCTCTGGGACATAGACTGTCGGAAACATGGCTGCCAGTTTGTGCCTACGACCACCACCACACAAAACTCACAATCATACACCAGTGGAGGACACACACTGGGAGCAAGGTGGGTTAAGTGTCTTGCCCAAGGACACAACAGACAGACTTGGGATACGGGGGGGAATCAAACCGCCAACCTTCCAGTTATTGGACGACCGCTCTACCTCCTGAGCTACTGCCGCCCAAAACGTCAGCAGAGTTAGCGCTAGACCTCGTGAAGGTTACATGTCCACATGTCTGTGCTGGTTATGCATGGCTCTGTTTGAGCTGATCTTTGTCATGTTATGCTGAAGAGATGACATGTTGCATTTCTACATTCAGGACGTGTTTTGATTAAGCTTTAACATTTTATTTGCAAATAAATCAGGTGTTATAAATTTATTTCCATTCCCTGGATGAAATCCCACCATAACCCCTCTTTGCTACATGCTGCCCCCTGTCATCTGTGCCAGTTCAGACCTGGGTATAGGTACATATGGTCCTCACTGGATGGAGCTCCAGGATCTGCTCGAGGCAATCCTGTAACAGCATAAGACAGGCATTTCAAACCCATAATAATAAAAATGTTTACTAATTGATCATTTACTTCTTGGGGCTGCATAATGTTGTAGTGGTTGGTTTGAAACCCTGGCTGGGCAGAGTTTGCATGTTCATACATGCATGTTATTTTTCTGGGGAATCCTGCCAAAGTGTTTCTTAATCATCTGATGAAACGCTTAATAATGAAACTTTAAAGATAGACCTTTTGTTTAGTAAAGCTGTTACATCTCCATACAAACCATGCACACTTTGAATACTCAGCATTTCTTCACACACTGAGTGAAAACAGGCTGTTGGGTTTTTATCTTCTCACTGTGTCTCATTGATTTCTGTGCTTTTGTTCTCACAGCTGCTCACAATGCTTATGCTATTGCACAACTGAACAGACACTTGATCTGATTAACTCTACTCATAAAGTCCTGCAAAAAAAAAAAAAAACACAACCATGTCAGGGAAATTACCAGCAAAATTTGTTCATGAATTTACCGGAAAACATGCTTTTTTTGTCTGAGGAAATGATGACAAATTGCCAAACCAGGATACAACACCTCCCACTTCTTTTGGTTTTGTTTCACCCTTACTTCAGGGGGTGTTTTGTAGTGTGTCTACTTCGCACACAAATGTTGGATGAAAACCAGACAACATGTTCAAACTGTGCAGGGGGAAATTGGCTTCAAAAAGTCTGAGAAAGTATCTGTGTATGTACAGGATTGTGCAATAAAAACTCCCAAAAGACACTGATCACATCACAGCTACCCCCAGATTCTGCTAGTCACACAAACACTCACACACACACACACACAAACACACACACAGGCCAGAGGCACTTAAACTCACGAATGAGGTACAGACAACTCATATCCTAACAAACCTCCTCCATAAACTTATGTTGAAACTTCTCAGAACTGCACCCGTCTGTGATCACAATATGTCAGACCTGATAGCTGTGGCCTGATGAGGGTTATAAATCAAGCTGACACCAATATCAAGTTTCCTCACCTCTTTCTTGCTGAAACCAAAACTATTTACACAGTGCAGGTCAGATTCAGTGTCAGTTGACTCAAAACTTCATCTGCTGCTTGTCCCTTCAAGCCCTGAACTGAGCTGCAATGCAGGACTGAGTCCGTGATACCGACTATCTCCACTAGGTGAAGCATGTGAGCTATGAAAAACGGAGGCATGCTTCTTACTGAAAGAAATTACTACACATTATACCAAATAAGGGCAATAAAATACACAGGAAGTGATCAAATGTTCAACTCTACCAGAACACTTGACTTTGAAAAAACAGTACTTGACTTGAGTGTTGTAACTTTGTGGTATTTACACATTTACGGTACAGACTGATTAAAAAATGCGTGCGTTGCAGGAGTAATTTTCCAAGAAATTCCACTAAAGTACATTTAATTATTGATATTCTTCTGCTTCCTGAATGCAGGGCTTGTTCTTGTACTTGTATAAGGAGTGTTTTTTCCTCCTCAGTTGTATCATATTGGCTGTAATACATACACACAATAAAAATGTTTGAGTCCAAGGAGCCATTTTTCAAGAGAGACTGTTTTTTTTTTTTTAGCCTAAATACTCCATTCAAATTCAGTTAGAAATACTTTCCTATGCTATGTTAACTTCAGAAAAATTAAAGGACTTGAGCTTGAGGAGTTAAACTTCTTGATATTGTTGAATTAACCCTTCACAATAATAAAACTATCTTTGTCAGAGCTCCCTAATGTTTGATTGAGAATGATCTGTGACCAGGTAGCGCTCTTGCACTTGTGATGAAGTATTTAAACCGTCTTAAACTTGTACAGTAACTGTAATAAATACTATGAAAAGGTCTGATCCCTGTAGGCCACAATGTAAGGTTTTAAATCTCCTGTGAAGAGTTTTTAGCTAGACTGAAATCAAAACTGATGTCCTCTTTGATCTAAAAAAGCAAAATAATAATCTGCTAATTTCTATATCATAACTGTTAATGACTGTAAACATTGTGAGAAATAGGCGCTAGATAAGACAACTTCAGGTACAACATCAGAAACTCTTTTTTTTCTTTAACTTTGAAGTAGTAAAGACTTACAGTGATACACTGTTAAACAAACAGCATGAGATTTTCTTTGTGTTAGTCAGAGAACTTAACTTCAATATGTCCGGGTCAAAATCAGCAAAGAGATAAGAGAAACAACCTTGTCCACAGGGGGCGCCAGAATTGTCACAAACAAAAAGTTCCTTACAGGAGAATAAAATCACTTTTCAGTTCACCTCTATGATGACTCGGTGTAAGCTATTTAAGTTATTTCAATTTTATTGATCATAGTTTAAAAATGTAAGTTTTTTATTCTTTAAAAAACAAATCATTTATAACCCGACAATTTATTCAATAAGAAAGTTCCTTCACTGTTTTAATGTTGGTATATTCACTGTGATACGATATTTTACAGTTTGAATCCCATCAGCTACAAATATAGCTCGAAGCTTGAGTGAGAAGGTCCCTTAAAGATTTGGTATCATTTCAAAGTCTGAATTTTAGGGGCCTTTTTTTAGGAATAAGTACTTCTGCTTGTATTAGCCAACAATACCTCTGTCTGTTTTTGTTAAACAGCATTTTGAAGCAGGGTTTGTATTTATGGTGGTAGTATATTCACTGTAAGAAAGGATCTGAGAACCACGGATATTAAGCATGACCAGCCAAAAGAACTGAGTTCCTGTCTTTGGAAATAAACTTTACTCTTTCTTTAGAGGCACGATGTTAGAAGAGAGTTTGTTTTAGGGTCAGACCACAGGAAGGAAGACAGAAGTCAAAAAGAAAGCCTCCCTCTGCCTCCTGCCTCCATCCCTGCAGCACAGCGTGTGCTAGCCTGTGACCCTGGACTGACCACATCCAGAGTCTGAGGATGACCAGGTCAGAGAGTATTGACTTGGCCTGAGTGTGAACTTGAAAAACAAAGAGTGTAATCTTGAAAAGGAAATGTGTAAACACTTAAAGATGATGAGAGGAGATCAACAAAACTCTTCAGCATCTCACAAAACAAACACCGTAGTCCTGGATTTAATCCTTCTTCAATGAGAGTTTAATATGTTTACGCTACAACAGTGCAAAGAAAATAATCTCACTGCAGTATGAAGTTTGTGCTCTTCCTGTTCTTGAGCTTTTGACCATATAAGGTGTTCTTCATTATCAGATAATTTTCCCAGTTCACATGTAGTGGCTCAAATCCTCAAAGATTTAATGAGAACAGCATGTTGGACAGCTCCTTAATCTGATCCTTGAGAGAAATGCCCCTCTCTCTCTTTCACTCCAAGCTTGACAGGACCCTTCAATTCATGAAGGTACCGCTTTGGGGTGGGGGTCAGTTTACACTCACAGAGCTCCAAAATCAGCAAAATTTCATCATGTCTGTTTAGACATTGAAACAAAAGCTGAAATTAATGGACAACATCTGCTTAGACTTTGGACAATCCAGCGAACAATGGGGCTAGACCATAGACTGTATATATAGTGGAGCAGACAAATGCATAATATAGCCCGAATCGTTCACTTTGTTATACAAGCATGAAATTTGGTACATATACTCTTCAAACCCCACTATTTTCAAAAATAACATTAGCCACGCAAAATTCTAAGATGGCGGCCCCAAAATCCAAGATGTCTGCCCCAAAAATGTGGTTTTTCCTTTATAACTCAAAATGACTTGATTTTAAGCCCCTTACATATATTGAAGTTGAATATAAAGGTGGGTATTGCGGACATTTTGGTACCTAAATATACATTTCTGTATCCATTACGGTTCTTGAGATACAGCATATAGATAGGCTACTTGTGCAGAATTGGGAGAGTGAGAAATTTGTATACAGGCGGAGGGCGGAACCAGGTTGTCCATCTTATATACAGTCTATGGGCTAGACTCTGTACATGAGACCCATGTTGTTAAGGTTTGTTTTCTTGAAGGGACCCAAAAACAGGCAGCAGAGGCACAAGAAGTTTGAATGATTTTATTAGCAAAGGTTGGTGTAGGATGGTGAGAGGTCTGGGGTCCAAGGAGTGTGTGGGTTGGAGGAGACAACAGGTGAGTGGGTCTTTCGTGTGTCAGTCGTGACAGAGGTTGGACAGGTGCTGGAAGAGAAAGGAAGACAGCAGGGGTTAATACAAGGCTAAACATTCACTGAAAAGTCTCAAAACTTGCAAATACTTGCTGGTAGGGCTGAAATACCACTGTTGAATGAGGAGATTAGGTTATTCAGGTGCAGGAGGAGCTTCAGCTGAAGAGGAGCCGCCCAACCTCTGTAAGGGAAAAAAGGAGACTCCACACACTCACACATAAAAACGACTCCATGGTCCCCTTAAAAAGTTAAAACCAGTGTAATCCTGACACATGTGAGGCCGTATTGGCGTCCCAATTCTGTCTGTGTATTGGATTTGGATCCCAAGACAGTTAGAATATGATATTACATTTGACAGTCAAAAGCTTCTGTCTGTCTTTGCACCTGCGTCTATTTCATACAGACAGCATATGAGGCTCTGAAAGTTACTGAGTGCTCTCACACCTCACACCAAAGAAAGTCTGATGACTCTGAGATTTTACAGCAGCTGGTTTGCATGTCAGCATTAAATTCAGAGTGGATGAGAACAGTTCTGTTTGGGCCTGTCAGGAACAGAATAATATCAACATCCTGCTGACTTGTAGTTGTACTGCAAGCACGGCATTTTCATGTTCACAGGGGGAGAGCCTCAGGCTATCCATCTTCGATCCATTTTCCTTTTCTCTCCAGGAACCCAAGGAGTGTCAAATAACAGACGATCTTCTTGTGGTTTGCAGCCAATGCAGCAATACCCTGCAGACTCTTAGTGGTGTAAGTTTATTCTGTGCTGTTTATCTGACATAAACAATGTCTCACTGGTAGCATTGAGGATTAACCAGGCATATACTGAAACACTATTAGAACCACACTGAGAAGCCTTTACTTAACATCAACATGGATGTTGTACAGCCTAGCTGAGGGTTCACCAATACATACAGCTGGAAAGCAGGCAGGTCCAAGGTATGAGGAACAGAGGAACCTATGGCACGATAAAGCTCAGGGCCTCTTAGAAAAGACAGTGTATTAGTGAAGGTAAAGAGACGTGATGATTCAAAGTTAATAACACAGACAGATGAGAGGATAAAGGAGAGAAGGATGCTAAATGTGGCAGTACCCCAGGAGTCTAACTAAGAGCTGGCTCTAGCCTGAACCAGCTCAGACTATAAGTTTCAACAAGACAGAAAGTTTAATGTTGACTCTTTAAAGGGATTTCGGACATAAAATCAATTTAAGGTCAAACACACCGTCAAACCAGTTTTACACACCCCCTCGAGAGATGAATGTTGCCGACTGCTTGCTTCTCTATTTTTACCAACTTTAGTAACGACCGCGGGATAGCAATGCACAGCAGTCTGAGGAGCCATAAACAAACCTCAACCAAAAAGCCGCAAATAATGCTCAGAACAGCACCTAACTTCATCAACAGTACATATAGGGTCCCAGCCACTGCACTAGCCACCAAACATCTATTTTGCTTTGCCTGATTTCTTTAGCAAAGCAACTAAACACAACTCACCAACACTTATGATTATTTCCTTGAAGTAATAATCACCATATTGATCATTTTGCACTGCAGACGCGGTAGTTCTTCTGCCTTAGCGTCTTGTGTGATTGCATTTTCATGAAGAAATTATCATAAATGTTCTTCTTTGAACTGTGTCACCACGCAGCAGTCCATAATGGACTCGCCTGAGGTCTGCTTCAGACAAGCGGAAGAGAGTAGGTGAGTTGTGTTTAGTCTCTTTGCTAAAGAAATTAGGCAAAGTTAAAAAGATGTTTGGTGGCTAGTGCTATGGCTGGGACCCTATATGTACTGTTGTTGAAGTTAGGTGCTGTTCTGAGCATTATTTGTGGCTATAGAGTTGCATTTTAGTTGAGATTTGTTTATGGCTCCTCAGACCGCTGTGTATTGCTATCGTGCGGTCGTTACTAAAGTTGGTAAAAATAGAGAAGTAAGCGGTCAGCAGGAGTCATCTCTCGAGGGGGTGTCCAACTCGGTGTTATGGTGTGTTTGACCCTTAATTAATTTTACGTCAGAATATCCCTTTAAGGTAGAAAGGGTGTCTGCCCACCGAACCTCAACTTGTAGATGAGATGAATCCAAAGGAGAGGGGCCTGACATTACGGTAAGTAAGACAACACATATGATATGCAAAAGCTGATTCAAAAATAAGTCCCACTAGACTGGAAGTAGATTTATTTAGAGGCAGATCAGATGACACCTCTTCCCCTGGAAAATTTCACTGTTAGTATTGAGAGAAGCTTAGAGACGCTTAATCAGGACATTTGAGGGTCAAATATTAGAATACAACAATCAAATCTCAAATAAATGGATTCCTGTTTTGTTTTCTATTTCAGTCCACTTTTTAGTTAAGTTAATAACAAAAAGGTTTGTACCAATGTTACACCCTCAGCCATGTGTTATTTTATTTTCATATCACAGGCTAGCAGAATAGAAGAATAGTTTTTTTTTTCAACAATAAAAACTCAAAAAATGCAAATGTTATTCAAATCATGTTTATTTCTGAAGCAACAGCAGGCAAACATCACTTTTACTTCAAAAGCTGGCCACGGTTTAATGGAGCCAAACTCGTCAAACTTGAGTAAATCAACCAACAGTTTGATTATGACAGTGATACGACAGCCAGAGGTTGATCCAACAAAATCAAATAGTTGAGATTAAACATTTATTTTAAGATGTGAGCGACTCAGCAAGGTGTTTTCAAGTCAGCAGTGACCCTTAAAAACAAAGCTGGAGCAGTCAGGGAGGGAGTCGTCCTTAAAGTGCAAATGAGTAAACATTTCATTTCTACGATCAAAGGTAGTAATTTACTCTGCATGTCCACAACAACACACCCATACACACAGACACACACTCTAATTATGAACGCATACAACCAAACATAAAAATACACAAATACAAACCGAGCATCCTGTTCCCTTACATCCCTGTGGACACAGATAAACACACTTTCCTGATTATTAACATGGAAATAGAACATAAACATCTGTAGGCAAGATAAAGTGTCGTGTTCACATGCGGCAGTTTTTATCAAATGCCGCCAGAGTAATCTTATAATAACTGTAATAATAATAATATACATGTAAACATGCTCTCTGCGGTGTGATCGGATGTTTTTCTAGAGGAAACAGTCATGTCCATTGAAAATAAAAACGTTACAAAAATGAGAACTTCACAAAGTCAAAGAGACTGTTGCATTGTTTTCATGCCACAACAGGGTTCATGTGCAAACTGTTACACCACAGAAGAGACGGTAAATGCAGACAGGTTTTCAGTTTTTCTTTGTCTTCTTTGTACGCCTGTGAATATGAAGTGGGCGTCTTTCTTGTTACTCTCGGCCTGATTCATAAATAGAATCATTGATAAACCCAGACAGGACAAAATCATCTGGGGCTGAGAAAAAAATAGATCCTCTCCTCACCATCTGAGCCTGGAGCAGCCTAACGAGGCCTGATGGCAGCGGTAATCAGTCCATCACCAGCTCACACGCCATCACCGAGTGTGTGTGTGTGGGTGTGTGTGAGTGTGGGAGTGGGTGTGGTGTGTATCAGGCTCAGGTTTTCCTCCGAACAGCTCGAGCATTAATCTATCCTTACTCACTGGAAGTTTAAAATATATAGATTCAGGATACTTCATTATTTTCAGCAAGTCAGAGTTTCTTTCAAAGTAAAGGTCAAGAAAAAAAAAAAAGGGGGAAGCATATTTTTTGATATGACTGTAAACATACACGAGTTAAAAAGGGTCAAAACAAGACAAAATCCTTTTACAGTGAGATCTGAAGCTACTTGGATTCCTACTTGTCATAGAAATGTGGCAGCAGGGTTGAAGTTGTAAAGGTGCCCTTGTGCAAGGCACTTAAACCCTGGGGTCCTCTAGTGGACTGTGGAAAATTACTTGGACTTTTAGCCTGTTTGAGCACTAAATTGCCAGAAACTTGAAGCAGAGGTTCAACTGCCTTTCGCAAGGGCAGGAAAGTGAAATCACTGTGGGAATATTTTCTTAGCTCTGCTTCATATTATTGCAGAGCATCCTGAAAGACACACAACACTTCTTTTCAAGTTATTTCGAGAAAGATGTGGGTCACTGTAAGCCTCTTTCACAGTGACACTTGCCAACACAGGAGGCTTGACTCAGGGCGAGGTGATTCTGCAGGATATGAGGGGCACTCAGTCTAAAAGAAAGCAGAACTGAGCCATCACCTCCCACAGAAGTCCAATGACACACTTTTTGATATGTTTTCTTCTCTATAGCCCCAGGCTTGAAGCTCCAGCCGGTCCTCCTCCTCCTCTCTATCATCCTCCTCTCCATCGCCTTCCTCGCACAGGCTGGGCTCCTCCACAGAGGTCTCCATGTTTGGTGTGCAGCCGCTAATTGCCTGAGCCTCTCTGTATTCATAAATGGTGGGGAGGCTGCTGCGTAACCCGAAACGCCGCCGCAGGGCCACGAGCAGCGGCTGCGGCACGGTGAAGATATCCACATTGTTGCCCAGGTCCACCCAGGCCAGTTTGGGGAACTTCTTTGGATCCTTCACAGCATCTGTCAGGTCTTTCAGGATGGCCACAGTCAGACGGTTTCCATTGATGGCTAGTATGGACAGTTTGGGCAGGCAGCCAAGGGAGGGCAGCAACAGCCTCAAGCTCTCATCCTGCAGCTCTGTGAAGCTGAGATCCACAGCTGACACCGCATCAGTGCTGCTCTGCAGGTAAAAAGCCACACGGTGCACGTCTCGGCCTGACAAAGGGATGCCCGACAGGTTCACCACATCGCCAGACAGTTTCTTCTTCAGGGTGGTCTTCAGACTGTTTGAGAAAGATCAACAAACTTTGTCAGCAGGTCTCACCAAAAATGAAAAACAAAACAAAACAAAACAAAACAAAAGGTAAGTGTTGCAGACAGTATTACAGATTTGCCAGATCTTCAGCACTGGCACTAAGTTGAAACACTGTGTAAAGACAAACGATCTTTACTTAATGATGCTGAGGTTATTGATTTAGCGAGTCCTGCTAATACAGGGGGAACTGCAAAGTATGCAAAAAACAAACAGCATCCACCAGTAGAGTGTGTAGCAATCAATAATGTAAAGGAAAAAATTTGCATTTAAATGTGTCTCAGTCAGAGTTCCTCAAGTAACAAATTCTGTCTCATGGGCTGAACGTCGGCCCCTGAAAAGCATCAGCTGTTTTCAGTTTTCATTCCCGTGAAGCCATCTCTGAGCCAGCATCCCGCGACTGCGACCATCAAAAGAAAGAAATCAACTGATGGATTGAAAAACAGACAAAACAAGAAAACAAATATCCTTTCTGTCTGGACCAATCAGTGAACGGTATATCATCTTGTCTCAGGGTGGGGCTGTGCTGTCTTTAATATGTCAGTTTGAGGCGTGATATTTATCCAGGACGGATCTGTTTATCTGTCTTTGTGAATTAGGTCACACAGGACGGAGAAATAACCCAGTAGAGCTGATCAACAAATTAACAAACTGCTCTGATCCCCCGCTGTAGGACTGCATTCAACACAAGTGATAATAAAAGATTCAAAGAAAAGGAAAAAGACTGATACAGCTCGCACATTGTTATGCATGTGGAGCACTCAAGAATCAAGCGCTGCAGTCCTGAATCACTACTGCTTTCAATCTCTCATAAGTGTTCAAAAATAAAGCAGGGGAGAGTGGGGGGTTGTCCGTTTTATTCTATGCTGTAACCCACGATGCAAATTGATCACAGCGGGATCTGTGGGAGGTTTTAGTGTTGTGTGCAAGAAGCTGCTAATGCAGACACGAGGAGCATACTACGGAAGCCTCATGTGGACATGCGTGCATATATTTGATTTCCTGTGATAATACAGTGTTTCCCAGATGATAATAATATATTTGCAACAGCACCTCCCCCACCACATATGACGTCTCCAAATTTCTTCTGCAGTCTCTTAAAAGCAGTTAAATAATGCAAATTTAAAAAAATATCAACTTTGTCGACATTATCACATCATTCTGTTTGCTTGTATTTCTCTACTATATAATATATAAACAGTTTTAGGGCATTAGGGTGATTTTTCACAATGATCATTATGATGCACTTAAAAAAAGTACCTCAGGACCATAATTGCCTATTTTACTTAAAAGCAACAAAGGAAAAAACAACAACAACAAAAAAAACAAACAAATAACTGCTGAAGGCCTCTAACATTGACTAACTTAAAGATGGGGTAGTCAGGATCTGAGGGAGCGCCAGTTTTTGGGAGAAATCTTGGATGTAAACTCTACCCCTCCCAACCAGTTTTCCCCTCAGCTCCTCCTCTCCCCTCCCTCTCTGCTCCAGCAAGCCCCGCCCACAAACAGATGCTCTTGCTCGCTCATATCGTTTTAATTAAATTCAGATATAATGCAGATAAATACTTCAGATAATTACAAATGGGGACCAGTCAACGTGAAAGTAAAAAGCATTGGTGCTACTGTAGATGCCAACAGACTACCAGCAAACACAATGTTTGCAGGACTTCTAAAAAACTAGGATAAAGTGACATACTCCAGGACCCGAGGTAAACAGTTTAGCGGCGCTACAACACGCAGCAGGTCCCATTTGACAAGAAACACTTCTGTTACAGACACTTTATTTATTACTTTGTTAAAGCGGTTTACCTGTCCAGCAGAAAGGTTACAGGCATGTGAACACTTTTTAGCTCTTGTCCAGTCTACCTCCGTTTTAAGCGCTCGTTATTCCGACAGAGTCTCTGGTATTTCCTTTGTTTTCTTGCTTGTGTTAGCAGTTGTGGCCAAAGAAGGAGTCAGACAATTTTCTGTACTCTCTGGTTGGTTTCTACTGTCCGATATTGTAGCACGCTAACTTTGTTTGGGCTCGTGCACGTTATTCGAGGACATGGAGCGTGGCTCACAACATGAGGGAGCAGCGTCCGCCTCACAACCAATCAGATCGGGGGAGGCAGAGAAAGGCTTTGTTAACAGTCCGAAAGAGTGGGCCGCTCAAAGAATTTAAAATGTTGACTACACAGACATAACAAAACACAGTGATATTTTTATATTACCAAATGTCATCAATAACTAATAGCTATTGACTGATATTAAAACCTTTTTTGTATATTCAACACAAAAAAGATGCTTCTTTGACGGATTCCTGCCTACCCCACCTTTAAGAGTCAGATCTCACAGTCATCGACCTTTATGACTTTGCCAATAAATAATTTCACCCATACACATGTGCAATTTTGTGAGTTTGTGACTTTGTAGAAATTAAACATATTTTAGCAAGTTTTGGCAGTGCAGACAGATTTTGTCACCTCTGGACTGAACCTTCTTATAGTACTAATGCCTTTTCGAGTCAAAGTAAATAAGTTTTTGTTCTAAACTGATAAACTTTTCCCGTCATTGTTCCTGCAGTTCTATTAAAGAAGGACTCTGGTAACTTGAGCAGAGGGCAGGAGGATAAAAGCAGAGGTGATTTATGGACAAACCCACAGTAATGGGACAAAAATGGGAGCGAGACAAAAGTGATAAAAGCAAGTGATGGTCTCTCTCAGTGAGAATGACTCCAGACAACAGGTGTGAGGTGAACCCATTTTGAAGAAAAACACCACTATTACTATCACAGCTGTCAGGTTGGATCATTGTATCTCTCACTGCATAGGGCAGCTCTGAGCAATCTGAAACAAAATGTTCTCTCCACACTCGTATTGTTAAATATGCATTGGAGAGCTCTAAGTAAGCTCCCTGCATGAGATGGCAGCACTGGAGGATAAGAAAGAGCCTGCTGCAATGCATTAGAAATCTTTTGTTTGTACCAGCATTCAGACTTGGAAGAAGTCAGCGGGAGGAATCAGCCAAACAAATGACAATGAGGTGGGAGCGTGGGAGACGTTTAAAAAATCCGACAAACAGTGGAAAAATGTTCTGGTTAAGTGGCCTTAAGTTTATCCTCCCTTTGTCTTAGTCCTGTTTGCCTTCGCTCGTCCCTCTGCTTCCTCAGGCACACTGAGGATTATCCATGCATCTCTCTCTGCTCTGTCTCAGAGCTTTATAAATCGGCAGGCTGCATGCTTTACATCTGTCACCCTTTCTGCCTGGTTAGAGGAAAGAAAAAGATCTGTAGCACCCCAGGGCTGTGATTCGCAGGATTATCGATTCCAGGAACTGGCTATAATTCATCTCTCCCTGCTTCACTTTCCTCCTTCTCGCTCATTGCCTCTCCTGTTCGTGCTGTTTTTATTTAGTCTTCTTCCATTCTTAAATAATCTTACCATCTGTCTTGATCCAGATTTGATCTGCTCAAGGATCTGCATCAAATTGTCTGATTATTCTTTGCTTTTTGTTTTTAAATCACTGGATCATTTTACTCTTTCAAAGCCATTAAAAATTAGAGATAGGAATAAAAAGATCATGGGGCAAAATGGGACAGAAACTCAACACGGGACAAACTGATGGTGCAAAATGTGATTCAGCTGTTCTCCAAAGTCCTTCTCTTCATTATGACATAAGGATAAAATCTGCATCAATGGTTTATTCAATTATTTACTTAATCTACTATAACCAGAGTTGCCTTTGTCATACTATTCAACCATGACTAAAAGTCTAGGGCCAGAATATTTAGTCCTTGAAATGTCAGATAACGTTGAAAAATGGCACTGACTAATACCATCAGCCAAATTGTTTGTTTTGTCCAACAAAAAGATATCCAAAATCGGGGCAATTCAATCGTGAAGAATTTCCTTGTTGTTTACACAGAAATCCATTTCCATCCAACCGACTCGTTTACGGGAAAGAAAACATCCAGTACAAAGACAAAACCATCAAAACGAATCTAAACAGAGAACTGAAGAGTGGGATCATGGGTAAACGATTTAAAAGTGGTCTGCAGAGTTTTGCGAACAGCGACATACCTGTGCTGGTTACTCATCTCTGCACAGCTACGCTCGGCTAACAGGAGGGGAGAGTGGGGTAAGATGAGCCATTTTTCATATTTGGGATCACTACATCAAGGTGATCATAGTTTTGTCTCTAACTCATGTATCTGCATATATTTAAAGATGTTGTGCATCCCTGCAAACCAACAAAATGAGTGTAAACATAACTGTCTTGGTAATATAGCATGCCAAAAAAAGTGGTCTCCATAGGAGCGGGGTAAGTTGAGCCGTACCTTTACTACCCTTTTACTACCTTTACTTTCTTAGTTGAGCCACTGACTCAACTTACCCTAGAACGATCACTATTTTTAGTCCTCTAAGCTAAAATGGTGGACTTTTATTCTAAGTTTTTGACCTCATGTTGTAGCTCATAGATAATTTAAAAATTTTAAATGATCTTTTAAAGTCTGAACACAATTCTAATAAAACTGATGACAGACTAAATTCACTTTCAAGAGTGAAAAATGTCTAACCTCTTCACCCATGTGCTTCTAACCTTCACAGACTCCATGAATTGATGCCCATCTCCTAAATATTTGGTCACATGATCAATTTCTTTTACCATTTCCAAGCAACAAGGAGGTGGTTCAATTACCCTTTGGCTCAACTTACCCCACTCTCCCCTAACTGGCTTGGCTGCAGCTTAGACACGACATCTGAGTAAAAAAAGATTTATAAAAAAAAAAAAAAAAACACAGACTGATGAAATTTTAAACAACTTGTAGTTCTGTTGCCTCCTTGCAAGGGTGATGAAATTTAATCATTTTAAGTGTGAACATATAGAAACAGAGGATCCTCATAATCAGATTTCAGTCTCTGATGATTGAAAAAATCTGAAGATTAGATTAGACAGAACTCTATTGATCCTTTCGGGACCTTTGTATGGTTGATAATTAATAAATTAAAATTAAAATTATGGAGATTATGGTAGCACACCAACCTCTCTGATTTTGTCAGTAGCTTTTAAAACTGTTGGTGAGTCTGTCTACTGTTTCCTGGCACACTCCACACTGCTGTGACTCCAGAGGGTTTGCAGCCTTCTACATTTCACTGTAATGAAACCGATTATGAGCATTGACTTTCCTCCTCTCGGACTTATTTATAGGAGGGCTTCCCTACCTCTGCTGGAGCCCTCTCTGCTCACCTGTGTTATTTTTTTAGTACGGCTGTCCTAGATATTGTAGCTGTGTGGGTACTGCAGAGTAAGGGTGGGCTCGACTGTGCTTTTAATGAGACAGAGTATATGACAACCTCATACCTCCCTCCAATTCCTCTGCCTCCTGGCTCTGTGGGCGCAGTTCCACCCACAGGCTGCACGGCTGGCTGCAAGCCCTGGGGCAAAGCTAGCATTACTAAAGCCACACTGTACGCTATAGTCCATCAAACGATAACAACAAAAACAACAAAAATGTCTCATCTCAGTCCCTCTGATGTTGTTGCCATGCTCGTAGGCAGTGGTGCATATCCTCTTGGACTAGCTCAGACACAAACAACTTCAAAGGATAGTCTACCAGCATACACATGGAGAAACAAAAGCGTCCCCTGCATTGGGACTCATTTGAAAGCAAACAACTGAGGGAAATCCATTTATTGACATCCTCAGGAGCAACTGATACAACAGTGCAGGAATCTAATAAGAGCTGACTCTCATGTGTCAAACTATTGGCTGCTAAATGTGGGTTCAGGCAGACTGTCTAATTGCTTTTCATAGCCTGTCTTTCCTCAGGGATGTTGTTAACTTTTATACAGTGAACAAGGGGTCCTCGCTGTTCTACAGTTATGTAAACCCCAGAGGTGGGAACTAAAACATGTGGGGTTTGTGATGTGTAAATGGAGTACAGGCAAAGAGACCCAGCTTACAGAAAAGGTCACAACAAAACAAGAGAATGAGGCTTTTAATCATATGCTGCAGAAACCGAGTTGAGAAGCGAACTGTGCTGAAAAATCAGTGATAGACGCTGTAAACTGCTGCCTGGAATGAATGGAGGTCAGGCTGAAAAACAAACCTGCTGTGGCTTAATATATCATGCAGGCTGCCGGTGTTGATACAACAAATTATTCAGGAAACTTCGGCTGATCAGCACCTACTGATGCACACATAACTCCTCTGTTACAGCTGACTTTTCCTCAGCAGAACAGAAATCTAAAACATGCGTTTCAAATTGCTCATCATATATGATCTGTGTTTTCTCCCCAGCATTTAACATACTGAGTTCTTCAAAAACAATATCCAATGTGTTACTTGGCTACTACTTCATACAAAAATCTTGTTTATCAATCCAAAATCGTCATGTTTCTTGTTGAAAACAGTTTGAACTGCTTCCATGGTACGATTGATTCTGTACCTTCTTCAATCGAGCAAACTCAGCCGTTGTTTCTGACATATAACTAAACACTGCTATCACTCACATGTAAATGTAAACGTAAATGTAAATGTGCTTTATTTATACGGTGGTATTCAGTGAACCAAAGTGCTTTACAATACAACATAAATTAAAAAATGAATAAATAAAAACAATAAAAAGCAATAAAAACAATAAAAGCACACCATTATCACTTTTGATTTTTGCTTCTATAAACAAACTGAGACATAACTGCGCAAAGTTTTCAGAGACCGATACAAATACAGTTACGAGATGCTAAAAAAAACCTAACAGACCTATTAGTTTAAGTAATTAACACATCTGCAGTAAGGAAATACCTCAAATTTTGATATTGCCCGAGAAGCATTTCAAAACTTATAGAAACTCTGCAAACATTCTTTGTTTTTTCACCCCATTTACTGAATCTCTTATATTTGGGGTACCTCAAGGCTATATTCTAGGTCCCCTTGTGTTTTGTACACAACTTCTTCCTCTTAGTGCAATGATTGGGACAATATTATTTCTTTTCGTTGCACACTACCAGTCCACATCTCAATGTGTCTGTAGTATCATCAACTACAATCGACTTGATACCTTTATAGAATTTTCTGGCAAGATCACAATGGAGACATTTCAGAAGCAATCCTGTTAAGCTTAGAATCAGTGGTTATCGAGGTTAAAATCCCTAACGATAATCCCTACAAACATTGTTTGACATTATTTTATAAACATTTAAATAAATTCTAACTCTATATTAACCTTTAGTGGGCAGTAAAACCTCAACAAACCTTCTTTTCTAGCAGACAGCTGCTGCCAAACTTTAATCAAGAAAGGGGAGAAAACCTTCCTCAGTTTTAGCCCATTTGCATAGGTCTCCAGCTGACTTTGAAATGAACTTTTAAGGTTTTACTCATTACATTTGAAGACGTCCTGCATTAGGTACAATCATACCTTATCTACAATACTGCAGCAACTAAATCATATCATGCTTTTTCTATATGGTCCCAAAAACGAGCAGTGTCTTCTCATTATATTCTAAAATAACTGATACGAAAAAAGCTTTTGCAGCATTTGTTGTATTGATTGTAACAATTCTGTACTGTTTTGCTCATTTGATGTATATTCGTGTTTTTCTTTCTGTATTTGTTGGATGTCTTTCTAAACTCAATCCCACTCAGTTTGAGAGTTGGTATACTAATACTTGTAATAATAATAACTGTATCTACTTCTTTCATTATGATTATTCAATGCTATACGTCCCCAGACAGGATTACAGCCTCTCTATTTACAGTCAAGGACGGTCCATTGATCTCTGTAATCATTTCTTCTCTCAAACATGTCTGGTACCACTCAGAGTCAGGTAAGTCTCCGCTGAGTACAGACATCTCCCTAATGTTACACAAGTTAAGTGCTCATCGTTAGGTTTAGTCTGCTTCACCGCTCTGCTTTTAAGCTTCCACTTCAATGCAACTGAGCACTCCCTCTAAACTTAACCTGGAAAGACGAGGAGGACTGAAGGGTTGATTGTTTTTAAAGAGTTGAAAAGGCCAAGACAACACATATATTTTTCTGGACTTAAACACACAGACATGTTTGAAGGGAGAGTGGTGCAACTCTTCAACAATCTGCTACCCGGGTGAGAGTTTGGAGCAAATGGCAGGAGCAAACTTGTAATCTTTCCTCCCACATAGAATACATGTTCCTTTTCTTTCGCTCTCATGAATCAGTAATAAAACAAGAGTCACAGGGAGCATTAGGGTTTTTCTTTCTCTCTATGTTCATCCACTGAGAAATTTAATAATGGAGTGAGCGGAGAGTGTTATGAGATTGGGTTAAGTAAAAATATTTAACCCTTTGACCTCTTTGTTGTCGTCTGACTCTGTTTAAGCTGACAGATATTATACCCTGTACATTTTTTCATCAAACCCTTGCACTCCTCAACACTTATAACCTCTCTCAGTAAGGCAGCATAAAAAGCAAAGCTAGGTAAGTTATAGACGGGTTTCTGTGCAACGTCATTGCAGGTATGCGTGTGCAGCCAGGGGGCAGAAAGCGGGACATTTCTTATTTGTTTACCAGCGGAGTCAACGCAGAAAGAAAATGACAAGAAGCTGTTGTGCTGTAAATCATCGTGAACATTTTTACTTTGACTTTGTTAGCATTCACTAACATTACGACCCTGCTACTGATATTAGAAACAACCAAAACAACGTCACAACCTGGTAAGCTGAGTGAAATTCATGGACATTTCAGCAAGTGTTTTTTTTTTAATTTGTGATGCAATGAAAAACTAGAAAAGCCCTCGGAGAGCACAGACCTCTGCCAAGCAGCTCATGTCCCCCCTTATATTGTGATTCACACCAAAACTTTTACTGTTACGTGTCTTTTATCAACTTTTATTTGTGTTTAAACTGGTATGTTCACTGTTCACAATGTTCCTAAAACAAGAAATGCCCTGACCCGGATTCGAACCCAGGACCTTCTTGCTGCTAGGCAACAGTGCTAACCACTACACCACTGTGCCACTCATTGGTTATCTTTCAGCACTGACAATTCCAACGACACCCTTATTTTTGTGTGTTCTGGATCACAGTATCTGGAATTTTGTCTGGATCAGGATCAACCTTTGACACCTCATAAAACTCATTGAGATCCTTTTGTGTAATTTTTTACTAAAGACTCTGACCATTTTTATAGAGTTAAAAGCAAAAATTCCAAAATTTGCCCTATCTCACAATGATAAAGAATCCTTCAAAAAATTCTGGATCCAGAAGGCGATCCGGATCACCACCAAAATTCAATGGGATCCTCCTGGGGCTGAGACGCACCTCTGGTGAAAATTTCAGGTCAATCCGTCTGTAACTTTCTCTGTTAAGTTGCTAACAGACCAACAAACAAACCAATGCTACCGAAAACATAACCTCCTTGGCGGAGGTAACAAAGTGATTTTTCGATGAAATGACATTTTATTGCAATTGTTTCGGGGAGAACTTGGAAACAATACGGCATCTTCACTGATATCAGTTCACTCCGAAGCAGGCTTTTGCCCCCTGGTTGCTAGAGGGGGATATATGCAAAACCTGGCAATCCAACTCGTGGCAAATGCTATTTCTGAACTCTGAGGTATCATTTCATTATTTATAAACCATTAATAAATTATTGAAGTCTAATAAACTGTTTTAAAAATATGTGTGACAAGAACCTGTGAGCAACGGGTGCTTCTGTGCTGCCTCAGAGCAGATATGCATAACAAGAGTATCTTAGCTAGACGAGCAAACTCTGTAACATAAATTCAAGTTAACTTCCTGCTGAGTATGCAGAGACACTCGACTCATTTCAGAGGAGTGAAATAAAAGCTCTTGAGAAACGCTGGATGCTGATGCCGCTCCACAGACCCATGGGATTGGTCGGATCAATGTCGGCTTCATCAACGCTTTGGTCCCGACCTGTTTATTCCTCTGATCGATCTAAGCTGTTTTGCCTCCAAGCACCTATATAAGACATGTGTGGTTGCCATGCTGTGTGTTAGTGTAATGTACATCTCATCCTAAAGAAGTGAGCTGTGTGTATATGGAAACACTGCTTATATTTCTATGTTTTTGTCTTTTATCTGAATGTGCCTTCAGGCGGATGACTGCAGGCTACAGTGCTGAACATTTCCTGGACCAGTTTGTTAAACTTAAGCATAAAAAAATGTGACTCTTATGCCTCGGGACAGTTTGGCCTATGCAAATGAGAGTCATTTACAGTCACTCTGAGCTGAAAATGTCGTCGAATTTGCCTCATCTATGCAGCTGTCATACTGATACTACGCTTGAGGAGGAAATGTGCTTGGAAACATGAAAGTAGGGATTTCACACACCATCCCGCGCCCTCCAGTTTCATGAGGATAATGGCACATTTTCTGGGAAGGGAAAAAATAGTCTTGAAGCTAATTTGGATTAAATTTCAGTGAAACACATACCAGAAGGGCTGGTTAAGCCTTTCTCTCTTGTCTGTGGAAACAGAGCTGCCTCAATACTTTGACATCTCAGATTTACTGCTCAGTTATTGGGGACTTTGATTTTCAAGTTAGGGGCAAAGACGTGATTTTGACTTTGACACAGACGGGACAGGAACATAATGTTATAAAAGAGGAGGAGGTGAAAAGGTAACAGACACCTGCCATGTGGAAAGCAATCACTGAAAGATGCCTCCACTTACAGTTAAATCACTGAAGGTGTAGCACCAGTTTAGTCATCCGTCTTGTGTGTCTCCAAATGTGAAGGTGGAGTTTTAATGAGTTCAGAGAAAAGAGCCCAGGGAGTGCAATTAATCTTATTGAGCTATCAGCTATTCTGATATAAAACTTTCATGGGTTTCTAAGACATGAATGTGGGGAAAATGTCAAACCTATAAAACCCTTTTCTCAACACAAAATAGAATTTACTAGTCTGACAGATATTGGAGAGGAAACATGGCCAACTTACTCCTGAAGTTGTGAAATCTCCCCCTTAAAAAAACAAACCTAACACTAACAGCCCACTGTAAATGTTACACAGATCATTTATAATAACACGTAGCTCTTTTTCTCCACAGATAAAAGCATATTTTTGCTGTCATGCCACTGAAACCTCTTCATACAGAGTGTACCCTAACGCAACTATGCAGCGTATAAGATGCAAAATGCGCACCATGGTTGAGCTATAAATTCACCCGTGATTTAATTTAATGTGACAATCTAGACGCTTATAGGGTAGAAAAATACTGCGACAGAACACATAGAAAACAGTTTGCATTACATAACTGTATATCATGGAGGAGTGCGCCGGAGTGTGCCACACTGTGTCAAGGCACAGTTATGAAATCAGCATTAAAATGCAGGGCTTCAAACACACACCGAGGGGCTCGATGGTGGGGAGTGATCTGTATCAGGCTCAAAGCTGCGAGACCCACAGATTATCAGATGCAAAACAATCCTTGTTTCTGTTACTGTCCCACAGCTGAAGCCTTATCTCAGATTTACAGTTAAAAGAGAGCTTTAATCCCTGAATAAGAAACTCGAAAACCCTGTGAGGCTGTATTTTAAGCAGCATAACTCAAGTTTTAAAATTGCTGTTTAATCAAAAATGTGTAACTTCATGTTTACCAATTAACAAATGTAACGGTTCTCATTTTACTAAGGCCCATGCCCTGACTGGAGGGATGGATTTTGAGCATCCTCCTCCTCCTCCTCATCTAGCAGCATCTCAGTCTGAACTGCTGGAAGCCCTCAATTATTCATGGGCGAGGATGGTGGCTGGATCTTTAGGTCTCTATTAAAAGTGGAGGTCAAACTGAAGTAGATTGTGTGCATGGTGCAGTCAGTCAGACACCCATACACTACATGGGATTACGACCAGAAAGATAATAACACAGAATAACACTTTAGGAACCAGAAACTTCTTAATTTTTCTGATATTTATTCCTCCGTGTTGTCAGACTTTCTCCTCTCGCCTTAGGAGTTAACCCACTTTGCAGGTTATTCTGAGGTCAAATCTGCTGTGTCAGAGTCTGTTTGGCCCCAGTGCGCACTGCAGGGGGGGTGACTTGGCTGAAGCAATAGGTCATATGCTTGTTAAAGTTAGATGACACATGGCTGAGTGTACAAATGCCACATGTAAAGTAACTGCAATATGGAATAGCTACGGGCGTCACTTCTCCATGCACTGCACAGAAGCTGTGTGACAAAGAGCTGGTGTAATACGATTATAGGTGACAGACTGTCATTATTCGAGGGGCATCACCTCAAGACAAGAACACACTGAGCAGCTTGAGATACCTGGCATGAGTCAGCGGTACAATCCAAAAGTATTCAGCTAAAATATAAACCAGTTTTTTGAGATAGGCAATAACGTCAGACAACACTAATACACCATGGTGAGGTTTCTATGTTTGCTGATGACCAATAACTTTTAGAATCTAACTTTGGTAAAACTTTACAATAACCATAATTTATAAATGGTAATTAGATAGTTTATTATTGTTTAATCATCATTTAAAAACAATATATAGACCAATTATAAATGGCAAATAGATAGTTTATTTATGTAAGTTAATAGTTACTTTACCATTAACAAGTAATGAAACTATGATTAATAATTTTCATTAATTATTGATGGACTATTTATTAAAGGTTTATATAGGGTTTAAAACATCTAGATTAAAATGTGTGTCAGTAGGACTTTGTAAATGGTTAATATTTGGTTTATAAACCATCTATAAACATTACTTAGATGGTTATTGTAAAGTTAGGGTTGGGGTTAAAGTCAGGTTTTAAAAATAGTAAAATTTACAATTTATTAATGGCCTGTATGCTGTTTATAAATGATGATGAAACATTATTAAACTATCTGCTAACCATCTATAAATGGTCTATTTACCATTCATAAGTTGTGGTTATTGTAAAGTGTTACCCTAACTTTTTAAATCCGTCAAATACTTTTAATTTTAATTTCTAATTCACCATCAAGAAGTCGTGTTAATTATGATGCTTTTTATGCTTTGTCATGTAATCATAATCTCCACATTAGGGATGTCCCAATACGATATTGATATTAGATATTGGTCCTATATCAGCCCAAAAACAAATCGGATTATATCAGCCTGCATCTAAAATCTCAGATATCAGCACTCCGATACAAGCAGTCCATTCCAGACTCCGCTCCGGCACCTCTAGCTGTGCCCAGGTCTAGCATGTAGAGCCCACATAATCACAACAATGGTGTATTAGATGCTGCAGCTGAGTGCAAAACTTGTCATGCACAAGTTTGTACCAATATCGGATCAATATCAGCCGATACTAAGGCTACAATATCGGAATCGTATCAGAAGTAAAAAGTTATATTGGGACACCCCTACTCCAGGCAGATGACAAATTAAGCCACTGTAAAAGTCCAGAGAAGCTGAAGTTTCTGGTGCACTTAAGACTGGCTCCTTAACCCCATTAGATACCATAGAAGAAGATGTCTCAGCAGTGCCCTTAATTATACATGTATATACGACTGTTTAATCTGTCTCCTGTTAAAGACCATATTTCATATTTATTGCTTGTGGCTGAAAACTATTTATGGTTGGTTGTTTGAATCCAGAAACTCAGGAAACTAAGGTTTTTATTTTATTTCTCCATCTAACTTAATCCTTTTTTTAATTTAATTACATCTCCACAGGGGTTTGGTAATGGCTTCATCTCTCCAGTTGAAATTTGTTCTTCACTTTTGTGTGAATTTGCAGCCACCCTATTCTCTACTTAAGATGAAGCAAAGGAATGATATGTCCACAAAAAGATCAATTCCTATACAGTAACAGTTTGTTCTGGATCACAAAAGCAAAGAAATCAAAGGCGAATTTCTAATATATCTTCGGACAAATCAGTGTGCAAATGGTATAAAATAACTGGGAGGTATAATTAACTTTAATCCATCTGCCACAAACGCGTTCGATAGCTGGGGCTGCAAAGGTAGAGGGTGTAGAGCTTTAACAATGTTGCTGTAGCCCCAAATGGATCCATTAAAAGAGAGGGGCTCAGAATAACACAGAAAAGGTAGAGGGGATTTCTTTAAAGATTAGAGCAAATTAGCCTGAGCAGGGCAGGAGGGGGGAGCTGAGGAGAAACTGCACACAGACTTTCAGCGAGCACTTCCCTGGTGATTAGCCTGTGAAAAGACGTCAAGGATTCTGGACTAGAAATGTCATCGTTAAAGGAGAGAAACTGGTCAGAAGCATCCTACACCTCGCAGATGTCTAAAAAACTTTCACTTCTAAACCAAATATAGTCAAAGCCAGGATTTCCAGATGGCTCCTTACTGCCTAATGCTCTAAAGGTATGATTCACAGGCATGAGGATGATGCCACAGAGGGTAATCAGTTTTTTAGTTTATAAAAAAAAGAAACAGGTCCTTATGTTGTTGTTTTTGGAGGGACTTTTTGATACCAGTATTGAAGGAGAAAGAACTGTTAGTGAGTAATCAAAAAGTAGGTCACTAGCGTGTGTGTCGCTTCTTCCTCAAGGATTTCTGTGGCAGCAGAGGATGAATCAATGAAGGAGAAGGCTGATACCTCTGAGCTGAACAGGATGTGAGTTTTACTGAGACAAAGAGGGGTCATTAAGGTTACTTTCACACCTTTCCTGTTTGGTTTGGTTAAAACTTACAAGAATTCATGTACTCCAAATAATAATAAGGGCTGATGAAAAAAGATACTGTCATCTACAGTACAGGTTTGGAGGGGACTTGAGCGTCTGTGTCTGTGTAATCTTTATACGGGTCTGTATTTAAAGGCTTGGCTTAAGCTCGGGACGTGTTTTGGCTGCTGTTTGTCGCACGTTCATAGTCAGTGTAGAAATGACCAGTCACTCGCCAGCAGGCTTTAGTTTATACAGGATTTACAGTTTGCCATCATGAAATCCCATCTTATGATCTGATGATGCTTTATTTACAAAGTATCTCTGTAAACAGATATCTGCGTGCAAGTGCAGCTGACAGCCCACTGAGCATTTTTTGGTCTAAAAGAGGTCTAATAGACGTCCAAATCCAAGTTTATAGACGTCTAAATTTAGACCAAGTTTAGACCAAGTCTTAATCTGCGCTATATCTATACTACACTGTGTATTGCTCAACAGCTATCATAATTCTTTTGGTTAAGTACTTGGAGATCAGTTATGCAACTCACAATTGCTTTTTAAAATAAGTAGTTGTCGAATAATGGGTTCAAGTGCAACGTCTAAATTCGGTCTAAAAATATACAGAATCTAGTCGGATGGAATTAGATTAAGAAAAGAAAACTAGATATTTAATAGCCGTCTATTGCTGAGTGGGAGTCTGTTCAAGATAAAAAATAATTAGAACTTGAGCTTCAAACCGGCTTTACTCTGTACTGCAAAGGCAAATCAGATCTCCAGCATCCTGGACTGTATCAGAAACGACTGAACGATCCTCCTTTCAACAGTTGAGCATTTTAAAGTTTCTTTTTTTATTCTCCTCTGGATTTTTACTTCTAACCAATCTGTGAAATGATGTTTTCTCATCAAATAAAAGACCTAAACAAACTATTTATCCATCTAGCTGGAGTAGGCCACATTGAAACACCTGTATGCCCAACTGTTAACAGTGAAACTGAGACTTAACAGAAACAGACGAATGCACGCCACATCAGGGGGGTGTAATTAACCAAAAAATGATGATGTTTACTTTGCTGACCTACCTGTGGAGATGAAATCTTCTTCGCTTGTAATCTGAACACCTTCACTTCTTAGATTGCTAACGTCTGAAAATGCAGCAGACAGGAAAGAAACTCTTGACTTGACTATCTCAGCCCTCGAGTCCAAGTATGGCTGCTCCTGGCTCAAAATACAATATACTCAAGGTTTTCAACTTCATTTAAAGGCTGTTTTTGCTCACAGCCAGGTGGTGGGTGTTTTAAGTGCTGTTTGACACACTGGATGACTATCATGTTTGACTCATTTTGATCCCTTTGGCAGTCTATGAAGGAGTCAAAGTGACCCTGTCACGGCGGATGGAGAGGAGAATAGCATCTTCATCATGCTGAGGCAGGGTTTCAGTAGAAGCCTCTTTGGAAATCGAGCTTAAGTTCAACAGAGAAAACAACAAGAAAACAGATTTTCTTTTTAACTTTAGGGACCGGTCAAGCAGTATTTTGTAAACCTGCTTGAGTAAGAGTTCTGTTTTACACACTGAAGACACCAAAAAGATATGCTGATGACGTGTTATTTTTAAATGTAGGCAGATGTTAATCTTTTTTATAACCATGCTGTCTGAATGGTGCAAAATTGAATATATTTTCAGAAATGTTCATGGTGTTACCTGCCATTTAATCTTGTACTGTTTTGTTGTTAAGCTTTGGGCGAAGATCAAAAGAAGGTTAAAAAATAACTTCCTCTGCAGTGTTGACCGTGCGAGGAAAGTCATTTCATTCCGAGGGGTGTGAGGTCGAGGTCAAATACCAGGACTCACACAGACGATCAAAGCTTGCCCACTCTTGATTACGCCTGCCCAAACAGCTGTCATACCCACGATGCCTTTCACTTCTATCATCAGCATGACCAGCATGACTTAACGTTAGCTCCAAATCCTGTCAATGATTCTGCTGAACAGCGTGTCCTGACTCAAATGAAGCACAAAGTTCCAGACGCACAGATTTCCTTCAGCACGTGGACTGTTTCCTCTCTCACAATGAGTCTGTCGTCCTCTCGAACCCACATCATTTCTTTAAACGACAGAAGACGTCTGTTATATTCGCTGGTGTCGATAACTTCCACGCAGTCAACACGAGTAATGAAACAGAATCAGCAATCAAGAATTCAATCTCTTTAAAAAGTGCTAGAGGGGCAGTTTGACGACTATAAAAATATATGAGCTTAATCAATCTGAAATTCAATACTAATTACAATAACATTGAGAGAGACTCTGTTCTCCTCGGGAAAACTGGCACAAGTAGCTGCAGAAACTGAAATGATATTGGTTTGTAATACGTTTACAACAGTACAAAGTATTGTATTAAAAAACTATTAAAAAGACAGAGCAGGCCGGAGCAATAAAAGCTCGCATCATGATTTATGTGTTTCTGAAAAAGGATTTGCAACTAGTTGCATGTAAATAATTCAATTTGATGCGATTGGAAGGCAGGCTGCAGCTCATTTCTGGAGTGATCAAATAGACTTTTTCACTTTTTTTTGTCACTTGAAGAAAATAAAAATCTAAGAATGCAATAAGGGGCACATGCATTTTCATTCCTTTGCATGAAGAGATCAAATTCACAATCGATTCCAGGCGAGGCAGGAAGAAAAAGAGGAAAACACACGGCTTCCAATGGGCAAGCTTGCAGTGATTCCGCCTCCCCCTCTCTTTTTTTTCCCCCCTCCATCTGACAGAGCGTTTCCCTAAAGAGCCTCGGCTCAAACTGCAGAACCGCTCTGTGTGGCAACTGTTGAACAAAATGGACTCTCACAAGAAGGAAAGAGGAAAAAAATCCCACAGGAAAGGAAGGAAGGAAGGAAGGGGGGGAATCAATGCTTAGAAAGGAATTTAAAGCAGGAGAAATGAAGGAGTTGGGAGAAAAAAAAGGACTAGGTGAGCGTTAAGGTGTAAAGGGAAAGCTGAAATGAACAGATGAATAAGAGAAAAGCATTTGATATCAGCTAAACTGCACTGAAGAGCATCACAAACGTCGCTTTTGGCTCATTTCGGTGAGCTTTACATTCACAGTGTAAAGAAATGGGAGTAAATGCAGCCGTCTGGATTCTCACAGCAGAGACTGTGGGAGAGACAGAAGCTTGCTAATGAGCACACTGGGAGAGTCTGCCTTGTTGTGCTGTTGAGTGTTATTTCAAAAATATTGCAACCAGGAGACTGGGGCGGGATGTTAACTCCAGCTGTCAAAAAAAAATCTTTCAATCTAGGTTAATTGCTTAGGGAAAGGGAGCCTCATCACCGTCATCATTAGTGGGTATTTTCTTTCTTCAAAAACGTCTCCACAAATGTACCTGTTACTTCATTTGCGTTGGAGGGAATATTTATTTATTTATGCTGCCGAAACAATCAGCGTTGCGTCTGTTTCTTCTGCAGATAATCACTTTCTGGTTCGTGACAGTTCGAGGATTGTTAGTCCATCTTCAGATCCAGCAAAGACTTCTCAGTCATTTCTCTCATTTGGGTTCGTTATTTTGTGTGTCCTGATCATCCCCTAAAAAACACTTTAGTAGTAAACACTTAGCCGCCGAGCGGTGTTGAAAACATGGTGTTGATTAAATCTCAGTGAACACATCACACTTTTCTCGGCTGGTGTTTGGGCTGGTGTGAGGCTGTTTTTGCCACCATAGTATCAGGTGGAAATCTGTTTTTGCAGCTGAGAGGCAGGTGTGAAAACAGAAGGCAAGACGGTAAGAGTTTATAATTTGACTTGAGGATGGAGTAAAAACCAGATAGGAAAAAGAACATCCACAAAATCAGTAAAAGATTGAGAAGCACATATTTGATGCATTTCATTACACGCCAATTGTTTTGATTTTCTATATTTCGGCTTAATTTCCCTCTGGAATGTTAAAAATCACTTCAACTTGGTATTTACTGGGAATTCTTATAAAACCTGATCATGTATATGTTCACTGTATGTAGATACTGTGGAAAACTGTCTGTTCAAGATGCTTTAATGCAAAAGTTAATAAATATTGTGACTGTAATACAACTTTTTAACAGCAACTGTTTCTTCTACTCCCTCCTGTTAGTTTAAATAAAATGGAAAAATATCGGTAACGCTTTCTTTTACGGCACGCTTATTACCAGGTAATTACCTAGTAACAACATGAAATTATCTGGTAATTACATGATAACTACTAAGTCAATACTGTCTAGCTACCAGGTAGGTAACCTTCCATCATCATACAAATTTGAAGCCGAATTGCTCTGGTATTTCCAGGATTTTCTCTGCTTCCTGGAACCTCCACTTGCGCAGTAGCATTGTCGGCATTCGGCGGGCGAGTCGCTGTGATAATGCTCGGCTCAAACCGAGTATCACTACGCAATCTTCGCACGCCCATAGGCTGTATCAAGTGTCAATCATAGAAAATAAGAACCCCAAATAGCTTTTGAAAATGGAGCTGCACAGAAAAAAGAAAATAAGAAAAACTAGACAGTATTGACTTAGTAGTTACCATGTAATTACTAGATAATCTCATGTTGTTACTAGATAATTACCTGTTAATTACCTGGTAATAAGTGTACTGAAAAAGAAAGGGTTACCAAAATATCCTTTAAATTTAATTTCCAAGTTGAAACATTGTTTTTACTGTAAAATGATTGATAATTCAGTTTTTTGTGTGTTGTCTGAATACTGGATTATTACGTATTTTGATGATTTCGCAAAGTTGTTCCTCAAATATTTCTGAGTGAATAAAACCTTTGAATTTGATCGAATTAACATGACAGCACAAGATTGTTTAACTGTCATATTACAACCTCTGAGGCAAATGATAAGCTAACTGTGACACTGTGGATGGTTGGCTTTCAGATATTATGAAGCTTTGAGTAACTGCATGTTCAATATTACCTGAAAGTCTCACAGTTGCAAAAAGGATAACTCCTGAAAATGCAAATAAAACATAACTTCAGCTCTATTTGAAAATCAATTTTCATGATGTTGAGGTGATTTAACATCATGAAAATAACCTCTCTAAGGTTATACTCAGGTGGAGCACACAGCCACACCAGGCAGGGTGTGAGCTCTAACCCAAACAAGCTTTTAGCTCTATCTGTCACTCTGCCCCCCTGTTATCTTTTCAACATCTCTCCACAGACTTCTTTCTCTGTTTTTTTCCCTTGTTTTTCCCGTTGAATCTGGGTATGGTAGTGGATGAGCATTATTACTGAAGGGGTGGATCTAAGAGTGTCAGAGCTCAGCAGAGTTCAGCTTCTTCGAGGTGTTGCGGGCCTAACTGAAGGAAACACTGTCTTCATGTTCTGGTTGTGGGAAACATTAGGGGGCCATGTGGTTCATCCAATATCTTATCAGGAGAGCATTTAAAGGATATTCCAGCGTAAAATTAAATTAGGGTCAAACACACTGTAACACCGAGTTAGACACCCCCTCAGGAGATGAATGTTGCCGACCGCTTGCTTCTCTAGTTATACCAACTTTAGTAACAACCGTAGGATAGTAATACACAGTGATCTGAGGAGCCATAAACAAACCTCAACCAAAAAGCCACTCTATAGCCACAAATAATGCTCAGAACAGCACCTAACTTCATCAACAGTACATATAGGGTCCCAGCCATAGTACTAGCCACCAAACATCTTTTTAACTTTGCCTAATTTCTTTAGCAAAGCGACTAAACACAACTCACCTACTCTCTTCTAGCAGCCGCTTGTTTGTAGTGAGATCTCAACCAGTCCATTACAGACTGCTGCGGGGGGACGCAGCTCAAGGAAGAACATTTATGATCATTTCTTCATGGAAATGCAATCAGACCGAGACCTACCGCGTCTGTATAACTAGAGAAGCAAACGGTCGGCAACATTCATCTCTCGAGGGGGTGTCTAACTCGGTGTTACAGTGTGTTTGACCCTAACTTAATTTTATGCTGGAATATCCCTTTAACGTACGGGTGAGGGTGTAATGGTCTCATTTTCTAGCTGAATACCAGTCTTTTCTAATCAAGCATGAGTATTTAATCCAAATGAAAAACTGAATTAAAACTTAAAAACTGTCAGAAAGCTTATGTATGCAGATTCACTATTATTTTATGAGTTTTAGTAATAACTTCAATAACTAGTATATCTGTGTGAACTGTTGCTCCTGGAGGACTACTCACCAGGCCTGGGACTTCCTCCTGGGCACGCTCTGCCTCGTCCACTTGGAGTGAGGGGTCAGGTGGTAGATCAGCTGGCGGCAGATCTTGTTGGTGGACTTGATCGACTCTGTCTCCTGCAACACACACACAGAGGACTCATAAAAGACAACAAATGTGAACCTGGTTCATGTGATAAGGCAAAGAAACCCGGAGCTGTTCGTGAAGATGCTCGAGGAGTCCTAGAACAACAAATTAAACTCTATTTTCAGCGTGGCAGAGTAGAAAAGGAGCTGTTTTCATTTCAAAAGGTTAGATAAGTCACTTATAAATGCTAAATGTCTGATCTCCTTTCCTTTCTCGCCGCAAACTGCAGATGCATGGATTCTCTTACAGTCACAAAGTCTCTCTTTCTTGTCTTTTCAGTACAGCAGCTTCAAACATTTTCTCCACAGAAACATTCATTTATTCTCCCTCTTGCCTCCCCCCTTCTCTCTCTGCTCTCTTCCTCCTCCTCCTCCTCCTCCTCCTCCTCCTCCGTCAAAGACTTTAAATGGAATAGGTTGTGCTGAGCAGGGCAAATCTAATTAATGGTACAACATGACAACAAGAGGGGAGGCAATGTGGCGAGAGAGGGAAAAAAAACAAAGAACAGGGGCAATTTACCTTAAGGCGATTAACCATTCCTGCTGTTGCGTCTTTTCTTGGGCGACAAACAAACATGCCTTATAGTTTCGAATGCTCAGTACTGCTGTTCCAGCCGCTTGGATGAGTGAGCACAATGTTACAGCAGCAAATTCTGATTGGCAATGTGGAAGAATTAGAGAATGTGAATTTGTGGTCTGGAAGTAAACGTGCACTACTGTAGCCTTACAGGCGTTATTTACGGCTCTGTAAACCAGAGAGCACTGAACTAAACATACATTAGATGAGCAGTCAGAAACTCGTGACTAAAGCTTCAAAACACCCAAGAAATATGTCTCATTAAGTCCTTAACATGTCCTTGAATGTAATATCTGAATTAATCTCTGTCTGGTGGAAAACAGTGGGCACAGTAGCAGCTGTCATGCCTTAAATCCAACACACGGCTCCTCTACATCCTCGTCACGTCTGACACAGTCTCCTACCACGGGTTGCCAGCCAGTCAGGAGGACATCTCTGCTCGTTTCCTCTTAGGCTTTCCTCGCCAAAGCAAACAGTGATAAGATTAGAGTTTCTTACAGGTGATAATCAGCTGGACTCTAGGTGAGAAAACTGGACCACTCTATCTCAGGGCAGTCCATCTCTTCCGCACAGAGATAACTCCAGACTTAAGATAAGTGTAATAGCTGCCGGCTCTGTGTTTTGCAGTCACTCACAGCTGTGTCTGTGGTGCCTTCACCCTCATATCTGAGTTTGAAATGTAATTTGAATTTTAATATCTCTGATTTGTATGCCATGCTTCCAGTAGAGGAGCTGACTCTGACACTGGAAGAATCATGATATGTATCATGCAATAGTCCTTCATTTAATTGTCCAAATAAATATGAAGTTGTCTCGTACCCGATACATTATTGATGAGTTTTTCTTCACGGAGAATGTGGCCTATAACTCTGTGTTATAGGAGTGATGATCTCAATGCTGATATTCAGGCACCTTTCACAACATCGAAAACAATGAATAATTTACACTGCTGTCCACTTTTGGGTCAGCCTGTTAGGGCCTGTGTGCAGCTGTGAGCGATGTCTAACCACCAGCGGGGTCACCGGTGACTGTGACAGTTTGGGATCTCCTGTCTTATAAGAACTCTGAAAGAGGTGGCAGTTCAATAAATTCAGTTTTCATAAAAGCATAAGCATGCCAGGCCAGTAGGTGGTGTTATGTGTCATCAGTCTGTCACATCAAACATTATTATATACATGCGTACTGCAAATTAGAATCTATCAATGTATTACCTTGTGTCTTGGTATATTGATGATAAATAAGGAAATTTCCATTTTAATATACAATTAAATTTAAAGTACACAGCAGGCTAACACTCCATATGTCTGGTACATGCACGATAGATAAAAACAATGACTGCCATGTACAAGCTGATGTAATGCTGTCAGCCGCTCTCAAAGGTTTAGTTTTCCCTGTCCACAAGAAAACCACCTGAAGAGGCCTTTTCCAAAACCTCTCTTTTCAGTGACCCAAAACTCTGTTTATGTGTTGAAGAAACAATATTTTCTAAATATAGTAATATTATATATAATACATTGAATTTCCCTTCGGGGATCAATAAAGTTCTTCTTCTTTTTCTTGTATATATGAGGATGGGGTCCAATGGATGAAGAGAGGAAATATGAGAAAAAAACAACACACCAGTCCTGCTGAGACTGCCCTCACCCCAGCCAAAAGCTATTTCTCCATCCCTTTCATTTTTAAAAATATTTTTTTGACTCTCTGAACAGAAAGAGGTTTTTGTAGCCGAGGACACCACAGACTTCACAGCACACACTAGACTCCAGCAGCACCATCATCTTTAGTCTGAGCCCACTGGCCACCTGCCACCTGTTAGATCCCTCAAAGCCCTCTCAGTGTTGGCGCCAAAGCCACGATGCCCCACAATCCTCCGCGCCCCTGACCGTGTCCTCGGCCCCTGTCGACTAGAGCCTGACCACTGCTGGGCATCTGCCCACACTTTCCAGCGTGAGGCAGCCGTGGCAAATAATCTCATCCACCTGCAGGTCTGGAGCACAGCTGTGGCTGTTTGCCACTGAGCTGAGAGAGCACAGGAGCAGCAGGGAAGACAGACCACATGGTGCCACTGCAGAGTCAAACCTTGACCCAGAGCTTCTCTTCAGCCCTTCAAAACACCTCTTCAAAGCCTGCAGGTGTCCACTTTGAATTTTCTGTAGCAAAATAAAAAACTTTACTATGCTGGTGAAAATAAGTTATTGTAAGTTAGGGTGAATGAGAACTGCACAGTTCACTTACTATTACTGATGTCAACTCCAGCCTAACATACGAGGATGTCATTATCTCCCTGTTTAAACTAAAATGATTTTATTTACACTGCGGTTCATGTAGGGGAGAGTGGGGTAAGTTGAGCCACCCCCTGTTGCTTGGAAATGGTCAAAGAAATTGATCAGGTGACCAAATATTTAGGAGATGGGCATCAATTCATGGAGTCTGTGAAGGTTAGAAGCACATGGGTGAAGAGGTTAGACATTTATTTCCAAAAAAACATTTTTTTTCTCTCTTGAAAGTGAATTTAGTCTGTCAGAAGTTTTATTAGGGGTAGGGGTACGGCTCAACTTACCCCACTCCTATGGTCAACTTACCCCATGAGAACCCTTTTTTTGGCATGCTATATTATCAAGACAGTTATGTCTACAGTCATTCTGTTGGTTTGCAGGGATGCACAACATCTTGAAATATATGCAGATACTCCAGTTAGAGACAAAACTATGATGTAGTGATCTGAAATATGAAAAATGGCTCAACTTACCCCACACTCCCCTATTTAAAAAATGAAGTACATTTAACGTTAGTAACTGAACCTTTGAGGGAATTGTAGGAGGGTCTGATTACTCTTCAAAAGTCATGCTGCCTTTTTCCCCCGTCCAAACTTTTTGTTGTGTAATCCACATTTTTGACCAGCTTGCTCACCTTTTACCTTTACGACACAACGTGTTCACTCACGCTCAATCCATCAATAGTTTACAGGATAGTATCATATTTAAAGTTAATATTTCATCTGATGCAGAACACACTGTGAAGACAATAAGGAGTCATACAGCTGTCCAATGTGCTATTGCCAAAACACTTAAACTATCATTTTCTATTCACCATAGCATCTGTTGTTGTATTGAACAAAGCAAACTGACACCTCACTGTTGTCACAACAGCATGACAACACATGCACTTAAGCATGGCTAACGTATGCAGACACGTCGCAGCTCTCCTCTCCAGTCCGTGTTCTGTTAATAAATGCAAGGTCTGTTGTGTTTGGAACAATGAGCTGCTGTTTTATAATTCATGAATGTAAGAGTTTAAAAAAATAAACTGGATCTGTGTGGTTTTTTTTTACCCTTTTTGGACACTGCAGGTCTCGGGCGAGGCTGAGCAGCAGCTCATGGGAAATGGGGTCCACCAGGTTGAGAAAAGCTGCGTTCTTGTACAAAATGTCATTTAGCGATGTTCCCTGGAGTCCCAGATCCTGCAAGGAAATGCAAGAGAGGAAGGGTTAACTCCTCCTGAAACATACAGGAATTCATAAGTGGGTTTGATTAAAACATGCTTATAGCGTGATGAAGCTCTATTTAATATTCCAGAGACATTTCATGGACGACTTAATGAAACTAGGATATAATTTTCTATTAGCTCTGATCATCCTTGGCTATCTTGCTCTCTTATCACACTGCAGCTGATATGGTTTCGCCATTGAAATTGGCTGTTAATCTGAGTATGTATAAAAGTCTGAGAGTGTGTGTTAGTGTGTGTATCAGCTTTCCTATGTATATGTGTTTAAGTCATCTCTGATAAGACTCACGTCACTTTTTTCCTGGCATTAGCAGAGAGAATTAAACTCCCTCTGTCGCCTTTTATCTCATAAGCAGGTTTCATTTGTCGTTTTTTTTTAGCAGGAGTTTCTCTAATTTTCACAAAAACACAAACTTTAACCATCTGAAAAAAAAAAAAACCTTTTGATTCCTCTTTCAGTTTGCAGGAAAGCAAAAGACTGAGAACATTTTGATAGAAGAAAGCGCTGAGTATAAGCATGGAACCTTTGGCTGCTCTTATTTGAGAGTAATGTAAATAGAAGCTGCATCTTCAGGTAATGCTTGGAGTGCTGACGTGTCATTACCCGACACTTTGAGAACGAACATTTTCAGACACATCAAATAGTCTCAGCAGCATGCGGCATCCCCCGCCTATCAGGGCAGACACACACACACACACACACACACACACACACACACACACACACACATGCAGGAAAAAAACACCAACAAACAGCAGGGAAGACGTGAAACTGAGTACGTGAAACAAAATGAAGAGAAGATGAAAAGTCTAAAGGAGAAGAAAGAAAATCTCCTCTTCTTAGGCAGAAACCAACATAATCCAAAACAACTGGTAATATGATTTCTACCTCTCTAACATCCTCTTAAAGCGGCGACTTCAATGCTGCTACTGTATGAAGAACACAACAAACATGTTTCCCTGAACCTTCATCCTCTTAGCTCACAGGGATGTGTGCTTTATGTCATGTAAAAGTGAACAACCAGAAGCCGTGGAGTCGGAGAGGACATACACCGCCAGCTTTATTTGAACTGAAAAGCTTTTCAAATAGCCGGCTGGAGGTTGAAACTCTGTAAAACACGCTCTACATGCTTTGACAGCTCTAATACTTCGGGGCACAGAGGAAGCAAAGAGGAAAACTCCCATCAGCATTTTCTCCTCCTCCAGCTTTTGGCTTGATTTATTACAGCCAAGCTCTGTGGGATTCCCTGACGCTGGACTATCCTCCAGACCAGCTCTCCCTTCAATAAAACCTCATTTAGTCAGGCTGAAGGCACCACGTGTGTCCCTAAATGGAAGCAGAAAGTAATTTGAAGATTATTTTATGATGATGATGTGTCTTAAGCAGCTGCGGCTTTTGATGGCACTGTGTTTCAGCGGTTGTGAGGGGGGATTCACAGCTAAGCATTTTTAAAATATCTGATCTAAGGGATTAATTTGACTGATCCTGATCATAACAGCATGAAATGTTTTCCTATTTTTGCCTTCAGATCTCTCCACAAATGTCTTCGTGTGAGCTGCATATCTAATCGCACGTCTGCCTTGTCACAAAATGTCTGAATAAACCGATATGCTCCGCGAACGCAGAATGTCATCCCACACATGCAGTTCATTAGAATCCAATTAAATTTACTGCACTGTGAGACAAATCCAGTCCCACAGTTTCCTGCGTTGGTGAACGAAACATGTCACGACCATCAGGTGACAGAGCCTCTAACTCCAGTTTTTGTTTTACTTTGATTTTCTTACTGTTTACTTGATTTTTTGTGACCTTTAACTCGATCATCCAAAACAGTGGTTCTCAACAAGAGGGGCGCGGACTCACTGGCTATTAGAACAAAGGAGATGTAACAGAGTCCCAAGTGGTTGGATATAGAACAATTTACAGCCTACCTCATCAAGAAGCTGCGCATGCAGCATGGCAAGTGTCAACCAAAGTAGCTTACTGTACAAACTTCATCAACAGAGTCTCCCTCATTAACACACCTGTCCCCTTTCATCCACACAGAAGCACCTGTGTTCACCGAGCAACAGATTTCACAGCAGTTCATTGCAGTCAGGCAAAAGTAAGAGTCCAAACCATAGACTGTATATAAGATGGACAACCTGGTTCCGCCTCTCGCCTGTATACGGATTTGAAGCCAAAAAGCTCTTGGTAATTCTCCACTTCCTTGAAACCAGAGCTGCGCAGTAGCGATGCGCGCATTCGGCCGCGCAGTCGCTGAGAGTCGCTGTGATGACACTCGGCTCAAACGGCGTATCCCCGGGAGAGCTACGCAATCCCTGAACGCCCATAGTCTGTACCAGGTGTCAATCATAGCAAACATGAACCCCCTAATAACTTTTAAAAACGGAGCTTCACAGAAAAAAAAGGACTTGGGCACAAACTTGGTCTGACAGTAACTACATGTCAACATCACAACCAGGGGGGAGAAAAATTTATGTTCTGTGTAATAAATTTCTAAAGTTTGTCCACAGTCCCATAAGCTTTGCTGGCGGAGGCGGGATTTATGACCTATACTGCAGCCCATCAACAGAGGGTGCTGTTCTCAGAGTGGCTTCACCCAGCGAGGAGACAGACTCTGTCCATCTTATATACAGTCTATGGTACAAACGCGTGCCAAACGCGCTCATCAGATAAGATATAGCTGATTCTGTTGACACCGCCCCCTACTGCATCACCACGCCCAGCTTGGCAGACCTCGGTGCAACTCAGTCTACGAAAATACCAAACTGGCAAGTGTCTTTTATGCGCTTCTAACTCAGTAAGGCCATGTGACACAAAATCGAAACTCTCGTACAAAACCACGGACATTTGAAGGATTTTACAAACTTCTCCAGATGAAGCTGAACAACCGTGGACAGCCCCACAAAAAGAGGACATGTCTGGGTAAGAGGGGACGTATGGTCACCCTATTATACAATCATAGACTATATAATACCTGGGCGTATTCATATCAGAGATGGGCTTTTCGCTTCTTGGTAAATGGTCACAGAGAGCCTTCCTGTCAGTCAAGTCATCCCTGTCTCTCATTGGCCAACTTTGATAACTTTAAAACCAAGGCGTTGCTAAAAATTCCCTCCCAGTACCATGGGAGCCCCAAGCTATTCAGACCAGACCAGTTTTCTGAACCGGGCTGCAAACATGCTGATTTTTGCTCTAAAAACAGAGCTCAGTGTGTTCGTGGTTTCCAGTGTTTCTGCCGCCAGCCTCAAGCGGGCCCTCAGGGAGCTGCAGTTTTTAGCATTTCTGCATCAGCTTCACTTCTCAAGAGCAAAGGTTTCTGCTTGATGTTGGTCCACCTGTCTACAGTTATGTGTTGTATCAGACAGGGGTGGATCCTGTCTGTTTTGTTGGCACATGGAAATCTATGCCGAGTGACGCCACAACTTTTAGTGCTCCTCAGAGTGACTGGCTGCAGCTACGTCGGCAAGCCGCCTCCCTCATTACACCTGATGAAACATGATGGGTCAAACTAAGAATAAAAATGCATGTAGAATACTCGTTTTCTGTCAGGGGAGTGAGTCTTTATCATGCTAATTTCTGTGCGAGTGTTTATTTTTGAAAGAAGTTTAGTTTTAATTAGTCATCCGGTTTGAAAACACGAGTAACTGGCAGCTCTGTTGAAGAGTACGGGCTTTTGAGGCGTCCTTTACTGGATAAGCAGAGTAGAGCAGGAACAGCGAGAGGAAACATAACAAACAATAACACAAGAGTCACTGAACTCTCGGTAACTGCGAGAGTCTTCTTCACATCAAAACAAGAACCTGTTCCGCTGAAGACTGCACTATACTGAGGGCTCTTTGGCGTTAAATTAGTAAGTTTAATGTGTGTTTTGGTTGGCAGGAGGGGGAGTGTGACGTCATTTCAGGCGCTCCGCTGACCAGACTGCTTCTGCACATGTCTAGATTTCACCAGAGCAACATGTCAGCACCTGAGCTTTAGATTTCAAGCTTTAAACTCGAACTACATCCTTGAACTTAAAACTCACACTTCCTACTAAACTTTTTACTGTATGAACAGTAACATCCCGATGAGCATTTTTTGGTCTAAAAGAGGTCTAATAGACGTCTAAATGTAGTCTAGACGACTCGTCTAAAATCTGGCTACCACAGGTCTAAAAATGAAAGTTTTCAGACGTCTAAATTTAGACCGAGTTTAGACTAGCCAGCTAACAGAGGTCTACCAGTATATTGCTCAACGGCTATCATAATTATTTTGGTTAAGTACTTAGAGATCAGTTATGCAGCTCACAGTTGCTTTTTGAAATAAATACTTATCGCATAGTGGATACAGAATCTAGAAGGTTGAAATTAGGTGTAAAAAATAACTTAACGTCCAATAGCTGTCTATTGCTCAGTGGTTTCTGACCAAGATTTGAATCTTTCAAACAAGCTACACGTGTGGAAACGACCTCAGACTTCAGTTAGGTCATTCATGCACAACAGAGACCACCTTAATCTCCATGGCTGCACATTGGTTACTTCATGCTCGTGCTGTGGAGCATAACTGATATGAGTAGCTGCTGATTCTTTGTTTACTAATGAATATCTAGAAGATTCCAAACTAATTAACTTAATGGCCCAGAAGGCAGATATGGGATGCAGATACCGGGTGGGGGTTGATGTTATTGGTTTCTCTTAGTAATGACTTCCTCTAAAGAGACATGTTCCAGTATTCATCATCTCAAGGTGATTATCTCCAAATCCATCCGTTTCTGAGAGGAAAAGGCAAGAGCAACAAGATTTCTTCTGCCAGTTCTTTTTTTTATTTCAGGGCTGGAGTATTGTTAGTCAGACACTTGGCTCCAGCCCCAACAACATACAACAGAAGCAGTGCTCTGGCTTCACCTCAGCTAGAGATGGAGAGAGTATTGGTGCTTCGTGAGCAGTTTAAATGCCGAGCTTCGAGGAAAAGCTGCCCCTGCTCACGACCAACAAATGCACATGGTGATCTTTAAAATATTCCTTCTTATGAGATATCAGAGACTGCAGCAGTACTTTAATAAACCTGGACAGACATATTGAGGTCTTAAAGGATGCTATGCATGAGTCATATTCCTCCTGCTTCGAACAAATATGAATATGAATGTTTACAAAGAAGTTTAAAGCTTTCTGCAGAGCACAAGAGAAGACAAAAGATACCTACAAATCTGTCTACAATGCAGACGCCCACAGCCTTTCCTCAGTATTATTTCCTGCTTTAATCTCCACACATCTGTATAATTTATTCTATGGCAGCGTACAGATGGGCAGGGAGTTTTCCTGACAAGGGGGGCCTCTTGATCAGACCTGCTTTTGTCTGAACTTCAAAACTGTGCTCCTTTGATCCGTGCACAGCTACCAGGCGGCAGAGGAAAGCTCAAGCTGAGCTCTAAAGACTGTTCTTTTCTCTCTCCCCCTAGTTTGGATAAATCTTAAGAAAGTGAGGATTAGACTAGGGAAGGTGCCACACGAAGAGTGTAACGGATTGAAAATAAGAAAAGAAGATACCGCACCTATAGTTAGGAGCTATGAAGCTGATGACAATAAAGTGAAACACACTGATGTGAAATAGGGACATGTCAAAGCTGTTAAATAACACGTCAACCGAGTTTTAGAAATGACTTCTTCTCATGTGGATTTCTGGGCTATATTGGAAACTTGGAAACTCCTCCAAAAGAGGCATTTAAACAATGGCAGTAAAGAGAACAGACATGACTTCATCTGATCTGAGAAAAACAACTTATCAAAAGAGGAGCTGCATTGTATTCATGACAAAATAACTGCCTATCTAAGCAAAGTTACAAGCTTCACATTGAAAGAGAAATATTAATCTGACCTGGACGCCTTTATTTCGTCTTTCTTTTTTGAAAAGGGCGAGCACATAATACAGTCAGTGTTCTGTTTTTTATGGAGCTGATTGAATATTCAGATCATGAACTTGCTGGCTTTCTTCCCTCTCAGACAAAACAGGTGGTTCATTCAGACCAGACTCTCACCCACTGAGGCTAAAACCTCATTATAAACTCTCCTTTCCCCTCCGATTTATAAACAGAAGGCGACAGGGTACAGTCTTTTTTCACTGTATGACAGTAAGGCTTCCTTTCATGGTAACATTTATACTGAAGAGGTGATTAAATACCTTTAACTTTTGAGAAAAAAAAAAGACTAACACACTGACACCTGCTGATACATGAAAAGTGGGACTGCCTCCAATGAATGCTACAAATCTATGTAGGCACAAGTAGTTAAAAATAAGTACAAAAATAAAAACAGAGATTAAATTGAGCTTATTTTAAAGTACATATGGACACTTGATTTCTTTAATTTCAGATAAAACGATAAAAGACATTTTTTACAGCCACATTGAGCTTACTTCTCAAACACAAAACCAAGTTACTGCGTTAAGTAAATCAGTTTCTACCATCAATGACAAGTTTAAGGTGAGAATCAACTACAAACGCTGACAAACTAAGTGCACCAGAGTAATGCCAGTCCTTTACCTTTCTCAGCAGTTTGAGCACTTCGGCCGCCTGCTCCGTCTTCTGCTCCCGGAGAAGCCGCTGGATGTCCCGGATCCAGGCCACCCGGCGGACGTATGGGCTGTGGTTGGTTTTCCGCAGCATCCCCGGGAGCTTGTCGGACCTCAGCATCAGGGAGGTAAACAAGAAGTCTCCGCCGCCTCCTCCTCCTCCTCCTCTTCTGTCGCTACTTCTCTCGCTCTCCACTTGGTGGTTGTCATTCCTCTGGCGTCTCCTCTTGGATAATTTGCTGTCGAAATCGAGACTTCTCTGTCTGGTCAACTTAGAACCCATCACTCCTGAGAGGATGTGTCGACGGAGTTGGTGGAGGTGTTGGTGGTGGTGAGAGGGTTTTTACAACATGCAGCCAAAACATTACACTTAACTTGCAGAGAGATATGGCCGAAATTGTTGTATAACCTCAGCCAAATTGTGTAGCAAAGTTTTAAAGCATGCCCGTTGTAGAAAGCAGCATCATAACAAAGTGTGCACGGTCTCGCCGTCGTCCCTTGCTTACATCCGTCCACGCACTGCCTGGGTACTCTGGCATCCTTTGCTTTACTCAGAGCTTGTGCGCTCCTCAGCCAATCAGATCGTGTTTCTCCTCACAGCCGGAGACTGAGAGGCATGGAGGAAACTGTTTGCAGCTTACATTACTTATTTGACCCCACAGCAGACTGCACAGGTGGTTCAGTTGACGCTTAGTCAATGAGAGAAAGTAGACTTGTTAAATCCATCGTTGTAAAAAGGGTCTTATGTAACAGTTGCATAATGTAGTATGAAAATTAAAGATAGATAGATAGATAGATAGATAGATAGATAGATAGATAGATAGATAGATAGATAGATAGTTTTGCATTTCATCAAATATTCAAAGTCTTCATATTAATTCGCCCACCTCCTCAGGATCTGGGTTTCAACCTCTGACATAATTCTCATGCAGTGTGGAATACATTAAAACTTGGTTCTCTAAGCTCATCAAAAACTTCACAAAGTTTTGATTAGTTCATAACTTGTGTGCTTTTGGGTGTTAATTTTCTGAAATTCTGGGGGTAATTAATATGACTTTTGAGTAGGTTGATAGAGCATGAGCAGCTTAATAAAACTCAAACTCCTGCTTTTAAATTGCAAAAATGACACACGCACACACGAATGCACTGTATATCAGTCAAAGGAGTTAATCTGTGGAACAGCTGCAGCAAAGAAATGAAAACCTGCAGGTAACTAAGCAAGTTCAAACTTATTTTTATGAACCACACTCTGAATGGAAATAAGAAAGAAAGAGAAACAGAAATTTATAACAATGGGCAACGTCCCACTGAGCATTTTTTGGTCTAAAGGAGGTCTAAATGGTCTAAAATCAGGCTACCACAGGTCTAAAAATGAACGTTTTTTAGAAGTCTAAATATAAACTAAGTCTAAATCTTTTTGAAATAAATAGCAAATAACGGGTTAAAGTGCAACGTCTAAATTCGGTCTAAAAATATACAGAATCTGGATGGTTGAAATTAGGTGTAAAAACAACTAGACGTCTAATTGCTGTTTATTGCTCAGTGGGGTGCCTTTGTTTCTGATGTATTTTCTTTCTTCTGTGCTGTTATTCCTACACATGCTCTGACTGATTATATTATAGTAACACAACAATTAAGGGGTAGGACTAGATCAGTTTTATCTACTTCATCCTACACCCTTTCGAACAAAGTATGATTATGTATGTTGCTACAGAGCTGTCTCTTTCATTGTTTTTCTGCCAAAGCACATTGTACATTGTATTTATTTCGTTTTTCTTTTAACCTGTTCAAAAAACAAATAAACTAAAACTAAGTTATTAGGGGTTCATTAAATCAGCAATAGTATTGATCAGGTCCTGACAGATGAGTGAATAGAGAGATTTAGTAACATACCAAAAAACGTGACCGGTAAGCTCTAAAAATTCAAGATGATTTGTCCAGCTTTCAAAAGAAACTAAACAGCATACGACTTCAATAGTTTTATCTCTACCTTGTTGAAAACAATGCAGGAGTCTACTCCAGGATGTGTGAGTACACTTTCTCACACCTTCTGTTGTGGTTAGATGTGCAACAGGCTCTTTTTTTCGCCTGCTGTTTTGTTTCTTTTGTAGAGTATGACTCTGACTCAGGACTGGATAACAGAAACCTCTACAGGCTTGAGAATTTACTGCAGGCACAGGAGTGTTGACATGAGGGGGGGCTTAAGAGTGATAATTTACACAGTATGCGATGACATGCCTGCTTTTCTATCTTCTTCTGGCTTTTAAATAGCACTAACTGTCACTGACACAGGGACATCTTGTTAAAGCATGTGGTGAATCTGTGTCCCTGCGGTAGCTAAGTACAGGAGATAAGTTGGAGCCTAAAGTTTTAAAGCCTAATCTACTGTCAGCCCTGTGTAAAGTAACAGTGGCAACAAGCTGGAGGCTCACAACCTTCCTCCAACATAAAACAACCTGCAGTGTAATTTAGTGTAATAGGTTGTGTAACCTCCTAGACTAAAGGCAAAGCCATGGAAACAGTACCAACTATGCAGTGGAGAATAGACTAATGACCGATGGTTGTCCCCTAACAGTGTGCATTCCCATCTTCTACTTATGTCTCATAAAAATGATGCTATACGAAACAATAAACTCGGTCGAGATAAGATGTGATACAATATGATGCAATATAATACCATACAGGGCAACATGACGCGGTGAGATGTGATACAATATGATAAGACTGAGATAAGATTAGAGAATATGAGAAACCATGCAACACCAAACCATCCCACTGAGCATATTTTTTGGTCTAAAAGAGGTCTAATAGACGTCTAAATGTAGCCTAGACGACTGGTCTAAAATCAGGCTACCGTGGGTCTAAAAGTGATAGTTTTTTTAGACGTCTAAATTTAGACCAAGTTTAGACCAAGTCTAAATCTGGGCTATATCTATACTACACTGTATAATGCTCAAAGGCGACCATAATTATTTTGGTAAATACTTGAAGATCAGTTATGCAACTCGCTGTAACTTTTTGAAATAAATAGTTATCAAATAATGGGTTAAAGTGCAACGTCGGTATTCGGTGTAGAAAAATATACAGAATCTAAATGGTTGAAATCAGGTCTGAAGAAAACTAGACATCTAATAGCTGTTTATTGCTCAGTGGGATACTATACCATACGATATTATAGGATACAACATTAAACAAAATGAGACAGGAGGATGTGATAGGATATGATATATATACATGATGCAGTTAGAGGTGTAATACAGAACGGTATTACACTATTTGATCTAAAATCATAACATCAGGAACACAGTTCAATAAAATACCAAACTTTTTATGCATGCACTATGTTTTGTATGAGCTTCTGTTTTGCTTTGGATGAGCTTCTGTAAACCATCCCATGTACCTTCTTTAGTAGTTAGTGAGTGTAGGGTTAGGGTTAGGATTTCTTGTGGTCCAGGTTTTACCAGCAGATAAAAGTAAGGCAGTATTATAGGACTGTGGCCAAACAGTGTTTGTTAAATGGTTCAAGTGAAAGCTGGTTTTGTTTGCTGACTGTCCAGACGGGTTATACTCAGAGGGTTGTTTCAGATTGAATCCATATAGGGGTGCAAAAAAATGTGTTTCAAAATTCAAGGCGACTTTCAAACCCTCGTCCAAAGTAGTACATGTGGGGAACTCTAGGGTTTTCAGATCAAAGATGTTGAGGCTTATAGCCAAAAGTACTCTCCACTCCTGAGATTAAGTGATGTCTCCTGGGTGATATCTCTCCTTTTTTGGGCTGATCTACTTTTCTCTGTCTGAGGGACGCCAGTGTCAGTCAGATTTTGAGTTTAAATCCATTCAAATTCATGGTTTGGGGACAGCTGAGGTTCACTATGTTTCTTAGTTATCTTGATTTTTAACAACAGTGTTACAGCATCAAGCCAAAGTGAAGAGTCTCACTTGGCTAAGGTGTTACAGTGTCTCAGCAAATAAAATGATTTACAGACTTTACAGCCAGTAAGTTGTCATTGCACCACCAGTGCAGCATTCCATATATCATCACACCCTGCCATCATGATCGAGACGACAAGAAAAACACATTACAAAGCTGCAATGTAAGGCGAGGAGGAAAACTTTATTTGCATTATGTGCAGAAAAAACAAAAGAATGTAAAAGTGCGGAAACATTTAGTTCTGCTTTCACCGGAGAAAAGAAGAAATCAGCAGAAAACAGCAGCTGGCCTGGCAGATTTAGTCCAGTGAACACAACTAAATGTTGTGCTCAGGGTGTCACTTTAGACTACTAAATGATACGTACTTCATGTATCATCCTCACTGATAGCCTTATATCCTGAACTTAAATCTTTCTTACATAAACCTGAGTTTTCTTATAAATCTTTCTAGTTTTAATGTAACTTATTCTGCATGGATGAACAAATCTCAGTCTGATGAAGTAGAAGAGGACTTCCTCGTACTTTCAGTCTTCAAATTTTGACTTTATCAGGTTAAATAGTTAACCCACATGACAGCAGTGTTTCCACCCATGCTTTAAAATACAGCTTTACAGATAGCTAACCCTGGTGTTTGGTACAGCTGATAGCCTTCAGACTATCAGCTGTACAAACATTTCATGCTGGTGATATCACAGCTGTCACTAAATATCCAACACAAGAACCACATCAAGTAAAGATATACTGTACACTGCATTTGCACAGATGCCATTCACTTTCAGCTACAAGAGTTGGCATTTCATGTTTTTGTAGAGTTGAAGCAGTGCTTCTAACTGGCTCGAATCCTCCTGCTTGCAGTGCAGCTATTTCTAAATTTAACCCGTATGAATATCAACACTTTTTTGGTGTACCAGAACTGGTCAATATTAACAACTTTCTCAGTGATTCAGGCATGTAAAATACACTTCCCATGCTCCATTAATTGGTGTTCATGTCTTTTTATAAAGGTAAAGCCAACTTCTTTTGTCAAAAGAGTCCTTCATTGAAGGCAAGATGACTTCTTTGCATCACACAGTGACACTACAGTTAGATACTTTAGTGTAGTGACTACTTGCTTCTCTACTTATACCAACTTTAGTAACGGACACAGAGCGGTCTGAGGAGCCATGAACAAACCTCAAACAAACCCCCACTCTATAGCCACAAGTAATGCTCAGAACAACACCTAACTTCATCAACAGTACATATAGGGTCCTAGCCACAGAACTAGCCACCAAACATCTTTTTAGCTTTGCCTAATTTCTTCAGCAAAGAGAATAAACACAACTCACCGACTCTCTTCCAGCAGCCGCTTGTTTGTAGCGAGAACTACCACGTCTGCAGTGCAAAATGATTAATATGATGATTGTTACTTCAAGTAAGAAATAATAAAGAAATGATCATAAGTGTTCTTCCTTGAGCTGCGTCACCCTGCTGCAGTCCGTAATGGACTGGCCTGAGGTCTCACTACAAACAAGCGGCTGCTGGAAGAGAGTAGGTGAGTTGTGTTTAGTTTAGATGTTTGGTGGCTAGTAGTATGGCTGGGACTCTATATGTACTGTTGATGAAGTTAGGTGCTGTTCTGAGCATTATTTGTGGCTATAGAGTGGCGTTTTATTTGAGGTTTGTTTACGGCTCTTTAGACTGCTGTGTATTGCTATCCTGCGGTCGTTACTAAAGTTGGTATAACTTGAGAAGCAAGCGATCGGCAACATTCATCTTTTGAAGAGTCTCTAACTCAGTGTTACGTTGTGTTTGACCCTAAATTAATTTTACAACGGAATATCCCTTTAATGTGATACTGCATCAATTTAAAGTTAAAAAATTGCTTGCTCAGCGTGTTTTTCTACTTACCCCTCCAAAAAATTATCTGCAAGCCTGAATTATCTGGAACTTAAACATTACCATTTGGGTGGAGGTCAAAGTCAAGGCCGTTTCAAATTGTCTTTAAACGGCTCAAGGCCATCTGGAACCTAAACAAACGAGACTTTTTTTTTCTTTGGTTATTTTCTCTGTGAACCATTTTACTGGTGGGGTAAGGATTGGGTTATTACCTGGTTCTGGCAAGATCAGGGCCTCCATGTCAAAGCTGAGAAGACATCTTTTTAGTGCTGGGCTGTTTGTTGATGTGGTCCCATGGTGCAGCTCTGCGCCTCTTCACAGTGCACCCCTGCAGTTTGTTCTTAGAGTTCTTCTTCCCCTTGTGGCACATTTGATCTTCTCTTTTGCAGCTCAGAAGGTCTTCATCTTTCTGGTGAGGAGGCTCTTTAAAACTTCAATATCTGCCGTACAAAACGCTTTATTAATTCAAAGCTGTGTTACATCATAGCTGTGGAAAGGTCCCCGGTTTATGTGAATGCTGACAACTTAAGAAGTCAAATGTCATGTCTTTGAAATAAACCACCAGCAAACTGAGGCTACTGCTTGTTAATCTTTGACTCAAATACATTTTAGCACCACTGAAGGTGGAAAACAGAGCACCCTGTTAACTGTCATTGTCTCTCACTTTCAGGGTCACACAATTGCTCCGAGGTGTTTTCGACAGTGATTGGGTGCAGATGACTAATTATTTGACTGATATATTGAATGCCGTCTCAAGTCTTTTCTTCCATCTCTGCATTTTTTTTCTTACCCTTTGGTAACACAAGATAGATGTTTATGATAGGTTGGGTTAAAGTTTAATGGCTTTGTGGTAGTTACATATTCAGAACCGCAGTAAGCCTTCAGCTAGTACTGCAGATTGTGGCTCACAGGGAGCAGCCTGCTGCTGAGGCCCCCGAAGAAATCAGGGTAAGACAAATTATTTTATGGAGGCTTTTTTTAATCATCCAGGTGGTCTGTTGAATTAAAATAAAATCAAATTTCTGATCTGCAATCATAGAATAACTTTGAACTTTGAGATGTCAAGCCTGCTGACTATGTACACAAAATGGTTTGTGTAATGTTTATATAGTCTCCGTTTTGTGCAACTCCATCAAATCCCTGTTACGTAATCTTGATTTGGTCCTTTGACAGAGCAAAGACTCTGCATGACAGCAAGCTTTAGGTTTTGGAGAATAGGGGAGGTAATGTTCAGCAGAAATACTGTCTTTTTTTCCCTTTTTCATTCCTCATATTGCCGACTGAAAGCAGAGCCTGGAGGAGACGCTGCATCAAAGTCAGATCAACAAATATATATATGTAAAAAAAACAATGTCATGTCATGTATGATTAAGATGACTTGACTCTAGCTGTAACTGACCAAAAGAGCCTTAGATGCTATTTCAAAATCCTCCTATCTTACATTTAAAAGGTTCATCATTTAAAACGCACATTTCAGAATTGGTAATCCAGTCATTTCAGAGTGTTATACTGTTTTATCAACTTACCTTGAACATTCTGGTTAAGACAGATTTTCATTTGAAGCAGTCTGTGCTGTATGTGAAAGGGAGGATGAAATATTCACTGTTTTATGATGTTAATCTGCAGTTTCACAAGCAGACAGGTTGGATGTAACTGGAGGTGTATTGGATGCAACAATTTAAATTGGAGTTCAGGTTGAAGACTGTAAGTTTGAAATATGTTGCCTTCTGCTTTTCTCATCTCTGGTTCGAGGTTTAATTAGCTGCTACAAGTACGACACATTTTACATTCGAGGAGACAGGCTCAGTGCAGAGAGAGAGACAGAGAGAGAGAGTGTGTGTGTGTGTGAGTAAATAAGTCTTTGAAGCCAAAACTGACTTGACTTTGGACTTACTTCTATTGATCATTTAGAAACTGGTGGGAAACTCAGAAAAATGGTCACTCTTAGCAAACTACACGACCAGTAAAGCTGCAGCAGTTAGGGAAAAATTCAGTAAGTTGAATGATGTTTTGACTGACATCTTTATCTGCAGAGTGATAGTGAACAAGGTCACAGGAGAAAAGACAAAGCTGCTCCCGCTTGTTATGTAATGCTTATCAGTGATTAGGAGAACCATTAAAGTGTGCACAGACGCTGTCCAGCGGAAACTTGTAGCAGCTTATTCACACTCATTACTAACGACTGATCAAACAATCAAGCTGTACTTCTATCAGTTTTTAGATCATTTGACAGTCATTACAGTGTACTCAACGCGTAAAATCAGGTGTGATCACATGACACAGCCACTGTTAAGTACCTGTAACTATTCAGTTATCCCCGGATACTAAGAATCCCTGTTTTACATGACCTTATTTCTGGAAAACTGGCCTCTAGTTTTCTGACCTTATCAAGAAAAAGAAACAATGACATGTAATATGAAGAAAACAGCCTTTAGGATTATTACAAAAAGCAGCTGATCTTTGTCATCAAACCTTTGTCTTTATGACACCAACGCTTGTTCAAGTGTTTTATAATAGTCAGAACAGCTTTCTGTATATGTTTGTTGGTTTGGGTTTGGGTTGAATTGCAGTTCTTTGTAGATGAAACAGATGAATTTAAGATATAACCAATGTTTGTTTGTTTTTTGTGTTTGTGTGTGTCTTGACAGGCAGAACATAAAGACCGTATTACACCCAAGCTGTCAAAATGGCAAAGAAGACAATAATCATTGCCCTGGCCTTGTTACTCTTGGCATCTGTCGCCACTTTTGTGGGTGTTTTCTTTGGTGTTGGAGAAAGGAAGCAAACGAGCGAGCCTGTGTACCAGAAGGCTGCTGTGGCGGCAGATGCTGGACCATGTTCTGTGGTCGGCAGGTGAGACACGCCACACACAGAAACATCCTCCATGTTAAGAGCGAGGCTGCAAACAGACCCGTGCATGTGTACATACTGGTAAAGCATACATGCAAATCCCCGTGATTTGTGTCTTTGCCAAGTCGAGATCTTAAAATATTCAGTGTGCTGACAAACTAAGCCTCCTCCTCTTTTCTCTCTGTGTGTTTTAATTAATTTTACCACAGAGACATATTGAAGAAAGGGGGGTCTGCTGTGGATGCTGCTATAGCTGCTTTGCTGTGTGTAGGACTCATGAATGCTCACAGTATGGGAATCGGAGGAGGACTTTTCTTCACCATTTATGATGGAAAAACTGGTACTCCATTACTTTAACATATATCACCTCCACAAACTTTGACTTTTTAATTTTCCCACTAAAACACTGAACCTTATTTGTGTCTCATTCACAGGGAAGGTTGAGACGATTGATGCCAGAGAAACAGCTCCATACAATGCAACAGAGAATATGTTTGGGAACAGCACAGATTTATCCCAGAAAGGTAATTTTTAACCAGTGCATGGAAATTAGCTGTGTTGACTTTATTATGAAAGATGACCTTCAAACAGAGAAATGTTGGATGAGACTGAACAGTCCCAGAGTTTTAACAGCCTCAGCTCATGAGAAATGTCTGAATAACATCTGTCTTACTCGGTTTCCTCGGTTGATAGGAGGGCTGTCCATTGCAGTACCAGGAGAGATCCGAGGTTATGAGATGGCACATCGACGACACGGCAAACTGCCCTGGAAAGACTTGTTCCAGCCCAGTATTGAATACGCAGAGAAAGGTTTTCCTCTTGGCAGGGCGCTCGCCACCGCTCTGACAAGACACAAGGAAACAATCATTAAGGACCCAGGCCTCTGGTGAGTCTGGGTCAGAGTATGAGATATCTAATAAAAGCATATATACCCAAGACAGATATAGATACACCACATACACAGCATAGAGGAAGTAGAGCCAAGGTGGAAGAGCCTAAAACCTGCTTTTTGATAAAAAGAGATCTCCAGTTTGGTTAAAAAAATAAAGTCCATTTGCATGGATTCAGATGGAAAATGGCCCGAATAATCATTGGACTAATTATCTTAGTAAACATCTTCAAGATGAGTTTATGCTCTTCATCCTAAGGTTTGAATCTTCTTAAACATGTCGTTCATTTTGTCAATCATGCTTCTACCCACTGAGCAATAGACGGCTGTTAGACGTTTAGTTTTTTTTAGATCTAATTTCAGATCCTGTATATTTTTACACAGAATTTAGATGTTTCACTTTAACCCATTATTCGATAACTATTTATTCCAAAAAGCAACAGTGAGTTGCATAACTGATCTCCAAGTACTTAACCAAAATACTTATGATAGCCATTGAGCAATATACGGTATAGTATAGATACAGCCCAGATTTAGACTTGGTCTAAACTTGGACGTCTAAAAAACTTTTATTTTTAGGCCTGTGGTAGCCTGATTTTACACCAGTCATCTAGGCTACATTTAGACGTCTATTAGACCTCTTTTAGACCAAAAAATGCTCAGTGGGTATTTAGAGTAGAAATTAGGATGAAACAGGGTTTGGGTGTGCTTGTGGGCTCAACTACCAATGATTGACAGGTCACTGCCATGGCAACCTGTGAACCAGGACAAAATAACAGCATTATGGATCAACCATAAAGTCAAAATATGTCCAAGTCTGCCTCCAAAAATCATTATGGTGGCACAAAAGGCTTATCAAAAAATGACTTCTCCTCTTTATTTCAGTGAGGTGTTTTGTGGACAAGAAGGTGATGTTCTTAAAGAAAACGACATTGTGAAATTCACCAAGCTAGCAGCTACCTACAAGAAGATTGCGGAGGAGGGTCCTGATGCCTTCTACGCTGGAGAACTGGCTCAGAATCTCGTGGAGGATATTCAGGCTGCAGGTAGGTTTTTAATTCAGCTGTGATGACAAAAGGGGATTGACAAAGACTTTCTATTTTTTTACCATACAGCTCTGTGGGCATTCAGACAGGTGGCTACTTACCAATAATCCTGTTTATTTTCTCAAGGGAGGATTTTCTCTGCCATTGTTGCTAAGTGTCACTGATAGTGGAAATTGTTGTCTCTATTTGAATAAAACAACAGACTATAGTGTAGACCTGTTTTTGCCAGGTGTCCTTAAATTTACTCGGCCCTGTATAAACACAGATCAACTGACCGATTGATTTATTGATTGATTGATTGCATGTTGGCTGTAGAGAAACAGCTTTATCTTTGTCTGTCTCATCAGTTCGACATCAAAAAAGCAGTGCCAAATTTAACTGAATAGACTCACTGAAATAGCAGAAAGAGCATGTTTCTAATTTTGTCATTTATTATAAAAATGTAGCATCCTGCACAATGTTTTCTCACAGTTAAGGATATTTTCATTATTGCCAGTAGGATTCTTTCTTAAACCATAGGTTGAAAGACTTCAGGATGTGTACTTAAATAGCACACGTTGCACAGCTAATTTCCATGGTAAGCAGGATTTAAATTTCCAATTCTGTCCAAGAACACATTGACAGTGTGTTTCAATCTGTGTTTAGGCGGTATCATCACAATGGAGGATCTGAAGGATTATGTGCCTGTCTTGGATGAGCACCCTTTAAGGGTGAATGTGGGGGAGTACACCATGGCTGTTCCCAATGCCCCCGCTAGCGGCCCTGTGCTCTCGCTGATATTAAACATCTTGAATGGTAAGCCTTGATGCTTTGTCCAAAAACACCCTGAGTGGGAGAGGATGCGCTTTAATGTGAGCTGCCTTCCCTTTGCCAGTCACTCTCTTAAAAAAGGACTCCGCTGTGAGCAGCATGTTGATCCATTGTGCACTAAACCTGTTCCTATAAAAAGATTTGTTGACTTCAAGTTACCTAAGAGTATCTTGGGCTACTTTTCAAAAAGCAACACCACATTTTTATTCAAGCAGTTGCATGCACACTGTAATCTGTCCTCCTTTATATTAAATCACATGTGCATGCAGCAGCAATAAAATCTATGCAGTTCATTTCTACGTTATTGTGCTGTCTCTCCAAGAAACTTCCACCCAGCAGTCAATGTTGGAGTCAGTTTTAATAAATATGGATGACTCAGCTTCATATACTTAGGCTGCAAAAAACGAAGCCAAAATATTATAGCAATGGATGATCAATATGTATTTTGGAGTATGTGCAGAGGTGATCTGGTAGATAGAGCCACAGGGTCAACATTACAGAACCTCAAAGATCACCCTGGTCATTAAAGGGTTATTCCAGCGTAAAATGAATTTAGGGTCAAACACACCACAACACAGAGTAAGACACCTCCTCAAGAAATAAATGTTGCTGACCGCTTGCTTCTCTAGTTATACCAACTTTAGTAACAACCGCACGATAGCAAAACACAGCGGTTTGAGGAGCCATAAGCAAACCTCAACCAGAACACCACTCTATAGCCACAAATAATGCTCAGAACAGCACCTAACTTCATCAACAGTACATATAGGGTCCCAGCCATAGTACTAGCCACCAAACATCTTTTTAACTTTGCCTGATTTCTTCAGCAAAGAGACTAAACACAACTCACCTACTCTCCTCCAGTAGCCGCTTGTTTGTAGCGAGACCTCCACTAGTCCATTACGGACTGCTGCGGGGTGACGCAGCTCAAGGAAGAACATTTGTGATTCTTCATGGAAATGCAATCAGACCGAGACGCTAAGGCAGAAGAATCATCGTGTCTGCAGTGCAAAATGATTAATATGATGATTATTACTTCAAGGAAATGATAAAATAATGATCATTTGGTTGAGCGTGTGGCTCCTCAGACCGCTGTGTATTGCGGTCGTTACAAAAGTTAGTATAACTAGAGAAGCAAGCAGTCGGCAACATTCATTTCTTGAGGGGGTGTCTAACTTGGTGTTACGGTGTGTTTGACCCTAAATTGATTTTACGCTGGTATATCCCTTTAAGCTAAAAATTACCTCCAAATTGATATGGGTAGTGAGGGCTCTCCTCCTCTATCTCTATGTAAATGATGTTCACAAGAAAAAACATATTATAGCTTGGGAAGAAAACCACCTGATCTGATTTACTTGAACAGCTGAAGGCTGATATTCGCTTCAGACAACCTGTGGGATATGTTTCTTCCCCCTGTACACTGCCACAATCCATGAAATGATTGACTGGAGTTTCCACTGCTGTTTAATGAGTGTAAGTTCCACTCAGTCCTGATGAGATTTCACACCGACTCAGTGCTTTGTGACTGTCATGTTACATCCCTATCTCCTGGTCCCTGTCATCCACAGCATCCTTTGTTTTAATTGAAGCCAGGAGTGTGAGCTGCCCTGATGGCTCCTATTATATCTTATACAGTGTCCTGTGGTAATTTGTCTGTATTGATCTGTTGTTTGGACCTGATTCAGACAGCCTCTCCATGTCCAGCCTGAACAAAATGAATTTTACAATCCAGCTTTCAACCAGCAGCAGCCCTTAAGATGTATGGTTTTAAAAAAAGGTGTGATTATTTTGATTTCATACTGACTAATGTCATCAACAGCTGTCATGCAGTTGTAATATATCTTTTACATTATGTCACAGGTTGCCCTCAAGATCAAACGTATGTGTTATAAGCAATGTTCTTTCATCCAGTAAGTGATCAAGCTCAGGTTTTAGGCTAACTTTGAAATATACATCGCATTGATGTGTTGTTTAAGATTGAGGAAGTTATACTTCAAAAGAGTAAATATGCTTATTAAAGTTTTCAGGCTATTTTTTTTTTCCTTCACAAATGGCAGATCAGGAAACGAACAGCAAAATACAACTTTATATGAAACCACAAGATATAAAACCACATGATATAAAACAATCTGATACTGGACAATACAATAAAGTGAGATGACATGATTTAAGAAAAGATAAGCAGAAGTGTATTGATCCCTGAAGGACAACTCAACAAGATAAGGTACAATCCATTATGAGTTTATACCGTACATTACAATACAATCAGTATGATACTGCAGGATAGGACAGGATACATTGAGCAACGTTATGGTACAACATGATACAGTAACATTCAAAATATTATGCTGTAGTATGGTACAATACAATAAAACACAGTTTGTTAAAATATGATACAACATGATAGGATATGAGAAGATACTATATGGTTTGTTATGACACACTGAGTTATGTTACTGTAGTTATGATATGATACAATACAGCATGATGCTATAATGCTGTGTTCGAGTAACCTCGGAAGTCAGATGTTGGAGCTGAAAATGACGTCACACCGGAGTTACCAGCGCAAGTCCAAAAAAAGGAAAATCAGAGGTGGAAACAAGATGGCTACATCTACAAAAGTTATTTTAGCGCTTGCCTTGTCCTTGTTATATTCCGACAAGGCAAGCGCTAAAATGACTTTCGTAGATGTGGCCATCTTGTTTCTGGCTCCGGTTTTGCTTTCTTTGGACTTACGCTGGTAACTCCGGTGTGACGTCAATCCAAGCTTGAGCTTCAGACTTCGGAGGTAACTCGACGCAGCATAAGAAACTATGCAACTGGATACAGTGGGCTTTATTGTTCATTTAGGTAGATTTGTCTCGGATTGAAGTGCTGGTTAGAGACTTGCTCCGCTAAGAGTCTTGATCAACAGTTGTTTTTGTTTTAAAAATCCTTAATTAAGGCGATTTTTACCAAAAATGGCCAGCATTATCAAGAGATGATCCACGCCAAAAACTCATTTTCATCAAAAAATGACTTAGGCCATTATTTTAATAGGGTGATGATGTGAGTACATGGATGATTGATTAAGCTGCATGACAACATGTTACCTTTAAATGATATAAAGTATATAATATCACAACTAAAGTCCACATTTTACTCTTTTTAATGGCAAATATAAGTTAAAAACTCTGGGAGGGCAACTCTCAACCCTAAGAGTCCAGACATCACTGCAGTCTGTCTTAAGAGTTGCAGAGTCTAAAGTTAAGGAAGATGTTGCTTATCAAATCATTGCTGCTTCAGTTTATTATCACTGTCATCATCTAACCGTCTATAATCTCTGTGTAAAACATTACAAGTTAACTTTAATTACCAGTCACAGCAGAAAATGTGAGCAGTCCCTGTATCAGAGATTTTCTCTCTGCTGCTTTTGAGTACAGTGACAGTTTCTGCCTCAGAGGATTAGACGGTAACTTCCCTCTGAAGTAATTAATCTCTGCAAACCTTTCCTTTCCTCTGACTGGCCACCCACTCACTGCAGGCTTCTGCCTCACACACACTAACACTAATCTTACCAATTTACCTCTAATTGGACACAGTCGAGTGGCGAGGGCTTCACGCACACATATCTGAGGCCGCCTGAAACTTTCATCCTGCTGATTTACCGTGACTCCTGTCTCTGTCCGACAGCTGAGACTCATCAAACTGAAACTCTCTACATCCCGCAGCCTTCCTCCTCCGCTTTCCCTCTGGCTGTCAACTCAGGCTAATACCTGTGGTCTGGTAACAGCAGCTTTTAGACTAAGTAAACATAGGGACAGATAGGGTCACGTCTGTTTCAGCTGTCTCCTTCTCTACCTGAGCACCATTTAGGGTTTGTGGTTAAAACTGATTGTTTTTAGAGTTTTCTGATTGGCTCATGGTTGTTGTTTTTTTCTACAGGATACAACTTGACAGAGGAGAGTGTGGCGAGCACAGAGAAAAAGATCTTAACTAATCATCGCATTTTGGAGGCTTTTCGGTTTGCCTATGCAAAGAGGACCTTACTGGGAGATCCGGATTTCCTCAACATCACCAATGTAAGGATGTCTTCCTAACAACAACTTTAGGGTTTAAGTTTCTCTTTAGTGGTAGAAGGATTATAATGTATTTTTTTGTGTTTTTTTAAGCTCATCCACAATATGACTTCAAGTTTCTACGCCGACGAACTCCGTAAGAAGATCACAGATGAAACCACACATCACATGAACTACTATGAGCCGGAGTTCTACCTGCCGGAAAACCACGGGACTGCTCACCTGTCTGTGGTAGCTGAAGATGGAAGCGCCGTGGCCGCCACCAGCACCATCAACCAATTGTGAGCCAATCTAACACTCCAGGACAAATAGAGTGAATTAGTCGTGCTCTTTTAACCCTCATTCATTTTATTCGTGTTGTTTCTTTCAGTTTGGGCTCCAAAGTCATGTCAAGGTCAACAGGGATTCTTCTCAACAACGAAATGGACGACTTCAGCTCCCCGCTCATCACAAACGGCTTTGGAGTGCCCCCTTCACCCAGCAACTTCATCAGGCCAGGTTAGATTAAGATCCACACCCACTTACAGAGGCACTTTCTCAATCATTGGACAAAAATGGAAAAAATCGAGGGCGCTCTCTTTATAGAGGTCATAATGGCTTTGTCTTCATGGTATGGTCATGTCAACATTAAAAACACACTTAAATATGTTTCTACGTCAAGTCTGCATAAGGAAGTCGATGTCAGGGAAACAATATTACGATTTTATTATATGTAAATTTACTATCCCAATATTACTTTAAAGTAGTTCTCCACCAAAAGGAAAACGGCAGAGTTATGGCCTGCAGGGGGTGTTTAGACATGAAACCTCCAGAAGGAGGCGATATTTGGACCATTGAGTTACATGTAGTGAATGTTTGTACTAACATACATAAAAAGATACTGAGAATACCCTACATATGTATGCATTCATACACATAAATCACATGTACTCCTCACAAAGATAACAAATAAAAGCAACACACAGAAACTACACTTATCACACTAGCAACAGGAAATCCTGCAGCGACACTCTGAAGTGGAATCATCTGTTTCACAGCGTTTAAGATCATGAAACATGACAATAAAACTTGAGAAAATACATGAGGGTATATACTGTCTGGATATGCAAAGAATCTATTCATTTATAATCATCTGATTCTGTTTAAAGGAAAAAGGCCAATGTCTTCGATGTGTCCAACTATCCTCTTCGACAAAACCAACACAGTCAAGATGGTCGTTGGAGGCTCAGGGGGAACAAAAATCACAACTTCTATTGCTCAGGTGAGATGCCAAACACAAAGGTAAAAAACAAAGAAGACCCTGATCTGTCTGTAAACTGTAAAGAGATACCCTTCCTGCCTGTAAAACTATGTGTTCTTTCTGTAGGTCATATTAAACGCGCTGTTCTTCAACTACGATCTGAAGAAAGCTGTGTCAGATCCCCGGGTCCACAACCAGCTAACTCCAAACACCACAGTAGCAGAGCCCGGCTTTGACAAAGTGAGTGTCACCAACAGTAAACAATGCTGATATGTGTGACTGATAGTAGGGCGGTGTGGTGTGCAGAGAAGACAACAATCCTTCATCAAAACCCAGGAAACACCAAGCCCTCATACCTCAGCAGCGGTCAGCACTAGTTCTTTAAATGTGTCATGAGAAATTTACTCAAAATGGCAAAGATATTTTAACAGCACTGGTGAGGTTAGAGTCTAATCTGAAACCTGGATAAAAGCAGGCAAATCTGGGGTTGTTTGCATTACTTAAGTGCTTCAGGGAAGGCAAAGGAAAACAAATCCTGACTGGTTCAGAGAATAATTTATGTTTTTTCCTCAGTTTGGAAACCTGAGAACCACTGACACTTCATAAAGGCCAGTGGCTTGGGGCAGAAAATATAAAATGCCCCCCTCCCTATGGAGAGTCAAGACCATGGATTCAAAGCTGCATCTGTTTGGTTATTTAGTTTCCTTGCTGGGATTTTGCTTCACTATTTAGGTCTTTTATGTCTTGTTAAGATGTGCCAATTGACTTCCCGAGTAGAAATAGTAAACGCCCTAAACAGTGAAGTACAAGTGGCTTTTCAAACTGTGCTGAGATTGACCCATTTTGCTCACAAGATATTCAGTCTCTTTATTGAACTTAGCTTTAAAGGGATATTCCAGTGTAAAATTAATTCAGGGTCAAACACACCGTAACACTGGGGACCTAGCCAAAGTACTAGCCACCAAACATCTTTTTAACTTTGCCTAATTAGACTAAACACGACTCATCCACTCTCTCTCAGCAGCTGTTTGTTTGTAGCGAGACCTCAGGCCAGTCCATTACAGACTACAGCGGGGGACTGATTATAAATGTTCTTCCTTGAGCTGCATCACCCCGCAGCAGTCTGTAATGGACTGGCCTGAGGTCTCGCTACAAACAAGCAGCTGCTGGAAGAGAGTAGGTGAGTCGTGTTAAGTCTCTTTGCTAAAGAAATTAGGTGAAGTTTAGGTGCTGTTCTGAACATTATTTGTGGCTATAGTGGCGTTTTTGTTGAGGTTTGTTTATGGCTCCTCAGACCGCTGTGTATTGCTATCCTGCAGTTGTTGGTATAACCAGAGAAGCAAGCGGTCGGCAACATACATCTCTCAAGGGGAGTGTCTAACTCGGTGTTACAGTGTGTTTGACCCTAAATTAATTTTACGCCAGGATATCCCTCTGGCTTTATTTATAAGTACATGGTATTACTTAAGAGAGGTTAAAAGTGTCTGTTTTCTTTCTGATTAATGGCAGTAAAGAAACATTTTTATACTTTCTGTAAATCCAATAATGAGCATTCGTCATACTGTGTATACGCAGATTCACTGAGCCATGCTATCATAGAAGAAATCAACCATGAACATAAAACACCATCTGCTAAGGTTTCATTGGTTTGAACTGAGTCTATCTCTTCTTACACGCTCCCATTCACAGGAAATCCTGGATGGATTGGCGTTGAAGAACCACGAAACAGAGTATCTCACATCCACAGGGGCTGTGGTGCAGGCTGTGGTTCGCCACGATGACGGACTCCACGCTCAATCGGATCCCCGCAAGTGGGCGTATGCCGCAGGCTACTGAGATCATTAATACACACCACTGGCTGCACAGACAGACTGAAGCTGGGTGAACCTCGACCCACAGGCACAAGCTTTGAGATAACAGACTTAATGGAGAATGAGGAACCGTTGTCAGCTGTTTGGAGACAGTTTGTTCCCTATCAAATCAAGTTCACGTGCTTCACATGCACCGACTCCGATAACAGAACAATGACTTACTGTCCTTATGACCAATAAAACCAAGTGCCTTAAGCTGAAATTAATTCTTAACATCTACTTTTAAATCTAGGGTTACTGTCTATTTTGAGAAAAGACAGCAGAGGTACTAGCACATGTTAAAACATCTCACTGTCAATGAAGAACACTGTATCATGTCATAAATATGCACAATACACTTATTTATGAAACACTAGTGTAAATCCTTTAGCATTGTAGAGTTGTATTCTGTTAAGATCCTTAAAATGTGACATTTACAGAAAAACACTGGACTCTAAATCACAGGGAAAACTCACCTCAGAACTAACTGAGAGACCTCATGAATCGATATTTAGTCATTTTAAGGGTCAATCTTTCACAGAAGGATCTTATAAAGGTGACAGCAAACAGAGAGGAGAAGGCAGACAGGAGCTATTGTCCAAATAAAGGTCTAGAACGCCTCAGGGACCAGCACTCCCACTTACAGTAATGACTTACTGTAATTTACTACAACCCCGAGTGCAATGGCCTATAATGACCCCATAACAACATTACAGCTGTTGCTGCTCACTGTCACTGCTGGGATTCAGGGCTCATCTTCTCTCAGCTGGAATGTAAATGTATTACATAATTACTGAAATGTTAAACTGTGTAAAAAAATTGCTTTTCTAACCTTGTTGATACTGATGCATGGTTTTTAAGAGTGATTTGTTTTAATGTAAGAGGTTTAACAGTCACACTTCCTCCACGTTTCTATTTATTTGAAATAAAAAGGCAATCTCAGTGTGAATGCGTTAAACTTTTTTTCTTTATTGCAATTATGTTTTTCTGCCTTCATTAGATGAAAATTAATAGTGTAGATAAAAAACTGAATGAGAGTAAAACACCATTCATTTACTGTCGTTATTAAAAATCATCTGGTAAGTGTGGCCTTGCCAAAGAGACACTATTTGAAAACACTTTTAGACTCTGCACAAACACTTGGAGACTGATTTCCCTCCAAAAACAGCTCTACAAAACCAGAAAGAGGGAGCGATGATGAGTCACAGCAGTCAGTTTTCACCAGGCCTAACACCGTGGATACCACCGGTACTCCAGCGGTTATCCCAACTTTCCATCTGTTAAGCCATTTTTGTCAATGAATGTGGAAATACTACTACTATAAATCATAACATGAGAGATATTACCGCGATTTTATGACCGCACGATAAAGGGCGCGAGGAAGCGGCGTCCTCAGCGCGTGGAGCCACATAAACACACATACACGCCAAACATTTCCCTCCCCACCAGCGTCGCTAATTCGCCACTAAACAGCGCTACTTCTCCTTCTCCCTTCTTTGTTGGATAAGGGTGCACACTTGGAGCTCTATCAGTGAACTCAAACATACATTCACATTGATATTCATCTCTCCACTTACTTGCCGGGCGTCCATTCACGCCGTCATGCAGACTAGTTTTCAAATAGGGAATCAGAGCGCGTGATTTCCGGGTGTAAAATAGGTGGGTATGGAGGGTCAAAGTGGTCACATGATGCAAGAAAACTTTATTCCCTTGTTTCTTTCCATGGATCCATAAGAACTAATCCTCCACTGATTTGAGTAAAAAAATTAGTTAAAATGGCAAAAACTTGCGGAAAAAAAGGTCTGAAGGTTAAAAATGATAAAATGGTTTAAATGTAAATAAATTCGTTTTTTTATTTCAAACTTCTGTAATTGATAACACCCAAAGGGAGGGGCTAGGGGGGTTTAAAACAAGACTTCCTGGGCCTTTCTGTCTTTGAGTCTGGAGTTTGTTGCATAAACAGTAACTGCCAACCTGACTTTTATCGTGCTGCTGTGCTTCTGTTTTTTTTTTTGTTTGTTTGTTTGTTTGTTTTTTGTTTGTTTGTTTTGTTTTTCTTTTGAGTGAGACTCTGGAGTTTTAGTGGAGCACCTGCCCTGTTGGAATTTTCTTTTTGCCTTGTACATTTTGTAAATAGTAACTGACCTTTTTTTTTTTGCACTTTTTAAAATATTTTTGCACTTCACCTTGGAAGGCTGGCTGTAAATAAATCCTATCACCATCACCGTGTTTTCCGCTATGCCTGTGTTTTTCCCCGTGACAGGGGGCTTTGCGCATATTTAGTAAAATACTCTGGGTGAGGCGGCACCTGTGAATAGCAACACTTTTTGTCCTTTTTTAAAAAAAAAAAACAACATCAGTGAGCAGCGCTGGTGATGCTGTTGCGATTTCAGTATCATGGGGAAGTGACATGCATGGCTCGATCTGAGGGATTATGTAATATAATAATTATCTTTGTGCTTTAGTAACAATAAAATGAGTACACAGCTGGTTTCCTACCATGTGCACTGTCATCACAACAAAATATCCGTCCTAAACAATAAAATTCCCCCCCGATTTTTTTTTTTCACAACTTGACTACTGGATACGCTAATAGCACATGATCACATCTGTCAGATTATTGCCAAACACAAGAAGTCTTTGGGGGACAGCTTCTAGGGAGTGCTTGTACCCCAGTACCAGAGGTCCCACTAAGGTAAAGAAATACATTTACTCTCACTTTTCCAACCTGAAAACTGTCCACTGAAGACCTGTTTCTGGTTTACTTTGCTAGCTTATCTTTTTATTCTGGGTTACACATGGGTTTGAGTTTTTGGTGAATAGGACAAGGAGAGCATCAGGGTGAAATGTTAGTTGTGCCTGGAGAACAAAAGCTTGTCAGCTGCCAGGAATTTGTTTGAAGTTCTAAGAAGCATCTGCAAGCAAAGCAGCTCTGCAGATGTTGGTGGATGAACCAGTTGAGCAGGAGAAAGATGTCTGTGGTGCTACAGCTCCAAAACCATGAGTTCCTCCATCACTGGAGGAGACTTTTTTTTTAATTTATAGAAGACAGGAATGCTGCCTCAGCATCTGTATTTCAGTACATGTTATGAATAAAGCCAAGTGCTTTAAGTTCTAACTCAGTGAACGGATTTATTGATTGCGTTTTGGAACATGGATGGATGCCGTTTAGAGTCTGTTTGGCATCATTTTCACTGAAACAGCTGTGTTTAACACTGTATACCCCAGCCCAGTTCACTGTCAGGATGTTTCTATTATAAAGGGCTGTATAGATAACGGGCTGTAAACAAAGTTATGTGAGTTTAAACTCTCTTAAGATGGATCTACAGTGTGCTGGAATTGTAATGCTTAACCATTCAGTATGTATACAGACATAACAAATGACTATTTAATAACTCTCATCTGTCAGACAGGGACTCACATCTGTCCGCTGTATAGTCCATTTTAAAAACTCCTACCACATCATATTACTGAGCACCTCAGACATTTTTATTTATTTATTATCCAATCTGTAATATTTCGCTTTCCTATTTATTACCCATTCAATAGCCCAGGTTATTCATATCTCACTTTTACCTCTTAGGATGTTTAGTATATTTAGTCTGTATTTATTGCATATACTTAGTACTTTTAGTAATTTTAGTCTGCACTGTACTTACCTCTTCTTATATTTAATGTTATTTGTATTTTCCCTTTGCTGCTGTAACAAGAGAACTTCCCAGTTTGGGATCAATAAAGTACATCTATCTATCTATCAAATGACTTTGACAAGTCTATTACAAATCTGTAGTCATAATCAATGGTGGCTAGTGAGATTTTCTCCAGAGGGGGCGACAACTAAATCCAAAAGAGACGTGGTCTATACAAGGTGCAACAACAGGTACTACATGTGTGAATCATGGGCACTTCCATGCATTTGCTAAGCTGAATAAACATTATTTTTCACATGGTTCCTTCCTTGTTTTTTTTTTTGTTTTTTTAAGTTTTCTTTGGAGTATCTTAAGTTTTTAAAAATTGTAATTTTTCACTCTGATTTTAATGTACAGCTGATCAGGTCCAAGCAGTTTTACTCTCAGCTTCCTCCCAAACAGTATTTTTTTCAGGGACTTCACTTTCTGTGACTTCAGCCTTCTTTCAAAAGTAACTGAATTACTGAGTGACTACATCAGTCAGTTGTAAAGCTGTAATGTAGGCTTTACTTTTCTGCTTTAGTAGCCCAAACACTTGACATACACCTTGTCCCCTGTCTAGTGTTTTGTTTAATTTGTCAGTGAAAGCAGTAAATTCATAAGCTTACAAAGGAAGTACTGCATGTCTTTATCATGGAGTGCTTGAGCTTGTGCGGTTTTCATGATTATTACTACATGTACACTCTTTACACACACACCTAACCAAGGCTAATATTGATACTGATGCTTTAAACCCAGCACTAAATACACACTGTACTCTGCACACTGGCACTTCACGCACACACAAACAAACCCAGCATACACACATTTGTATGTCACTGAACTTTTCCCCTCAACCAGAGCTGATGTGTAACAGTTCAGTCACAGCAAACATGGACTTAAAACCAGAACATTTTTCTCTGATACTAGTACACTGAACTTCTTTTAGGTACCCAAGATATCATGTCCTCTTTCAATTCAGGATATCATGGACTGTACTGGATTAAATGTGTCCACAGGGAGTCTACTTAGGTCCCTGACATTAGCTTTAACAGTGGGGTAGGCAAGATCTGAGGAAGTGCCAGTTTTTGGGAGAAATCTTGAATGTAAACTCTACCCCTCCCAATCAGTTTTCCCCTCAGCTCCTCCTCTCCTCTCCGTCTCTGCTCCAGCAAGCCCCGCCCACAAACAGTCGCTCGTCCTCGCTCGTATCGTTTCAATTAAATTGACCCGGCTTTTTAGCTCTTGTCCGGTCTACCTCCTTTTTGAGCGCCTGTTATTCCACCAAAGTCTCTGGTATTTAGTTGGCCAAAGGAGGAGTCAGACAGTTTTCTGTACTTTCTGGTTGGTTTCTATCGTCCGATATTGTAGCATGCTAACTTTGTTTGGGCTCGTGAACGACACAGGGGAGCAGTGTACGCCTCACAACCAATCAGATTGGGGGAGGCGGAGAATGGCTTTGTTTACAGCCGGAAAGAGCGGGCCGCTAAAAAAATTTAATATGTTGACCACACAGACATGAGAGAACACAGGGATATTGTTAAATTACCAAATGTCATCAATAACTGATAGCTATTGACTGATATTAAAAGCTTTTTTGTAAATACACCACAAAAAAAGATGCTTCTTTAACGGAACCCTTCCTACCCCACCTTTAAAGATATACTTATTTTAAGGAGGAAAGTCTTGGGCATGACTTCTTTTCTCATAACGTAACATAACTTTATTCTTTTAACACGAGAACTTTTTTCTCTGTATAATTTCACTCTTGAATTTTATAAAATTCCTGGATGTGGTCCTCAAACTGTGTGTTAGGATCTTTACCTTTGTAAAACTGCATTACGGTGCTTATGAGAGGTGCAGTCATTCTAGATAACCATACCCATTTAGTCTAAAGAGGTCACCAAGATCAACACCCCATGGAAACTCCTCACAGTGCCTTTAAAGACCGATGGTTATGTAACTTTAACCTTGGTCCTTTTACCTGAACCCCGGCTAGTTTCAGCCAGGTTATCAGGGATTGTAAGAGCTTTACAGATTCAACCCAAAACTACCCAAACAGCCCACGGACTCATGAGGACTGAGCAGAACATTTCAACACATTTCATTCTCAGTTATGATAGTGTCAGTACTTTGAAGCTGACTGTAAACATCCTAGCCCTTGCAGCTAATATTAAGCATGTTACTGCCGACAGGAAATAAACAGGTAGCTATAATCCCAATTAATTCAAGCAGACCTGTCATCCTGCACTGTTAATGTCTCCCTAAACATTTTCTCACCCAGACATGTGGAGCTTTCACTTTTTTCTCAGTGGGCCTCAACAGAAGGTTGAATCAGGTCTGTGTTTACATCTGCTTCACTGTAAAATCAGAAAAGGTTGCTTGAGGTTGTATGTTGCTCTCTTCGGACCACACTAGAGGAAGATGATATCCTTCTTGGAGAGATCTGCCATTGTTTTCATATCCTTTGGCATGCTCATTGAAAAGATCGGGATGAAAAATAGCCTGAAAGTAACCTTGTAAAAATCCTGTGCCTGTAGCAACCATGAGTTTTAGATCAGGGAGAACATTTTAAACCGGAGGTCTGATTCAAGCCTCAGTCAACTGGGACTCCCTGCAAAATAATATCTTCAATTGCGGTAACTTGTATGGTGCAATTATTTTCAAGGAGTTAGAGAAGCAAAAATTAGCAAGTCACAGCGGAATATTCCTTTAAGGCCCAATTAAGCACAATCTCATTCCACCAAATTATAATGAGAGTTGAAATTATGCAACTCAGAGAGGCCAATTCACTCACCCTTTGGGTATGAGAAGTCTTTGGTAGTGATTCAACCTGCTTCTCTGCATGACATTATGAATGTTACAAAAAAACAGAGTGCAGATCACCATCAAATAACTTCTGGGGAGATAATTTGCTTCATCAGGGGACTTTGTGACTGAAGACATGAAAACGCCATAAGTGACAGAGTCATCACAGGAATATTGAGCTGCTTCTTCTTCGAGTCAAATACGATCAATGGAAAGATGTCGTCTGCACAGAGTACAATAACACTAGCTCTTAAAGGTTGTTAAAATCATAACACCCAATGTGAAGTCACAACTTACCCAGATTAACTCATTTGTCATACAACAAAGACAACTGTGTGTCTCAGCGTCACATTTGCATCCTCTCATAACTCACATCTAGTGCCTCAAAGGAAAACGGAGCAGAATCCACTTAAGTAATCATTACTAATTCATAAGTTCTTCTGAAATGTAGCTCATTACCGCTTCCTTTGTTTCAGAGCAGAAGTGCTGCTTTAAAAAAAGGCAAACAGGAAAACAGAGGGGCAGATTATTGCTGATCATACGATGCTAAGAATAAAGGATAAATGTTTAATTTAAGTGTCGTACAGCGAGGAGTGGAGTAGAGGAGTTGAATTAGATGCTTGAGCCTGTGGTACTGATAAAAAAAACAGAATCAGCAAGATATTTAGTTGGACTCGATGTTTATTTTCATAACATAGAAATTTACAGTTAATGCCGTAAAAATGTGGAATTGATTTATAAAACACAGTCATATTAAATGTGGAAAAATACAAAAACACATGTAAGTGATATAAAAATACATTTTTTTTCAATTTTGTAAATTGTAAACAGATTTTTGTCTTGTTAAAATCAACACAATTTTCTTAAGTTTTCACCTGGTAATACAGACTTAATTTAAGATTAGTGCTGCATACCGTACAAAAAAGAAACTATTTTTAAGATAGTTTTTAAAATCTCTAGGCGTTACAAAAGCAATCAAGATCATGCATCCAAAACAGACTTATTTTCACTTTTCCAAGCTGATGATCCATTATGAGTTGCATGTTGGATAACAAAATTAGAGAACATTGAGATTTATCTTTTAAAAAAAGGTCAGTAACAAGACAAATCTTCTTATTTTATCCACCAAATTCAACACAACCACAAAGTTCTTCAAAGGAGTCTCAATGCGACAAGAAAAACACAAATGGCTCAGTATCCCGTTTAAAAGCTGCTGTAATGAACTTTTGGTTGATGTCGATTTTGGTGTCCCCTGAAGGCAAACATTTACATCTGATCACTTTTCTGATCTCATTTTCTTTTGACAGTCCTTTGTCACTCATTGAGAAATGTGCTTTTTTTGTATGTCATTATTTAGATACAGTTTCTTGACTCGTTTCACAAACACCCAAGAAATCCTCGCAGGGGCGTAAATTTCACATGTCACTCAGGGTCTGACTTTAAAAAGGTAAAAAGCAAAGACTGTATATAAGATGGACAACCTGGTTCCGCCTTCCGCCTGTATACCGATTTGAAGCCAAAAAGCTCTCAGTAATTCCGGGTTTTTCTCCACTTCCTTGAAACCAGAGCTGCGCAGTAGCGATGCGCGCATTCGGCTGCGCAGTCGCCGAGAGTCCCTGTGATGACGCTCGGCTCAAACAGCGTATCCCCCCAGGAGAGCTACGCAATCCCTAAAAGCCCATAGGCTGTACCAGGTGTCAATCTAAGAAAACATGAACCCCCCAATAACTTGTAAAAACGGAGCTGTACAGAAAAAAAAGGACTTGGGCACAAACCAGTCTCACAATAACTACATGTCAACATCACAAACAGGGGGGAGAAAAATGTATGTTCTGCGTAAATTTCTAAAGTTTGACCTGTACTGCAGCCCACCATCAGAGGGTGCTGTTCTCGGAGTGGCTTCACCCAGCGAGGAGGCAGACTCTGTCCATCTTATATACAGTCTATGGTAAAAAGATATCGCTCATTTATAGTGAAAAAAAAAAAAAATTTAAAGTCAGTTTTAAATAAAAAGTTTCACTGGTATTAAAACACTTGGCACTGTAAAGTGGTTTTGGTTTCTGACAAACAGTAGGTTTGCTTTTATGGCTCATTCTGCAGAAACACGTCACAAAAAAAATGTCAGAAAATCTTTTGTACATAGAATAGATCTCAGCAGTAAAATTATCATTAACTGTGCGTATTCATATTTCACGAGTTATAACATTATGTGTGCGCTAACGACGGGTTGAACTTAAAATGTGTTCAGCTAAAGTGATCAGCTCAAAGTGTAAGTCCATTCGAGCTCGTTATCTCAGTAACAGAGTATAAGAACCTCAGTTATCGGATTAAAAAAAAAGTTTACAAAAGGTTTGTTTTACATACAAAAAATAGCTTTGACAAAATAATACAAGATTAGCTCCTCTTACAAGCTTGCTTATTCAGAGATTAACCATCAGATGCCATTCCATGATGGACAAAGGGAGGTGTATTGAAAAGCAAATGCTAGAATTATATTCCTGTCTATGAATATCGATATTAAAAATCAACACAACAGAGTGATGACACATAAATCTTCTTAGCTTGATTTTTAAAAAAAGATATATTTGTCTTTCATTACAATGGAGGCCTTCCCAAAAAAGTGCTACATTAAAAAATAAAGAAAAATATTGCCAGCCTGTTACAAACTAGTCCAAATACTTGATTTATAATGCTGGACAATGTGGGGACTTTTTGAGTTGGGGGGGAGAGCCACCTCTGGTTTCCTGCTTAGACATGCCCCGGCTACATTCAACAACAGAAGTTAGGAAAATAATTGTATCTGTTTTCTCCAAAGATCTATATAAGTAAAATTAACTTGTATACAACACATTCACTATGTTTCACATTCACAATTTTCCGATTGTTTGAGTTGCTCATGGGGATGGTGATTGAGCACCAACTTTCCAACATTTTACTGTCAGATATTTCACATTTATAGTTCTTTCTTAAGGCTAAAGGTTCAGTCAGTCTCTAGGAGGGATTGAAATAGGAAGCTGGATCCTCCTCACCAATGTTTGGTCAGTAACCAGCTGACATCCCCATCTTCCTGCTGTCAGACACGGCCACAATGCATCCGTTCTCCTTTTCCACAGCATTTACAACGTTGACGAAGAACTGTGCGTTCCCGAGTTTGTGTCCGAGAGCTACGAGGCCATCCCTCACAGTCTGAGGACACAATAAAACCCTGAATTAACATCACTTATCCTTTGCACTCCAGACTACTAAATGCTAAATTAAATGTGACTTTGGGGGATTATGTCCCGGTAATCTTCATCAGAATCCATTAACATATTGTTAGTCATCACGGTGTGGCAAATTTTAGCATCATTAATGGTGAGTGAAATGATCATTTGTGCTCCTCACCTGGTCAAACCTTTCAATTTTCCCAAACCTCTCAAAATTTAATTTATTCTCGGAGTCGATAAACACTATAGGTGCAGCAATGGCATCTGTGAGATTCATTCCCAGCCACAGGCGGTTCATCATTGACTGTGAGAGTAAAAGAGAGTCATATAAGAAAGCAGTTTAAGAATTTAAGACGAAGAGAAAGAGCAAACAAATTTCAGTTTGGTCACCAAGGCCACTGCAGCTGTGATCATGCTCCCGCCAGATCCACCAATCACAAGGAGACCTCCAGACTTGGACTCTAGTATAACTGGAGTCATTGAGGAAGGAGGCTGCTCCCCTGTGTCAAAAATGAAAAATCTGTGACTGAAAAGAGACGGAGGACGTCCTTCACAGAGTCGTCTTATTTCAGAAGGTTACATTAATTTTTGCAACTTTACCTGCTGACAATGAGTCGGCTCTCTTACAAAAGTCAGATAGCTCATTGTTGAGGATGATGCCTGTACGTGATGAGTAAACGGCACCTCCAAACCTGAAAAAAAACACAGACGCCTTAGCAATAAATGTCACCATTTTATATATTTGACTTGGTATTTGGTTAATGAGAAACTTTAATTTTGAAAAAGGCTTCCTGCTCACAGATGGTTTATAGTACTGGTAGCAGAGACGGCTAGTCCATCCTCATCCAGCACGGCCACATGTGTCGTCCCGTAGTGATCAGCTGAGGGTCTGAGATTGGAGTAGTAGGAGTTGTCATGTGTGCGGTTGGACACGATCATGTGTCTGATCTTATTAATGAAGGCTGGATCTATCAAATGTTTGGCGATCTACAATTAGGAAAAAAAGACAAAAATTAGCCAGAATGAGGAATTAACAATATTCTAATAATAAAATTAATGCATCAGTTTTTAAAGCGCTTTACAGTGGATACAATATTCATTCCCTCACACAGTCACACATTGGTGATGGTAAACTACTGCAGTGGTTGGCTGCCAATCCGCCCCAATGGCCTCTCTGTATAGTTTTGAGGAAATGGTCTTTCATCTTCCTTCTCTCTAACTTTCCTGTTTTGCAAACTTTTAGCCCAGCTTGGGGTGTTTATAAGGACATGAAGCATGAGGAGAGATCGGGGGAGTATGACATAAAACACAGCTTGATTTGTAACAGGGACGCTGCCATCATTAAAGTCAGAAGAAAAAGTTCAACATGTTGGGAAATAGATACGACTGCTTTCTTGCCAAGAAAAACATTGGAAGATTTATACCACCATGTCTCTCACCCAAAAAAACTCTATCTTAGAGTTTCTGTGAAATATGACCAACGTCTCACGTGTTTAAATGCGTGATATTAGATTCATATCAAGTAACATGTCACCGTAACGCACAATTTCTTAAAACTGTAAGTGTTTATAAGGAATGATAAACATACTCATGATAATGTGTTGTACTGCTGTAGGCATTCATCAGTATTTAAAACAACTCTTATCAAACAGCATCTAACATTATATAATGACTTTAAAGTAACATATTTGATTAATAAATGCAAGAAATGATTATTTCTTCCACTTTTTTAAACTTTTTGGTGATCAACAATCCATTTCCTTATTGAAACAATTATAGAATGACAAGTTCACTGGCATCACACTGAGTTACGCACAGAGTATAAAGGAGTATAAACAACCATAACAGCTTATTACTATGATTAAAAAGCACTACAGGGACATGATGATGTTGTAAGTATACACAGAGACAGGCCTCATTTAAAGTGTAACCACATTGGGAGCTCTTTTTTGTTGTTGTTGTTGTTGCAACATGATATTTGGGAAAATTTACAACCTGCAGCCAGACTGCTGCAATTCTCAGAGGGCAACATTTATCACACAACCAGCCCAGACTTCAGGCACTGGTCTGTTGTGAGTTTGGTCAAAAATGTAAAACCATGTATCATCTCACAGTCTTTGTTTATTACCAGATATGATGAATGTGGAGGTGGATCTCTGAATTTGGATTTTGTAACATTGAGACAGAATCTTGTTAGCTCATTTTCTCTGTTTTTTAAGCCTGTGTTACGTTCAGTTAGCCCGCTGCTGCAGTAGCTTCAAATTTCACAAACGTCCTCAGCTTACAAAAGGCCACATACACATATCTCTACAAATGATGAACTCTTCATTTATTGACTTGGCTTACTTTCTCTGCTGTTTTTTAAAATATTTATTGCTTGATTAATCGATAAAAAGTCCAATTTCCATTTCCACACAAAGTTTGTCCATTTAACCTTGAATTTAAACTTTAAATCGAGTGTTGAACCAAAACAAAGAGCTAAAAGATGCTAAAATGTAGTTTGGAGGATAGAAATATATCTTATCTGAACCTTTATGTCATTGAAGACAGGATCCCGGATGAATCTCTTCTGTCCATTTGCAAATTTAGCTGCCTCTATAAAACGATGGTACGTCTGTATCTTCTTTTCACCATGGAAAGAGTCTGGAGTCAGGTGGAATCCTTCATAGACAAAGAATTAAAAAACAACTTAGTTTTAAGATCTACAACCTTTTGTGTTGACTGAATCATTATGCAGGACAAAACTGCATGAATTCAAGCCCAGGACATTACAAAGAGCATCAAACCTTCTAATACTTTGAGGATGAAAGCCAGCAGAGCGCCCCCAGCAGGCGGTGGAGCAAAGTGCATCTGGGTGTCTCCAAAAGGAACCGTCCATGCATCCTGCACCCGCACCTTGTAGGACTTTAGATCCTCCATTTCCAAATTCCCATCTGAGAGTAACATGTAGCATTCATAAACAGTTTCTCCTTCGCACTTAAGTTTTTTTTCTGTTTAACTCAGCATGACACTTTGGGCTCTATTTTCGTTCGCGCCGGTGAGGCGGCGGAGGGCGGCGAGCCCCGCGCAGTTGTATTTTCGTCTGGCGGAGCCCAGCGTAAGGCCAATTTTGTATTTTCGTGGCATGAGCCGCACGGAGGCGAGCCGAGATCCGCCAAGCTGGGCGTGGTGGTGTGGCAGGGGGCGGTGTCGACAGAATCAGCAGGCGCAGTGACATTTTCGTGCTCGCCACCGGCGTGTAAAGTGCGCTGAAAGCTCGCCGATTCAAACCTGGTCAGCTTTCAGCGCAAGGCGGAACGCAGCTGGTCCAGTAGTATTTTGGTAGACCGGCGGCGTATCGACATACGTCACTGATGCCTCACCGGCAGGTTTCCACAGTGTCAGGCACATTTTAGTGCAATAAATAATCATCATCAACTATTAATGTGAGTCAGCACATATATTTGGATCTATATAGATATATTCTGATCTATATTTGATCTGATGAGCGCGTTTGGCACGCGTTTGGACACACAACCTGACCGAATCAACACAGCTGAAACCGCATCAAATTAAATTAAATATCTAGTAAATATTCACACATGATGAAGTTAACTCGATATGTAATTCGTCTCCCTCCTTTTCTTTCTTCCTCTTCCTCTTATTTCTCGCACAGCTCGACCTGGACACGTCTCCGTGTCCTCTGTCCGTCTTGCTTGCTGCTGCGGCTGAACAGATTATTTGTTTCAGTGCTCAGATGCGTTATCTACTTTAAGCCGACATACGGATATCATAATATTCAGTTTTGTGAGCCAAATTTATTTTATATGCCAACATCTATGAAAGAAAGAGCCAGGCCACGGAGCGCGATGCGTCATTTACGCACAGATGGTTCCGATTTTTATGCCATTTTTGGAGTTTATGTTGTGATCTGTGCGCTCAACCGACCTTTGTCACGTGAGGTTTGAATATGAGCAACTTTTTGTGAGTGTCTTTATTTGTGGAAACGGGTGTTTGTCTTACCAGTGGGTCCAACATTACGCACACTAAATCCATCTGTGCTCATATGAGAGAGTGTGGAGGACACTTGTTGAGGAGCTGCCCTCTGTCGCCATCTTGTGGCATTACTGTCTTAAGACATCTCTTGATCTCTTTGACTACTTCATGAAAATAGTAATACGCCTCGCCTGTGGCGGATTTAAAGGCAAGGAAAGGAGCCTATGTGATTGGTGAAAACAGGTCTCGGCTGTGTTAAACCCCTATACGCACTCTCTCCTCCCCTTCTATGATTTATGCTGCCGGGAGGAGCTGAGTTAGGGAGGGGGGATACTTACGCCGGGCTGCGCGGCTCACCAAAATACCAAAATGTGCTTGGGAACGCCTTGTCAGCGCGGCGGATCTGATTGACGCTGCGCTTGCGGCAGATCTCCGGCGAAGCACCAAAATAGAGCCCTTTATCTTACTCTGTCTGCTTTGGCAAAGTACTGACCTGCAGCTTTCAAGTCTTGGATTAAGTCATGTCCTATCTTGCCAGTGTAGAAGGCATCTGCACCTTGTGCTGCTATCATTTCCAGGCTTTCTGCAAGTTTCGTAAACTTCAGGATGTCTCCTTTCTTCAACACTGTTTTGTTTTTATTGCAGAAAACTTCACTGAAACATACGCATGTAAAAGGATATATTAGAACATTTCAAAATAGAGTTAAACTGATTTTTTTCCCACATGTATTTACTTTTTCATGGGTTTTAAAAGTTACATCATGCTTCTCAATGCTTTTCCACAATCATAAGTAAATAGTTTCCAGGTAAATACAGGTTTTTCTGAACAAATCTATCTCCTAACTAGCTTTTTTACTTGCAACTTTAATGAAAAAGGAAGGCAAGAAGAGACAGTTTTGAAGATACTGCTGTTACGCCGGGTCAGCAGCCCGGGCATACATGTGCCATTGTGGTCGGACCATCATTTCCTGTTATCCGAAAAGGTGTTCAAATCAGCCTGTCATTGGGGAGAACTGTTGTGTAATCTGAAACCCTTCAGGGTCAAAGGTTAACCCAGTGGTTACATAAAACAAGCAAAATGATTTGCTAGCTTGCTGGTAATGATTTGAAAGGATGTAAACCAGGGGCCGTATTTCCAAAGAGTCTTAGTGGCCAAAAGAAAATTCTTAGAATCATGATGTGTTCTGACAATTTCTCCTAATAGTAAACAGTAGATCCTAGAAAAGCTATTCCTAGAGAATCCTAGCTCTTAAGAGAAGATTCACAAAATCTTTAGAATTACGGGCGCAGATTTTTTAGGAGTTTTCTTTTACCCATGAATTCCACACGCTACACAGCTCTACAAAAGGGACTACACAAACCCTCTTTGATCATTATCGTCCTCAGAAATGTTTGAACAGTGAATAAGATCCTGTACCAGAGAGAGGAGCTTTCCACGTGTTTTTTTGCAAGGGGAATGCTTAGGAGGAATTCCATAAATTGAGGCAAAGGGATGCCCTCCCTGGCCAGTTTAATGGTCGGCTCAAACAGCTTGGCCCACGGCAGCTTCCCATACTTTTTGTGAACCTCCTCATAGCCTCGCAGCTCTCCAGGAACACCAATCCACTGTGTGCCTGAATTGTGCAGGAGGGAGAGAGTGCAGCATTGGAGAAACAATGGAAACAAATACTCTAAACTCCACTAAAAGATGAAAACAAGGGAGGAGCAATACAGCAAGGATGAGTGCTTGTTCACAACAAGCACAGAAATGAAAATGTAATTCATCTTGACTGAGAGAAAACACCACAAATAATAGAGAAAATAGCCATAGATGCACCACATCATGTGTTTGTAAGGAATTATTCAAAAAGCATTTAGCATTACATTTACTATATGGAAAGTTATGAACAAGAAACCTATATTACAAGCTTCTGTGCTCTCTGTGGACAGTTCTGCCTACCTGTGGTCATTTTGAATGTAGTTGGACACTCGTCCAATAAGTTCTTCTTGAAAGACTTTGGGACCGTCTCTCTGAAGTTGAAAACTTTAACTTTTCCTGAAAAAAAAAAAGATCCATAATCAGAATTTTTGTAAACACTTCACTATCATCACCATGTAAACAGAAAGACTCACCTGTTTTATCTCTTATTGTGAAAATAGAGCCTCCCCCGATCCCCATGCTTTGAGGATTGATCACAGATGTGCACAGAAGAGCTGCAATGGCGCCATCTACTGCCGACCCCCCCATTTGCAGCATGTGCCTGTAAGACAGACATTTTTCATTAGATTTATGGGAACACAGTCATTAAAGACTCACCACCCACACTCTCTCATGTGCCTTTTTCTTATTACTGCATGTTGCAGACCTCTAAAGAGTCAGAGTATCAGGGTGCTGCCTGCCAAAAGGCAAGTTTAAACTACATGCCGATGCTTGAGACTTCAGGCAACATACCAAGAAGTCGCTGGCCATGGTAGACCTTTTCTTTTTTTTGTGCATGATTCTTGAGGTAGTCTGTCTAAATGAAAGATTTACAACTGGTTGGTTTAAATTAGGCGAATCAAATCTAATTATGCACCACAACAGAACCTGGAAGCTTAATCTTAGTGGTCTCTAAGGACCCTGAATGGCTCCTTTCAAACAAGATGCTGGCATGAGGTCTGAAGCATTCATTGAAAAAGAAGGAGTAAGAATGTTCTGGCTCCACTAAGGTCAGAGCTTTTGTAGTGTAATGAGTTTAACTAAGGAAATAGTCTGAGACGGTAGATTGACCAACGCAAATTTAATCATGGATTTAATAAGGAGTCTCATGTAGGCTGATTAAACAGAGTAATAGTAGATGTTAGAATGATGTCCTTATAAAGTTGTAGTTAAGCGATATCCTATTGAAGGGGTTTAGTGATTGAAGTAGGCCTTTAAAAACTTACAAAGAAGGATTTTATCCTTCTTTTTTTATCTACTTACATATTTTATATTCGTTTTTATTTATGGTGTATTTGTAACTCAATTTTACATTGCTGTATTTTAATCTTGTATTCTGTGTTTTTTTTATTATCATATTGTTTACTGTCCGTTTTATGTATTTTGCTGTGCCTTATTGACCTGTACAGCACTTTGGTCAGCTTCGGTTGTTTTTAAAGTGCTCTATAAATAAAGTTTGAGTTGAGTTGAGTAAAAGATCTGTCAGTGTATGTAAAGCTCAAGGTGAGAAAAGCTATCTATCTATCTATCTATCTATCTATCTATCTATCTATCTATCTATCTTTAGGGTAAAGTTTGATACACTATGATATAATACAATACAACAGAATAGGATATAATATGGTGTGATATGACGCAATACAACAATATGATGCCACAATATGGATGCCATGCAATACAATATAGATAACATGAGTATGCAATACAGTACCCTATGTGACAAGGTGTGAATGTTATGCATACTAAATAGTAAGATACACTTGATTTTCCACATAGAGAATTGTTTTGAAGCGCTGCATACGGTTAGCTGCCTTCTCGAAATATTCATAAAATAATATAATGATAAACAACAGAGAAGCATGTGGAGATTCGTCTGCAAGTTGACAAAATATCAAGAAAAAGATGTGCAAAAGAGTCTGTTCATTGTGTCTTTTTACCTCATCTAGACTAGAATGAACTCTTCTGTACTCCTTCTATTATTAGCTTTCACTGTGAAGATGTTCAGTCAACAGATTTCATCACTGACTTCATCAAAATCAAAGTCTGTCCTTAAAGATCCTCTCATCCGATAAACCAGTGCCTGTTGCTTCACAGCGCTCATTGTCATGGTCTCATTGTCTTTGTAGTGAGGAAATGATCTACTGCCGCACATCTTGGCACACCACAGGAAAGGAAAGAAACCCTGTCTGCACCTGAATACAAAAGCCGGAAGAGTGAAATGCACATTCCTACCGAGAAAAAAAACCAACACCTTTCTCCTATATTTAGAGCCAACACATTGAAAGATTAATGGAGTTCACCCTTTGGCTTGCCCCGAACAATGACTGCATCAAAGAGAGAGTCGAGTCACTCCACATTAAAGAGATAAACATCAGTGAGTGGCTTTGGAAATCTCACAACAGTGTCAAACAACAGAGTGTGGAAAAAAAAACAACATGAGGTGAGGAGAATCAGAGCCTGTCTGCGCACATTTATGCAGGTATTATCTTCATTCTTCAAACAGAGCCTGTCAAATCTCTTAAAGAGCTTATCCCATTGCTCGGTTCAGCTGTTTTATCCCAGCCACAGGAGCAGATAGCCTCTGGAGCCTCGAATGACTGAAGTCTTGGTTTTTACGTGTTCATTTAAAACTTAAGACAAATTCGGCATTAATTTCTCCCGATTGGATCAAACTTTTTACAAGTAAGAAAGAGCAAAAAAAAGTGTCTTACCTGCCAATCTGGGAGCACTGTAAAGAGTCTGCGGCCACAGCTGCGTGTTTGTAGCTGCCTCTCGGACATCCTCTGTCCACAAACAACAAAGTGCAGAAACAGACGACAGCAATGACGCAGATTAACCCTGCGGAAATAAAGCAGCACACCTGCAAGGGACTGAACCTGGCCATTGAGTTTTCTCTGAGGGAAACTGTGCGTGTAGGAAAACTGTAGCTGCTGCTGCCTCTCAGTGCGTGTTCATGCGCTCACTGAGATGTGTTGTCCGATGATTCCCTCACTCCCTCATTCCTCCCTCCCCCTTCAGCATCCCTCACACGGCCCGAAGTGAAAGTGAACAACAGCAGGACAGCCTTAACACTCATCCATCTAAACTTTTCAACCATTCAACCCCAGTGGAGGCTGGCCCCCTAGCTTACAGCAGTTACTTCAGGGAAATTCCCACTTGATGACAGCTTCTTTTCAGGAAACTTCAAAGATAAGTGAGTTCAGAGCTGATCATTTGGGAAAATCTGAAATCACTTCCGGTCAAAGTCAATGAACATTCAGAATGTGGACAGGATATGACTTTGACTCTTGTGTAACACTGATTAATAAAGAACCTATTTTTTCTGCATCCAAACTTTACAACTTTTTTTTTCTGGCACAGACATCTTTGGAAAAAACAGACTTCTTCACCCCGAAGGCTCACTGTAGCTACTGGATGTGACCTCAGTGTCAATGACACAGTGGAGACAGAGTTTGAAACTGAAATCTTGTCAACGTGGGGCACATACTATAGTAACTCTGTTTGTGTCAGTGTCAAAAAATCTGTTATTTGACGGTTTCATTTTGCCTGTTAGTGCTAAATCCAACTTCCTGATAATAAGAGAAAGTCACTTTTACAAGTACAAGTACTCAGTTTCCCATTTCAAGTCACTTCTGATTATTTACTTTTTTGTAACAAAGCGATTTTCCGCTGTTTGCAACTTTACTGTTTAGATTAGTTAGTTACTGTTTAGATTATCTCCATAGCGGGGCAGCTAAAACTTTTTCCTTTTTGAATTGGATTTAAACCAAAAAAAAAAAAAAAAAGAAGGAGCAGTCCTGGATGTATGATTGTATGATTTCCCACCTCCTTTACATCAGCACCACCTTTCCCACTCTCCTCTCTCCACCTCACTGTCCCACCTGCTCATTTGACCAACACGGGCTCCAGAACTTTCAGTCTCTCTGCTCCCTGACTTTGAAACTCCCTCCCACCAGACATCCTAATATTAACTCCCTCTTTTCAAATCCTGTCTTAAAACTCATTCTTTCAAACTGACATACTCAGTCTGACTGATTTCTGATTCTGTAGACTCATTTATTTGTCTTGTTTTAACCCTCTCTTGTAAGGTGACCTTGAGTGCTTTGAAAGGCGCCTATAAATGAAATTAATTATTATTATCATTATTGAGTAAACTAGCTTTACTCAAATGTTTTTCTGTATTGTTTTCTGATGAGCTCTTGCTGTGTATTTGGGACCAGGAAGACCCGGATAAGCTTTAGACAGTCTATGGCTGCTCTATATGTTTGTTTAAAGCTCCTTTAAGGAGTTTTTTTATGTAAATAGAACAGCCTGAAATTCACACAGAAGCCAGTGTCACCCAAGCAGCTACAGAATCAGCTCTCTTTAAAATTATTTGCACCTAAAATATTAATGAGTTATAAATTTGTCAAAAGTTAACTGGATGACATTCTTCTGCCACATGGCCCTACTTAAAGGGATATTCTGGCGTAAAATTAGGTTAGGGTCAAACACTCCGTAACAACAAGTTAGACACCCCATCGAGAGATTAATGTTGCCGACCGCTTGCTTTTCTAGTTATACCAACTTTAGTAACGACTGCAGGATAGTAATACACAGTGGTCCAAGGAGCCACGCGCTCAACCAAAAAGCCACTCTATAGCCACAAATAATGCTCTGAACAGCACCTAACTTCATCAACAGTACATCCAAAACATGCAGGACGGTGAGCCTCGAGGACTGGACTTGAGAACCACTGATCTATTGAATCATGTATTTTAATGGGCTGAACGCAGGTGTATGGGACAGATATAGTACCTTATTGACTTTTTATTGATAATAAAAGTAGGCAGTCATCAACTTTGCCAAATCAAATGTCAAATGACTTTGTTATCGTTAAAACTAAACTAATTTAAGAAAAACTTAAGCTGAGATTTGAAGCTGTGGACTACAACTTCAAACAAATCAATCTCATTTTAACAAAACATCTTCAACAGAGATCTTTAAACTGGGGCATTAGAAATAAAATGTTTTGAACAAGACAAAGAGTTTTTTTTTTATGGGTGTAAGCTATTTGGAGTGTGCAAAAAATAGCCAAGTGCTTCAAAATGAAGTGCCATCAATGCTTCTCATTGGCTGTTTAGTTTTTACTTAAACTTTTAGATACGGGGTGGTATGGAAAGAAAAATTCTAACCTGTGATTCACTTTTCTATTGCAAGTGTGAAATGTTGACTTTATCACAACTGGTGTGTCAAAAGACCAGCATGGAGGCAAATTAATCTATTGATTTAAGGGAGCGGGTGAGTAATGAGTTGTGATGTAACTGTCTGCACACCTGTATTACGCAGGTCAACCTGAACACAATGAGATTCCTTTGTCCTCTTTGTGTTTTCAATGTTGACATAAAATGACAATAACAAAAATCCCAGTCAGGGATAATTTGCCTTTAGGCTGTAAGTGGCATGACCCCAGAGTTTGGTTTTCATGAAAGCAAAATTTCAGCTTGACTCATATAACCTCAGCTGGAGGGTGATCAAAAGAGAGTTTACCGGCCTTCACTGGAAAAAAGGATCAACTTCAGCCTGTAGATGTGGGTAACAGGACTGAGCATGTCGGCTGACAGGTCAATAGATGTGGCAGCAAGGAAGAATGATCACATGATCGAACATGTGTGTGTTGGTGTGTGTCTGTGTGGGGAAATGTGCTGTATCCTGTGATAAAAATGGTCGAGCACGGATACTGTTTAAGTATTTTGATTGAAAAAATGTGTCCAAATGTCTTTGTTTCAGAAGTCATCTCAGTTTGTATGATGTTTATCTGGGCCTCCTTTTGAAGGTGCATGAAAAACGGGCCAAAGTTATGTCAGGATCGAAACATTGAGCTGTGCTTCAATGGTCTCTGTGGTCCAGGGAGGTCACTGACCTAGGTGTTGAATGGCGACAAGCAAAGACGGCATGGGTGGTCTCTGTCCATCAGCTGAAAATAATATGATTCCAAGTAGCACAACAGTGAACTACTCTGTCCCTATCATTACTTTAAGTGTCAAAGTTTTTTTATAAGGTGTTTTCAATCATGGGGAAGCATTTGATTCATATTTAATACTCGCAAGACTAATCTTTGCAGTTCTGCTCATATGTACCCAAAATGTTTGGCTTTTTGAAATTGTATACTGCAGATGATTTCTGTATGCAAATCAACATTTTTAGGATTTACTTAATCATATGGGATACAGATAAAACTACTTTGACTTTACTGACTTTGTACAGACTGAACGAGCACAAGTAAAGCAAATAAATTCAGAAACATATGACTTTATTTGAACCAGATGATGATATTTTGGTTTAAAATAGAGAAAAAAATAAAACATTTTGGTGCTGAAAAAGAACGTCTTTTAAGTAATTATTAGTAGTTTGTTTATTGTTATTCATGTCTAGTTAAAATTTCACCACAAGGGGGAGACAGTGTGTGTTTTTTCCTGGTTGTGAACCTGGTGACTCCTGTTGTTGCTGCAAGAACATCTACATCCATGTCCTACAAAAAAAATAAATAAATAATAATAATAATAATAAAATAAAAAGAAATTTTAATATAAATAAATAAAATACTACTACTACTACCAATAATAATAATAATAATAATAAATAGAATTGGCTGTTATTAGTTTATTGAAGAGGGAGGCTAAACCAGAGAAAAGAGGACTCTGCTCAGGGGTGCAGGAAAAGTCTCTCATACTGAGCAGGACCAGCTGATAAACTGGGAAGAAAGAAAAATGAAAAAAGAGGAGATTCAGCAAGTGACCTAGCTTTGTGACTCTGACATGGTTTCCTGGATTTTCCTATCAGGGGAATACAAGGAGAGATACAAGGAGAGATACGTAAAGGCAACAAAACTGTGTGGATGTTGTTGAGTCACGGGTCAGAATTACACACACAAATTTGTGAAAATACAGATAGCTCAAGGGAGCGAAGAACAAAAATAACAGTTTTGCCTCTGTTGTCCTGGTTTCTAATGTGAACATCCTGGAAAAGGAAAATAGTCAGCAGCAATAACTGTCAAATTGTCAGATATTATGGTGGTATTTTTTTTAAATGGGCTACTAAGGGTCATATCATGCTCAAACTCATAATCAGCACAAGTTTCTTTTTTGCTGTACTTCTTATTTATGCCCTTTTTAGATTACATCACTTAGAAACAGCGGCCAGATTAATGTGGATCACAGCCCACAGGGGGCATTGAGGGGAATGAAATGGCCTACCATCTCACAAATCAGCTCTGAAAAAGGGGCAGAAGCACTGAGGTAGCTGACAGCAGAGCTGAATCTGAAGCAATGTCAGGAATGCCTGGCAGAAGCATTGGGCTGATGGGATTAAAAATATGACACCTTCAGGATGAAGCAGGGATGCGGAGATGAGAATAAGATAAAAAGGGAAAAAGCCACACTGAAATTGTAGTTAGAATGTATAGAGCTAAATAAAACTGTGTTTTTAATAAGAGACAATCATCAATCTTGTAAAAGGTAAACAGGAAGATGACTCTCCGAAAGTACATATCAGCATTCCAGTGAGGTTTCTGCATAAAGACAATAGATAGATCTCCATAGCTCTGTCCATGTTTAACATGTAAACTTGACTCTGTGACTTTTGCAGCATGTCTTGGTGTTTTATCCTATCGCCTGGTTTTGCCACACACACACCCCACCCTGGCCCACCACCCTCTGCATTTGACATGCGAGACTCTACACTGTAGCAGCATAAATTAACATGGATAACTCTGTGGGCAGACTTCATTAGATTCCAGGGGCAAAATATGTGCTCTATTTTGACTGCATGTGTGACAGAGGCTTATGAGTGCCCCAGACTGGTCTTGTCACTTATAATTCTGTGCCACTAAATCCCCTCAAGTCTCAGAGTGCTAAATTATCTTCTGGTGTTCCTCAGGGATCCATCTCAGGTCCTTTATGGTTTTCATTGTATATGGTTTTCTTTGGTCATTTTTGCCATTACAACAAAGGATGACGAACAACCATCTACAGCATAACATTGATAAGACTGAGGGACCCTGTCTTCAACCATGGTAAATAACTTGTGCTTCTATTTGACTGATGTCGGAGTGCTCAAATTTAGACCAATCTGTTAGTTAGAATTTAAAACCTG